CAACGTAGAGGTAACGATAAACAAAAACGATGTCCCTTTTTGGCGGAAGTGGCAAGGAGAAATAAAGTGATAGTTTTTTTTAAAAAAAAAAAACAATATCAGTTTTTTTTTTCACAATGCCGATTGTGGACGTGGTAGATCCAAACCACGTGATTCTCATAACTAATAACTATTTCTGTTTTATAATAGAACTTATTTTTGTGTGAAAGTATAACATTTGATCAACTACATCCCCACAATATTTATATTTTAATAACCATAAATACCAAACTGAAATTCAAACTAATTTCGAGATATGAGAAGAGTCAGATATTTATTTTTTCATTTTTTTTATTTATAGTGACCAACCATCGGACCACCATAGATTAGTTAATTTAGTATTTTTAAACAATTTTTTTTTTTAATTTCGAAAATTGTAATGACTGGAATTTCTTTTGCATTTTTTTCTACAAATTTTTAATTTCTATGGGCATCCACCAAATTTTTGCTCAATGAGAGTAAAAAATTAAACAACTCGTAATACTATCTGATGTATAGGTGCTCCGTGCTCATCAATGAGAATGTCTGCACAACAACTATAAGAATCCAAATCAGAAGCTTACAGAATAACTTACGAGATCTCTACAATATTCAAACAAGAAGATCACACAACTGGTTGTAAAATTAAATGGTTCAGAACAGAGCCGATCCAGAATTATATGACGCCTAAAATACAGTAACAAAATGATGTTTTTATCACAACTATATCAAAGAAACTTATCCAAAAATTAATGTTCTAATAATTTATTAAAAAGTTGGCGTTTAGAAGGGTTGCTTTAAGAAAATTAAGCCTAGGGCCAGTCCTGAGTCCTGGTTCAGAAGATAACACGCTCGCTCTCTCTCTCTCTGGATACATTTATTATTATATTTGTTTAAACAAAAAATCTGGTTTTACAGTGGATTTGTTTAAAGTATTACCTGACTCATATGTCGTGTCTTCAAATCGATCGAACATCGATTGGTTCTAATCCGTACTTAGTGATATGCTGTTTCATGCTTCAAACATTGTCCTGTTGGTCAAATTTGCATGTGCTATTCGCAGTGCCGTGTTTAGAGTATTAGAGTCCTAAGGTAAATAACAAAAAAAAAATTTCCATTTTGCTTTAATTATTTTTTAAAAAATATAAGCTGTAAATGAGATTTAAATATTATTTTATAAGATATTATAAAGTACTTATGCTTTTTATTAATTTATAATAAATTTTCAACCACAAAAAATAACACAAAAATATAGATTAACCAATATACTAATTTTCTTTTTTTTGGGACACCAACCAATATACTAAATAAAAATACAAAAATTAAGGGCCCTAAAACTTGCTTAATATTAAGGGGGCCTAAGGCAAATATCTTATTTTTTGTTCATTAAGCACGGCTCTGCTATTCGGCAATAATGGCATTCAATCCAATATCCTTTTTTTTTTACTCTCCCATTAAATGTTGATTCGATGCATACAAACAAATGATTGTTAGACGGCGTATTGACGGCGTAAGTACGTATGCATGGTAGGCGACGTCATTCGTTTTGTATGCTCATTGATTTTACCGAAACAAAAGGAATGAGACAAAAACTAACCATAAATTTCTATTCTTACTTAAAAAAAAATAGAATCAGATAGATTTCTAAAAGAGAAAAACTAACAAATATTCTATATTTTTGGATTACACCAAAAATATTTCTGAATCTTTGAACTACTATAATATTTTCGAACACAAAACCATATAAACTCAATTTTAGTTCTATCCCCCTAAACATCGAATTAACTATATTTTATGTTACATTACTTGGATTTGGAATGGACCCTCGAGAACAAATGTTAACCTCTCTTCTCTCCAACTAGATCCACCGTAACGAAGTTTTCGTAAATAAATTATGGGTGATACTTTTTAGTATAATGTGTCGTGGATATCGTCGCCGGGTTTTCTTCCGGAGTGATATATTGATCGCATTATATTTACCAGATATATTTATATGATTAATCGTAACATCAACTAATCTCATTATACTACAAGTTGCGACATATATAATAAAGATTCCTAACATTCCGGCCGGTGTTAAATAATAAAATACATCTAACTTTAAAACGGTGCTTTAAGAAGAAAAGGACATACGATAAATGTCTTTCTATCAAATTATATTTATAATTTCAAGGTTCAAAAAAATATATATATATATATATATATATATATATTTATTTCCTTCAATTCCGAATGTATTTCAATTTCGACGCAATACTATATCTGCGTTATATTATTAGATTTGTAAAACATCATTCACTTATAAGTTAATTTGTAAGTGTTTATCCAACATTTTCTTTTCACAACTTATCGGCATAATATGAAAATGCGGCTGTGATTTTGTGTATTTATATGGATATAATAGAAATATTATGTATATATCATCAACAAAATTATATATTTTTGTGGAAATCCATTTCATATAGTTTAAAAAGGAGTGATAGAGGTAGCAAAGTCCGGATATCTGGTTTTTCATGCCATGACATTATGACTCCACGATTACATGTCACATGACTAAGACATCTCGGAGTTTAGTAGAGTACAATCGGATTATTGGAAAATATATATTGCAAAATGAAAATGTATAATCGCTGATTAACTATTACATTTAAAAAACTGTATTGTGTGTACCACTTTTTTTTTTAGATTTCATCACCTGATTATAAATACAGACAAGTTGCTGGGGCAGTAGAAAGTTAAAAACTAGAGGAAAAAAAAAACTGCGGTAAACATGTATTTCACTCGGAAAAAAAACGTAATTTATGGGTAAATATAGACCTTTTAGTAATGGGCCATGCTTTAGCTAGTATACGATCATAGTGGCCCATATAAGGCTTTCACACATGTGTACACGTGTAAAGCATGGATTGATATGCCAAAATGTCACCGGCTAGAAGTTGGACGATCGGAAGGGAAATAGGTGTGATGGCGGAATCGGAACGTCAAGACCATAAACTGGAGTTGGTACGGACCCTAAACGTCCGTCGTTTCCCAGCCTATTTCCGATCGTATCGAACTGGTGGTATTTTATTCTTAATTTGTCCTTTATACATTTTTTTTTTGCAGCATTAATTGCACTCAACATCTTTGATTAAATGTCTGCGAGAGAGTCCAAGTTCACGTTAAATCGTTAATACGAATCTGTTATCTTCTTCCGAGTAATTTGATGCTGCTTCTTCATTCTTCATGTGAAATGAATTCGCTTAAAATATTTATTTAAACAAGTAACGTTTGTCCCCGCGAGATACTAAAGCCATCACGTTCCATTCTTTTGTGAGAAAATACTTGACGTTATGTCATTTTTTTCCCGACAGTTTAAAAATATTCGAGGTTTAAATTTGTCTGCTAGTATTCTCCCAAAAACTCCAAACGATTCAATCTTTAAATGTTCTTATGGTTCTTGAGACATCTCTACATAGTTTTAGTGGCACGATTCAATCTTTTATATGTTCTTATGGTTCTTAATTGAGACATCTCTATATAGTTTTAGTGGTGCCACATATTTTGTTTTGGGTTACTTGGCTGTCGATTGGTTTGAGTTAGTTCCAAATAGCTATTATTAGCTGTATCATGGTTAACCAAATATGCTTGTTTCAGACTGGTAGTCTTCTCAACATCTACATGCTGGACACACGTTGAATTTTGTCTCGATGCCAAGATCTGCTCGAAACAGGTTAGACCGACGCTGAAAACAGAGGAATTATTTATTTGTATCCCTTTTGGTAGGTTCTATTCTCTCATTTCTTGGTAACAAGAAAAACATATCTCGGAGTTGATTCCAAATGATTGGATCTGTATAGAATTGGTAGTCTCTAGGCAATATAGTTTGGAACATGTTTGTGATATGTAGCCAAATCTCAACATAAACCTTTCATGAGTTTATATGATTTACATTAGTCTCTGATTAGAGTGATTCCAATAGTTTTTTTAAAAAGAATGGTGTTCACTGGATTCTTAAAAAAATATGCTCCTCTTTTATAGTAAGTGAACATGTTTATGCAAAGACTATAACCACCGAATTATATCACTAATGAACAATGACCTTATGACGACAATTGAACATTAGTGAGTGGTCCTATAGTTTCCAATAAATAGAATTAGCCTATACGACAAAAAAACAACAACTAGAGCTAGCCTATTAACAAAAAGATATGTAATTTTGTTCTATAAATCGTCTATTTGTTTTCCCCCAATAATTGATCTCCCTTCTTCCCCCCCCAATAATTATCCTTTGATATATGAACTATGAAGGAGGGAGTTTTAGCTAAAATCAGGAAAATTTAGACGAGTAATGGAGACAAGAAAGTAGTGGGGTCGAAAAGAGAAAGAAGAAAAGAAACAGGGTGGAAAATTAGTAAAATCTAAGCCAAGTGAGCCGAAAATGGAAAAAAAGAAAAAGGGAGGTCTAAATTAAAAATTAGTTAGAGCATCACATCCCTCTGGTCCCCTACGAGAAGCTCTCACGGAAATGAGATGTGGGTCCCGTTACCAACACACATCTCCAAGCACACACACCTCCTCTTATTAAACGCCGTTTGTTTACTTAACGGAGTTTATCTATAGAAACTCAAATTCTCTTCTCTTTAATGATGGTACGATGTAGTATTGAGAAGAAGACAAAGAACAAAACGTTGCCTAAGGTCGAAGAAAAGATTGAAGAGGCGGTGTATGGAGAAGAATGTTAACGGCGTTAGAGAAGTAAACGACAACGTGGGATGCTTACTGTCTGTGTCAGGAGGAAGAGAGAGGAGAGAGAGAGAGTAGTAAGTAGCTGACAGTTAATGAAGATATTTGTCTGTATTCTGAAACAAGGTCGAATGTTGGAGACTAAGGAAACAAAAACAGTTTCATGGCTCATGAGGCTCTCAAATAGCGGCACCGCTCCTCTTTAACTCTCTTTTTTAACCTAAATCCCTAATTTCTCCCCATCCTCATCTTTTAAGTGGCACTGAGAGAGATAGAGAGAGAGACAAAATAGAGTGAGCCTTTGTGTTCTTGTAGGTGTTTTTAAGGTTATCCTTTTTTTCTACTTCTTAGGTTCCGGACTTTAGGCTAAGAGAAAAGGCGGGGGTGCTCTTTCTCTGTTTCTCCTCTGTTTTTTTTTTTCTTTCTTGGATTTTTTTGGGTGTAGTTGATCTTTAAAGGATAAAGCTTTTGAGTATCTCCAAGGTATCCATTACAGAGACAAAGCATAACACAAAAAGGGTATTCGAGTTTCTTTCTCTGTTTATGTGTGTTGTTGTGCTTTTAAATCGGGGTTTTAAGGTTTTAAGAGAGGTGGTGGTTCTGGTAAAAGCTGAGAACTTTTGAGTGGATATTACAGAGAGAAAGAGAGATTGTGTGTGTTTTTAGTTTAAATGGGAACAAGAGCAGAACGTAATAAGGAAGATTTTGGTGGTGGGTTCGGATTTGGAGTTGTAGAACACTCTCATAAAGACGTTATGGTACTACCCCATCATCATCATCATCATCAATATCCATCATATTCATCGCCTTCCTCTGCTTCCTTGTGTTACTATTCCGCTGGTGTTGGCGATTCCATGTTCTCTGCTTCAAGCAATCAGTCATACACTTCTTCTCTTGGGGAAATGTTTTCCCTCGCCGGTTCTAATTCTGCTGCTGTTTCAGTTGCAGACCCTTTTTTCACCTTGAGCTCTTCAGGTTTCAAGTTTTCACCTTTTTATGACTCCGGAGCTATGAATAGAATTGAAATTTTGTTATGTTAGGTTTTTAATGTGTAATCGGTGGATAAAATCCAGGGGAGATGGGAAGAAGTATGAGTGAAAAGGAAGGTGCAGCTTTCAGTGAAGCTCAATGGCAAGAGCTTGAGAGGCAGAGGAATATATATAAGTACATGATGGCTTCTGTTCCTGTTCCTTCTGAGCTTCTTACACCCATTCCCAAGAACCCATCAAACACTAACAATTCAGATGGTAAAAATCTCCCTTGCTTTCACTTGATCAACTTCTGTAGGTTTCCCATTTTTATCAGTTTCTCTTGGTTAGATGTGTTCTTGATCTCTTGATATCGTGTTTGATGCAACTAAAATCCATTAATATTAGTAATAGAATGTTCGAGGTTCAAGAAGTTTTTTTACCTCTTAGTGGATGCATAGGAATGGAATGTTTGGTTCAATAATGCAAGAATCTGATGTGTTCTATGTGGGTGACAGTGACAGTGGCAGTGGCGAAAGGTAGTTCATTGAAGCTAGGGATTGCTTCAAACGCAATCAACAATGCAGCTGATATGGAGCCGTGGAGGTGCAAAAGAACAGATGGCAAGAAATGGAGATGCTCTAGAAACGTGATCCCTGATCAAAAATACTGTGAGAGACACACTCACAAGAGCCGTCCTCGTTCAAGAAAGCCTGTGGAATCATCTCACCACAATGACTTTCGTGCCGCTAAAAACGATACTAACCAGTTAGCTAAACCATATCCCCAGTTTTACGGACAACCCGTAAGCCAGTTCTCTGTGCCTTGTGCTCTTCCCTCTGCTTCCTCTTCATATGATCATCACAGGTGCGTATTTACCTGCATTCTTGTCAAATCTATCCCCTTTTGGAATCAGTTGAAAAATTGAAACTTATTGGTTTGATATGTGAAGAGAATTCAGGTGGTTTATGAAAGAAGGCGATGCCATTGCAACTTTAAGTCCGGCGATTCATGAAGCTGCACAGGTGAAGGTTGGATCAAGCAGAGAGCTCAAACGCGGATTCAACTATGATCTGAATTTCAGGCAGAAGGAGCCATTAGTCGACCAAAGCTTTGGAGCATTGCAGGGTCTATTGAGTCCAAACCAGACACCTCATAACCAAGAGACAAGGCGGTTTTTCGTAGAACGGGATCAAGATGAAGCAATGGGAAGCTCTCTGACACTATCAATGGCTGGAGGAGCCATGGAGGAAGCAGAGGGAACAAACCAGCACCAGTGGATTAGCCATGAAGGGCCATCATGGCTCTGTTCAACAACACCAGGTGGACCATTGGCTGAAGCATTGTGTCTTGGTGTCTCCAACAACCCAAGTACTAGTAATACTAGTAGCTGCAGCAGAAGCTCAAGCTAAAAATAAAAATGACTTTGAGCTGTGTTGTGTTGTTTTACAAGTCAAAAACCGTTTTTTTATATATTAGAAATCAAAACTTTATCTCAGATAAAAGAAAAAATTGTCCTCAGTGATTTGTTTGTAAAACTGAGACCTTTTAGCTTTGGTGTTTTTTTTCTTGGCGGTTGGATTTTGCTGAATGATTAAAAAGTGTTGCAAACATCGGTTATTTAAACTACTGGAAATCGGTCGACAAAAAAAAAAAAAAACTACTGGAAATCGATCCAAGATCTCGCTCTTAGGTGAAGAAGAGACAAACACATAGAGAAGAGTCTGAGTTTGTAACATGTAGTTTCAAGTGATTAGCTCAATGAATTGATAAACCAGATTATGGGCTTAAAACGTTAGTTCCGGTTTAGGTAAACCGGTTTGGGTCAAGTCATAATTGAAGGCATCTTCTTCACCACATTTTGACTTTTTCTTTCTTTCTATACTACTTAAAGAAAACTCATGCCTATGTTGGTTGGAGTTATTGAATTTAATGAGGATGCTGATAGAGGAATTACCTTATTTATTGAGTTTTTCACTTTATGCGCATTCCTTAATGTAACAAAATTGACGAGCCATAATCATTTTCTTTCACTATATCACAGTGAAAAACTTAAAAATTGCAACATTTTATCTTTATCTGATTGGTATCCCATCAAGATCAATCATGATGAACAAAGCTAAGACTGTGTAGCTAATCTTAGGTTATTATTCTGCATTACAATCATAATCTTCTTATAGTTCTAATTATTTGACTAATTATTTTTGGGTGTTTTTGAGGTCTAATTTTGCATACGGGAAGCATCATCTCTCATTCTCTCTTGCTTTGCAAGACACGTGACGTCGGCAATGACGTGTGTCAACATCGGGCAGAGAGCATATATCCCTTTACGACTTCGCAGCAAAACCTCTCGTCTCGTCTTTGTACAAAATTTGGATTTTTAATTATATATAAAGAAAAATAGCAAAAGCCGCAAAAAAAATCTCGATTCCTTGATTCGTGGGAATATTTTCGTCTCCGCGCTAGATTTTTGTTGATTTGTATGAACTTGAACCGATTTCGGTCAAGAATGGCGGAGGAAATCTCCAAGACAAAGCTCGGATCTTCTTCTTCTTCTTCTGCTGCGGTGGCTGACTCATCTGCTGCGGCGGCGGCTGCTACGAATGCGGCGAAATCGAGATGGAAAATCTTGTGGCCCAATTCCCTCCGTTGGGTCCCTACCTCCACCGATTACGTCATCGCCGCCGAGAAGCGTCTTCTCTCAATCCTCAAGTACTTCTCCCTCTCTTTCTCAATTATACACAGCTGATTTGGTTTCTGCGACATTGGTTTTACAGAATTTCGATTCTAGAGTCCCAAGTCAAACCTAGAAATATCTTGTTTCTGTTTTTGCATTGCGATGCTGGTTTTTTCGTTTTAGAAGTTTCATTTTGGATCCTAGAGAACGAAATGTAAAAGGAGAATCAATCTAGTTTTTATGTCCTGAGATAAGGATTAGCTGCTTCTTAACTTGTTTGTTTTTTGGGATGAACAATCTTTAGGACGCCTTATGTACAAGAACAAGTCAATATTGGTTCAGGACCACCAGGGTCCAAAATCAGGTGGTTTCGCTCTTCGAGCAATGAGTCACGATACATCAACACTGTTACCTTTGATGCCAAGGAGGGTTCTCCAACTCTCGTGATGGTTCATGGATATGGGGCTTCTCAAGGTTTCTTCTTCCGTAACTTTGATGCTCTTGCCAGCCGATTTAGGGTCATCGCTATTGATCAACTTGGGTAAGCAACTTTGCTATCATGCAGAGTTTGCTTGTTTTAAAGGATTCGAAACTTACTCTTTTCGTGAAATGTTGGTCACAATAGGTTCTTTTTGGCTGCTTTAAGTGATGAAAGTTTCATGCTTTTGCCATAAGTCGGTTTTAATGTCTTAAAAAATCGAAGCTTATGATGTTCCAGCCCTTTTAACTAACAACAAGGTTGTTCTCTCTTTTTCTTCGTAGGTGGGGTGGATCAAGTAGGCCTGATTTTACGTGTAAAAGCACAGAAGGTATTCATTCCATCTAATACTCTTAATGACTAGTGGCTCAAAATTTCATTGGATCCCTTTATTAATGGCTTTTATATATGGAGTTGCAATACCAGTAATGGAACTGAAATGGTCTTCTTTGAATATTCAGAAACAGAGGCATGGTTCATCGACTCCTTTGAGGAATGGCGGAAATCCAAGAATCTCAGTAACTTTATTCTATTAGGACATTCTTTTGGAGGTTATGTTGCTGCTAAATACGCGCTTAAGGTATATTTTCATTCGCGGTATATAACTAAGTGAGGGAAAAAGTGACAGTTTGGATATTATGATTTATGACTATTAATCGGGCATATCACTGGATCTTTCAGCATCCTGAGCATGTTCAACACTTAGTTCTGGTGGGATCTGCTGGGTTCTCAGCAGAATTAGATGCCAAGTCGGAATGGCTCACTAAATTTAGAGCAACATGGAAAGGTGCAGTCCTAAATCATTTATGGGAGTCGAATTTCACTCCTCAAAAGCTGGTTAGGTATGCTCTTATAATATTTTCTTGCTCACCGACAAGCGGATTAGATACTCATTCGCTTGTACAAATTTATTTCACTGAGTTGGAACCATTTGATGAACGTGTTTTAAGCATGGGAACACTTGTTTGGCGATAAAGTTAGTTGGCAGGACTATGATAATCACTATATTTTTCTAAATATGCTTCTGGTGCAGAGGATTAGGTCCTTGGGGTCCAGGTCTTGTAAATCGGTATACAAGTGCAAGATTTGGTGCACATTCGGAGGGAACTGTGCTAACAGAGGAGGAATCCAGATTGCTCACCGGTGAGTAATTCTTTTGCTTAAATTCCTTGGAAGTTATAAAGGATGATGAACCATTGCTGATAGTGATTGCTCGTGTTGAATCGTAGATTATGTCTATCACACTTTGGCTGCAAAGGCTAGTGGAGAGTTGTGCTTGAAATACATCTTCTCCTTTGGAGCATTTGCTCGGAAGCCCTTCTTACAAAGGTTTGCCCACCAAATCTGATGAAAACTCATGTTTATGAGCACATTGCAGATGGAGTTTTTTTTTTTTTACATAAACTCAAATTTTGATGACTGTTTTTGTGCAGCGCATCAGAGTGGAAAGTGCCAACAACTTTTATCTACGGAACGAATGATTGGATGTACTACAAAGGTGCAGTAGAAGCACGGAAACTCATGAAGGTCCCTTGCGAAATCATTCGAGTTCCACAGGTCAATCTCTAGATAGATGCACATTTGTTTTCACATTTAAGAGGAAAATATAAAGAAGATGCTAATGTGAGATTGGTTTGATCGGTATTTTGCAGGGTGGCCATTTTGTGTTCATAGACAATCCAGCTGGTTTTCATTCTGCAGTGCTTTATGCTTGCCGTAAGTATATATCTCAAGATTCTTCTCATCAAGAAATCCTCCCGGATGGTTTACAATTGGTTTAGTCGTAATATGTTGTTCTTTTACATTTCAACTTTCATATATAGATGTACAAAGAATAAAAGAGAACATCAAAAGAAGGATTCTTTTTATTTATTCTTTTACATTTTTATTTATTCCTTCTGTTTGTATCGTTCTTGATTTCTCTTTGAAGTCTCCAAGTGTTCGAAAAATGTGATCTCATAATTAAAATATCGAATGTTATCTTTAGTAACCACTCAAATTTCTTACATTGCACTTATGGAACAAAACAATAAAATCTATGTGCTCGAAACGAAGACCACTGGTTCTGGCCAACGCTTTTTTGCAAACTTGTCATCAAGATTAGGTTAAGTTTTTCGTGTACAGCAAGGAAACAGAATAATTACCGTAACGGGAAGGATTAAAGAGGTTATAATTTGGCAACAATCTTAATTTAGTGGCGATACTTGGTGGTCTAAACATTTCCAATTGGCCATGCAGACATGTTCTCTCTTAGACAGCTCAATCAGGGAAAATAAACTTGAGGAAGAAGAAATTACAGAGGGGTTTTGACTCAGAGAAGTTTCTCTCATCTTATAATTTTGGGCCTGGCTGACTCATTCTTTTCCTCATCTCCAAACAACTTTTTCGTTGATTTGTCTATATGGCATTTGTTCAGATTAAAACTCTTCTTTAGTTTCATCCCTCACAATTACAATCAAAACATGGATTTCTCTCAATTCGTAGCAGTCCGGTGAAGATCAAAAGGTGAGTCGAGTCTTATACATGTCGATTGGTTTTGGTCAATGGCTACAAAATGAAAGGTTTGAATGTTTCAGAATTTGTTATTTATGATCTAAAGTCTCATTTGGAAAAAGACTTTTCCTGATGTTTTTATCAAATGATGGGTTTGATTTTATGTTGATCAAAAAGTGATTGCAAAATCTGAAGTGAATTCGAAAAGGCTCTACTAGAATTAGTATAGGAATGCCGCGGGAAGCAAGATAAAACAGACTAGGGTTAGGTTTTGGAAAACTACGGTAGAAAAAGGAAGTTTCACGTTTAGGTTTCCTAATAGTATGGAATTTTGAGAGGCTTATGTTTGTATTGCTTAATTCAAAGAAACTGCAGACAAAAAATATTGGTTTCAATTTGAAATCTCTCTTAATTTTGGCTAAAGATTCATAGTTTTTCATAATATATAGAGAAAAAGAAAAGATGTCGGCGGCAGGAGAAGAGAAGATACTTGTGTCGGTGAGGGTTAGACCTCTAAACGAGAAAGAGAAGACGAGAAATGATAGATGTGATTGGGAATGCATCAACAACACCACAATCATCTGCAAGTCCCATAACTTGCCTGATAAGCCTTCCTATACATTTGGTAATTAATTAAGATTCTCTCTATCTGTAAACACCATTTTTAATATATTGAAGGTGTTACTGTTAAAATCTCCATCAATCAATTAATGTGGTTACAGACAGAGTGTTTGGATTCGAAAGCCCCACGAAGCAAGTGTATGATGATGGAGCCAAAGAGGTTGCACTTTGTGTCCTCTCCGGAATTAACTGTAAGAAAATGGATCATCAAATCGTTTTGATATACTAGAGATTATGTCATAATGGAGACAATTTTTGTTGTTGCAGCGAGCATCTTTGCGTATGGACAGACAAGTAGTGGAAAAACGTACACGATGACTGGAATCACTGAATTTGCAATCGATGATATCTTTCTTTACATTGAAAAGGTTACATACATTCTTAATTAATCTTGTTTTGTTTTCTATATCTATATATATTTCACTCTCTGAGAATATCCTCTGTTTGTTTCCTTTAGCATAAACAAGAAAGAAAATTCACTCTAAAATTCTCAGCGATGGAGATTTACAATGAAGCTGTGAGGGATCTCCTTTGTGAAGATAGTAATACTCCACTTAGGCTTCTAGATGATCCAGAGGTCCCTTCCTCATATCTTCTTTATCACGTCATTGATTAATACTCTCATATATCATCATTAGCTACTTAATTACTGATAATGTTGAGTAATGTCAACTTTGACAGAGAGGAACGGTCGTTGAGAAACTCAGAGAGGAGACTCTCACAGACAGAAACCATCTAGAGGAACTCCTTTCTATATGCGAGAGTAATTGAATTAAACAAACACAATTCTTCTTTCTTCATAATTTGATTCATAGTTAGTATCAACAAATAGATGATATTATCTTGTGGTTAAATGCAGCTCAGAGGAAGATTGGAGAGACGTCTTTGAATGAGACTAGCTCCAGATCTCATCAGATTCTCCGGCTGGTACTCATTTTTCTTACATTCTCAATAAAAACACTGCATCTATCTCACATATTGTCACACTAATGTTTTTTTTTCTCTTCTCTTGCAGACAATTGAAAGCTCGAACCGAGAAGATAGCTCGGCGATTCTTGCAGCATCAGTGTGCTTTGTTGATCTAGCAGGAAGTGAACGAGCTTCTCAGACATTATCGGCTGGTTCAAGGCTCAAAGAAGGTTGTCATATCAATAGAAGTTTACTTACTCTTGGAACCGTCATCCGAAAACTCAGGTCATTTTTTTGCAACAACTTCATAGTTACGTTTCATGGGATTCCTAATAACAAGGTCTAATATCCAAACGATTTCTTGAGCTGATAAGAGTATTTTTGTTTGAAAGTACTACAGCAAAGGGAAAAATGGGCACATACCATATCGAGACTCGAAGCTAACTCGTATACTTCAGAACTCATTAGGAGGAAACGCAAGAACTGCCATCATCTGTACAATGAGCCCTGCTCGTAGTCATATGGAACAATCAAGAAACACGCTTCTCTTTGCGACTTGTGCTAAAGAGGTGACCACAAATGCTCAAGTCAATATGGTTGTGTCTGAGAAAGCTTTGGTGAGGCAACTGCAGCGGGAACTGGCGAGAATGGAGAATGAGTTGAAGAATCTTGGGCCTGCTTCTTCTTCTTCTTCAGCTTCTGATGAGTTCTATGCATTGCTCAAACAGAAAGAGGAGTTGATTGCAAAGGTTTCTTGAATGCTTCTTCTTTCCCCTCTTTTACTTTATATTTAAGAGAGATTATTATGAGTCATTACTTGTGCAACAATCTGCAGATGGAGGAACAGATTCAAGAACTTAAATGGCAACGAGATGTAGCTCAATCTCAGGTAGAGAATTTACTTAAATCAACAGCGGACGAGAGATCTTCTTCAAGTTCAATGGGTAACAGAAGAAGAAGCAGCTACGATTCAACGGATTTTGATGAGCCTCGTATGCTAAATAACTTGGGGAAGAGTAACTTCTACTCTCCTGATGAGGATAGTTTCCTGTTGGAAGATACTACACCTCAGTTTCCGGGGCATGATTTCTGCGATAAGTGGGAGGAGATGGCTCAAAAAACCACCCAAGAACCAGAAGATGCTTGCAAAGAAGTTAGATGCATTGAAGTGAACAGTGGAGAAGCAGAACGAGTTGAAAATCAAGACTCACTTGATGACATTGTTGAAAAGAAAGTTGAGTCATTACCAGCCGAATATGAACAAAACTACAAATCTTTTACGGCCGATGAGAAAGCTGGAAATGACGCTATGGAGTTAGAAAAGGAAGATAGGGATTCATCTTTAAAAACGATAGATATGGAGTTGAGTTTATCTGCTAAACTTGAAGCCGAAGATGAGCTAACTACAAACAAGATAGTACAAGAAACAGAGCACTCTGTGGAGAAACAAAGGAAATCTCCAAAGAGAGAAGACATGAAACAGAATTTGTCTGAGGATCAGTTATATCTGGAATACAAACAAAACTACAAACCTAAGGCCGATAAGATTGAAGCTGTGGAGCCAGAAAAGGAAGATACTGAGTCATCTGTAAAAATGATAGATATAGATTTCAGTTTATCTGATAAATTTGAAGCCAACGATGAGCTCACAATAAATAAGTTAGTAGAAGAAGTCAAAGATACAGAACCATCTGTGGAGAAACAGAGGCGATCTTCAAAGAAAGAAGACACGGAACAGAATTTGTCTAAGGATCAGTCATGTATGGAATACGAACAAAACTACAAATCTTTAATGGTGGATGAGAATGAAGATATGGAGTCTGTAAAAGCTATTGATATGGAGCTAAATGCTAAAGTTGAAGCCGAAGATGAGGTAAGTTTACACAAGTTAGAAGAATCACAAGAGACGGAACAATCTGTGGACAAGGAGGAAACAAAAGCGAGTTGGTCTTCAAAGAATGAAGACATGGAACAGAATTTGTCTAAGGATCAGTCAGAGCAATATGTACTAGGCTCCGAGAAAGATGATAATACATATGAGGCTCTGAAGAAAAAGGTGAAGGAAATGCAGAAGACGATTGAATACTTTATGAGTATGCAATCAGCAGAAGAGAAACAATCTCCCTCATTCAATACGGTAGATGACAACACGAGTCCAGGAGAAAGCTTCAAGATGAGAAGAAGCCGAAGTTGCAGAGAAAATCTCTTGTTTACAAAGGCGCTCGCTGCAGCTGCTAGTGGACGCTTCACATTCAAGAACTCCAATAACACATCCTTTGATTTAGATAACACTGCCTCCATTGATGCACAGAGCACAAAAGATTCCGACACAGAGACTAGCAGTAGTAGCTTCCATGAATTTATAGCAGGACTTAAAGAAATGGCAATGCAGCAACATTCGCTGAATACTGAAACAGAGAAGATTAAGCCTGAAAGCACAGATGATAGCGGCGCGAAAGCAGAGTTTGAGAGACAGCAAAGGCAAATAATCGAGCTTTGGGAAGTATGCAATGTGCCTTTGGTTCACAGAACATACTTTTTCTTGCTCTTCAAAGGCGATCCATCAGACTTTGTTTACATGGAAGTTGAACTCAGAAGGCTATCTTTTCTCAAGGATTCGCCGGAGACGTTGAGGAAACAAACTGCCAAGGCTTTAAAACGGGAGAGAGAATTGTTAGCTAAGCAAATACCAAAGAAGTTTGGAAAGAAGCAAAAAGAAGAAGTTTACAAGAGATGGGGTGTTGAATTGAGCTCAAAGCAGAGGAGCATGCAAGTAACTCACAAACTATGGATCAATATCAAAGACATTGAGCATTGCCAAAACAGTGCTTCTCTTGTGGCTAGTTTGGTTGGATTTGATGACTCAACTCTGACTCAAAAGGAAATGTTTGGCCTTAGCTTCTCACCTACAACAACACTCAACATTAGATCCTCTGGCTGGAGATTTTCCAACTCTTTCTCTCGTATTAGCTTGACCTGAGGATAATAAAACTAGATTTAAGAAAAAGAAAAAAAAAAAAATCCAGCCAGTCTCTGTGTGTATGTGCATAAACAGTTTAAGTGAAGTTGTGAAAGATGTGTATAGAAAATCTAACTCTAGTTCATTTGGTACTCTTTGGCAAAGTGTGGCACTTTTATTACAACTTGTTTTGTGTGGAATTTATAAAATACAGTTAGTAATTACTAATTAAACAAAATAATACATTGAAAATTACACTTGAAAAAAAAATTATGTATTTCTAAATCATAGTTTTAGACTTTTTAGTCAATTAATAAAACAAAACTATTTTACAAAAAAATCTATTATATTAAAACAGAAGCATATTTAGTACTTGCTTCCAAACACTCCTAATTTTTTTTAAGTGTTTAAAAATAATTTTAATAATTATTTATATTTAATTTCAAAAATTAGTTATTAATTTAAATATTTTTAGAGTTCCTTAAATATAGGTAATTTAGATTTGATTTGATTTGATTAAAAATAATAAATCAGATATTAATTTAGATTTGATTTAAAGATTCTAAGCTAAATAATTTCTATACTATTAAACATTTTTATCAAAAATATCTAGAATTTTTGAAAAAAAAAATAATTCACATATGAAAAATAATGGTCATATTTGAAATATAAAATATTTTTAATGATTTAAATGATATGATATTTATGTTGCTTATATAATATATTTACGATTATGATTATTTACAAATTAATAATAAAATAATAAGTAAATTTAAATGTATAATTTAAATATTAAAAATATATTTTTAAAAAAATTCATAGAACTAAAAATATATATAAAAACCGGGTTAAAAATATTTTGGTAACTAAAATCATTAATTTTGAATTATATATGTATATCAAAAATATATTTTCATACAAAATAAAAACATAAAAAATTAAAAATTATTGCATACACTATAATGTGGTTTGAAAAACCAGTTGTACATTCCCTTCGTTGATTAAATTTTAGAAAAATATAATGCTAAATAATATTGTTAATACATCTCAAACTTTTAACAAATATTTATATTATACGGTAATATGAACGGAAAAGTTAGAATTATGTTTTCATTATAGTTCATTTTGAATTAATATTAGCGGATGGGTTAAAATTATATTTTTATAATCATAATTAATTTTAATATTATAAAAATATATTTAAACATAAAAATCAATATTTTCACTTATTAAAAAATATATTTATAAAAATAATTATATCTAAACTCAAAAACACAAATTATATTATAAAAAATATTCTCGTGCGGATGCACGGGTTTAAAATCTAGTTTGGTTATTATTTTTAAAAAGTTTTTGACATGAGAGTTTTTTTTTGTAAACCAATTTTTCCTTTAGAAATAAAATAAAAACCATAATAAAATATACCTCTCAGTCTCACACATGAAAACGTGTTACAGTGCAGTAGATAGGACGACTCCAACATCGGAACGATTGCTGCCGGAGCTGCCATGTCGCACTTAATACGACCGATAAGGCAATTATCGCCGCAGTGCCATCACCATTTTCGTAATCTCAGCTATTTCTTCTCCAAAAAGCTTAAGCACCCACCTGCTTCTTCTTCTTCCTCTATCCCCACTCTTCTTCTCTCCCAATCTTTCTCCACCGCCAGGTCTCCACCTCGTCGGAGACTTCGTCCCGCGCCACCGGAAGCTCTCATTCCAACTCTCATCGCTGAAGACGATGGTGATAGCGATGGCGGCGAGTCTGACTCTTCGAGGAGCCGCAACCAGAGGAAGCGTGACGCTCGCCGCGCCGTACGATGGGGTATGGAGCTCGCTTCCTTCTCCAGTGATCAGATTAAGAGGATTATGAGGTAAAAATCTCAAATTGTAAACAGCATATACTCTAAAAAATCTCACTTTACAATTGTGTCGAAGTTTCTAGTTTAAAATCAATCGCCTTTATTCATCTTTTAGAGCGGCCTCGCTTGGTGAAGAGGTTTATGATGCATTGATGCTTGCCAAGGTATATCACTATGAGCACCATTTGTACTCTATATGCTTGTTTTGTTGTAATCTGGGACAATGCAGGTAAGGTGTTTGTTGTTTTGTCGCAGAGACTAGGATCAGATGTTCGAGAAGGAAGGCGTAGACATTTTAACTATATCGGTGAGGGGAAAAGAAAAAAAAAAAGCATCCTTTATGTAGATGAAATTCTTAGTTCGCTTTTAGCTAATATGGTGGTACTTGCTCTTAGGGAAACTGTTGCGTGAAGTTGACCCTGATTTGATGGACACTCTGATTCGTGCCACAAATGAGGGTGACCACACAAAGCTTCAGGCGCTGATTAGTTCTGCAAAGGATGGCGCAGATGTTGCTGGATACAGCAGTGTTGATTATTCAGAAACAGAGTCGGAAGATGAAGTGGAGGTAAGTCTAAACCAGTAACTCAATACACGTATCAACTTCAAATTCTATGATGACTATAGACAAGAAAGTTGTTTCCTGGATCTTTCAGTTAAATTCCATCTTTCGGATACTTAAAGTGAGTGAATGCGAGACAGGATGCTATAGATTTTGTCGTCAAGAGAAGAGAATTTTTTACATTGTCGCTTTTGATTAATTTTCGAAACGGATGAAGAGAAGTGTGTTTGTTGTTCTCATAGGACATTTTTCAAACTCATCTAACTTTTGAAAGAATATTTTCAGAGCTCAGAAGAATATATAGCTATAGCTGCGAGATGGTTTGATGGCCTGATCAGTCAGAATGTGGAACTCACAAAAGAAGTTTATTCTCTTCAGAGTGTTGATTTCGATCGACAGGTTAGTCAAACATGTTCTCAATAATTGAAGCAGATGCGTGTGTCTTGTTTATTAGGTGTATAGGTCTTTAAACCTTAGAGGAGTGATCCAAAAAGCATCTTAAGGTTTGATGATGTGGTATTTAACTTCTATTTTTTTATCCCATTTTTGTTTGATAGGAATTGCGTAAACTTGTTCGGAAAGTACAGTTGGTTCATGAGCAGAGAAAAGGCGTAACCCCGGAGAACCAGAAAGAAGTCGATGCTGCATTGATGACTGCTGAAAAGTCTCTGAAACGATTTCTCCATTCCATGGCGAAACAAATGCAGAGTGAGCAGAGCGATTTATATGTATGAATAAGACATGCGTTGATCAATATGTGTATACCCTTAAACCGAGTCCAAACCGAATAACCGAAATTTGGGTTCGGCTTGCTCGATTCGGTTAAACTGGCCAGGCCTAGGAATGGGACCGATATAGCATCATAGAAGAAAGACCCAATTGAACTATAGTCTGACTTTAGCTTATCAGTTATCTTATGGATCTTCTTTTTCTCCTTTGTTTTCTGTTATTATCTTTTCCCTCCTTTTGTTCTTTTTTTTATTTTTCTCTTTTCTTTTTACAGCCCAAGTTTTTGCCTTTCTCGTCATCTCTTTATCAATGTAATCCTATTAGGACACATCACTCAGCATCAAACCAAAAAAACAAAAAAAAACGAATACATAGTATATCTTTTTTATCAGATAAGTTTTTCCACTTGGTTGCATTTTATGACTCAGTTGTGACAACATCTCCAGATATGTTGCAGACTACTTTCCAACTTAAATTTGCCATACCGCGATAACAAACTCTATACACAAAAGTAGCAACATGCCACTTATTTAATTTGCGACTAAAACACTCATCGTCTCACATTCTTTGCATTCAGTTTCACAATGCACATGGCCATCATTTTGTAGTGCCTCCAAAAAATTAAATCATCAATGTGGTTCAATGTTCATCAATGTGCAATATCATGAAACATATAAATTCAATATGATACACCCGGAAATGAGGAAATAACCAAAAAAACAAAAAAAAAATCAAAATTGCCGGAGAAGAAGAAAAATACAAAAGATGAGTAAATAGAGTGAAGATTGAATATTTGAGGAGTCAGAAGTGAAGACATCAGACAACCACGTCGATAAAGGAGACGATGAGCTCTGTGCTAATCCTCCACCGCCTTCTCTCCACCCATTAGCTGCAGATTTTTGGCTGTACACGTTCCAAAACTTTATAAATCAAATACTAATTGAATAATAATTTTATTTTATGCTTCCGCGTTTTGATAATGGTAGGCCTGTTGTATGTTCTATTAACCTTTTTTGTTTTTCCTTTCTTTTCTTTGATGGAATGACTATTATATATTCCTTTATTACGTGTAAAAAAAAAAGGAACCAACCTCCTTTTTTTCAAGAAATGGCTCAAGCCAATCACATTACTCTGCTAGCTAAGCTCATCGTGTGCATACTAAAAAAGCAAGTGTGAAAACATGAAACCAAAAAAACAAAAACAAAATAATAATTAACTTAACCTACCTAGGCAAGGAAGGGCAAAGAGTGATGGTGTAATCTGCAGAAGTGCACGTAAACGTGCTCGTAGCGTCGTCGAACGCGTAGCTATACGATCTAGGACACGCAGATTTGAATATCTCCGAGTACAACGACGGTTTACATTCGGCCGGTGAAGCGTACGCGCCACTGCAACAATACTCTGGACTACCAAACGCCTCGCACGCGCTCTTGCAAGCTGACCCGGATCCGAACCGGAGCTCCGTTGGACATCTCTGGTTTAGATCCGCTACGCATCCGGTCGTCAAGCAATTACTACTGCCTTGTTCTGATCCTCCTCCTCCACTTGCTTCAACAACCATCGGGACGTTGTATCCGTCCACGAGGCTCACGTCGTAGAAGTCTTGTTTTCTGGTCGGGTCTTCTGGACCTGACCCGATTGTGAATTCGGCTAGTGTAGCTGGTGGTTTAGCTCCAGAGCCGTTACACTCGACCTGGTTTGAGCCGCAGTCGCCGGTTAAGCACGTGCCTTGGCCTGTTTCCGAGTCGAAGTTACAACCGGTTCTTGCCCAAAACCGACCCGACCAGCTAGCTGGAGCTTGGAACGAGCGTGAACCACCGGAGGCGAGTTCGAAACCGGTGGTTCCTATGCTGGCGCTTCCGGAGTTGGACAAAACTCCCGGCCAGACAGTGAAGCTGCACCGGTTTACGATGGTTATTGTAGCACAATTACTTCCTACGCAAGCCAAATGCAATGCTTTAGATATGAATATGAATATATGAATATAAGGAATTAACATAAGTTAAAATATAGTTATGGATATTACCATGGAAGTAGAGGAAGGTAAGGATGATGATGAAATATAATGAGACAGGAGAATGAAGAACTGTTATGATCATCACTGTTTTTTGTTTTTCTCTTTTCGAAAGAAAAGTATTTTCGGTGGAGAAGTCAAGTTTGGAATATTGGGGATATTACAAAACGAAAGACGAAGAGAGGGAATAAAAGAAAACTTAAGAGATAGAGAGTTCAAAGAGCATTTACGATGACATCAACACTTCTATATATACCTTCTCTCAAGGGTCAAGATCCGTGTGATCTCACAGATAAAAGTATGACCATTTTCCTTTATGTTTTAAAGTGATACAAGAGATAACAATATGTTGAAAAGATATTTTATCAGGAATGATTAAAAAGTCTTTTTTTATCAAGTAAAAACTGTACCTTTACAAAAAAAAATATGTTTTAATTTCAAAAACTATAACTTTTCGAAACTTAGTTTCGTGGAAAATAACCCCAAGTAGATATGCATTCTAGGTGGCTAACACTACAGAAAGCTACAAGGATAACTTCGGATATAAAAACAACAAAAGATTTCGTATCTTGACCGTCGCGAGGTCATATCATGAAACATCGTTAGCATATACTGTACGTGATTATTTAACGACGACTATGTGATGCTAATAGCTACTGACAGAAACCGAAATAAATCCATTGGTATTTAAAGACATTGGAACACTGGTATAAATGAGATGGCGAAATAATAGAAAATATGAAGTTTGGGTCACCTTGATCTCTAGAATCCAAATTGTGCTGCTTTTACATAATCCATCAAAAAACCATATCGTAAAAACTAATCTTAAAACTCAAGTAGAACGATGTTTTGCTTGCTTTTAACTAAGAGAGCAGGAAAAAAAAAAAAAAACACAAAGGAGAAAAACATCAGATGTGAAATCTACAGTTCGTCCTTGGTTTCAGCGTGTTCCTCAACGGGTTCGGCTTCAATGTTTAGACCACCAGCCAAGTCATCTGATTTCGTCTCAGTAGCCTCCTCACTGGTCTCTGTTTCCTCTGCCTCGACTTCCTCTTCGGCTACTGCATCAGGGCTGATCTTCAGGCTGCTCTTGACGGAGTTGTAGATACGGGCTGCAAAGTCTTTCGGGTCGTTGAGTATGAATCCACTCTCGATCAACGCCGTCTGGTACATGAGCTGTGCTGTTTCCTTCACACTCTCATCCTGAGAGAATTTTTTTCTCAGTCACTTCTCTGATTACAATAGACAGAAGGTAAAAAAAATAATGAATTGATGGGTCTAACGCTTGTTTACCTCTGCGTCGCTTGCAACTCTATCCTTGAGTTCTTTGATGATAGGGTGACGTGGGTTGATCTCGAGGACTCGCTTCCCGCGCATGTAAGCTTGCTTGTTAGCATCGGAGAGAGTTTGGGACTGCATGATCCTCTCCATGTTTGCACTCCATCCAAACTTGGACGTTACGACAACACAGGGAGTGTCAGCCAACCGGTTACTGATTTTGACGTCGTCCACGTTCTCACTGGCGAGACTCTCTTTCCACCACTTGGTTAGCTCCTTGAATGCTTCCTTCAGCTCCTTAACGTTTGCATCTTTCCCAACCTTCAGTCCTTCTTTTGACACATTCTGAAACTTCTTGTCTTCGTAGTCCATCAGGTATTGCATCAAGTATTCATCTACTGGGTCCGTGAAGAAGATGACCTGGGAACACAAGTGTTGGATCGTGAGTTGCGAGTTGGCAATCGATAAAGAATTATAATTTGTGTTCGACGCATACCTCATAGCCCTTTTTGATGAGCCTCTCCAGGAATGGAGATTTCTCCAATTGTTCCTTGCTGCTACCTGTAATGTAAAATACATCCTTTTGTCCCTTTTTCATTCTCTTAATGTACTGATCCAGGGAAGTCAATTTTCCATCGGACTTTGTTCTGGAATAGCAAAATATAAATCTTTAGCCATGTGGTGGAAATAAGCAGACAGATGTGCGTAAAAAGGTAATGTAAGCACATACGTCTCAAAACGAAGAAGTTTTGCCAGGCGGTTCCTGTTAGAAGCATCCTCAATGATGCCGAGTTTAATTGACTTTCCAAACTCGTTCCAGAATTTGGTGTATTGACCCTTCTTCTCATCATTCTCACCAGACTTCTCCACATCTGCGTGACAACAATTGAATAAGTTTTAGAACAAAATTCAGAACGGTAAAACTACCATAGTAAAAAAAATCTGCAACAGTCAAAGTCGTTTAATAACAAGAAGCTTGTTATATGGAATACCTTTTTTGTCATCATCATGGACCTCATCAGGGTCTTCTTCAGCAAGCTTGCGGATCATATCAAGGGCCTTTCGGATAAGCTTCTTCTTTATTGTCTTTAAGCTGCTGTGTTGTTGAAGCATTTCTCGTGATACATTTAGTGGCAATGTGTCAGAGTCAACAAGACCCTGCAGAAAAAACTCACATTAGAGATTCAGCCCTTGAATTGTATTGAAGGTAACCCTTAGTTTGTCTTCCAGTTAGTTACCTTCAAGAAACTCAAATATTTAGGCAGAAGCTCATCAAATTCATCCGAGATGAAGACCCTCCTGACATAGAGCTTCAAGTTCGCCTTGTTGCTGTTGTAGTAGCTCTCGTACAAATCATGGGGTGCTTTCGGTGGAACATACAACACAGCCTTGAATTCAACATCACCTTCAGCATTAAAGTGACTCCAAGCCATTGGCTTCTCGTCAGTAAAATCCTGTATCGCAACTTGTGTCAGCAAAATCCACACGAGAATCTTATAACAAGTAATATTTGTTCACGCATGATTTTCACCTTTGAGAGAGAGTGGTAGAACTTAGTGTACTCTTCCTCCGTCACCTCCTTTGGACTTCTCAGCCATATAGCCTTAACATCATTCAGAAGCTCCCATTCATGAACTGTTTCTTTCACCTTCTTGGTTTTCTGCTTTTTCTCACTGTCTTCATCCTCAGCATCTTCTTCCTTTTCTTCCTCGGTAGAGGTGGTTTCTGAAGTGAAGTACCATTATTAAAACTCAGGCCGCCTGACTTGTTGCAATAAAAACACACTGCAGCAGAAAATTATAATGCGGTGCTTCGTTACTCACCTGTTTCCTCTTCAGTTGATTCATCTTCTTCAACTGGGACCTCAGTTTCAACCTCTTTGCTAGCCCAGAGGTGGATAGGGAAGTTAATGAATTCAGAGTATCTCTTCACCAAATCCTGTAGTAGACAACGATGAGCATAAGCAACCACAATGAGACAATAAACAGAAATAAGCAGTGGACTGTATTCATGACTCTTCGAACCAATTGCTCCCCGGGAGATTTTGAGGTTCTCTACAACAACCCCTGTGTTATTATGGCTCTGCTTCGGGTAACTTTTGGTTCGTATCACTCTTTGAGAAAGTAAAGAGGGATGTACTTCCAAAATATTCAAAATAATACTCACCTTAAGTTTATTTTCCTCTAGGTACTCGCCAGCTTCATCTCTAAGATGTAATCTGATCTCGGTTCCGCGTCCAAGAGGCTCATTCCACGTATCCTCAGAAACAGCAAATTTACCATCAGCCTTTGACTCCCAGACATACCTGAATGTGGAAAAGAAGTTATCAAAAAAGCATTTCAAATGATATTACATGCATACAAGAATATTTCCAAAGAAAACCCTCTCCGAAATCAACTTACTGGTTGTCATCATTGTGCTTGCTAATGACTTCAATGTAGTCAGCAACAAGATAGGCAGAGTAGAATCCAACTCCAAATTGTCCAATAAGGTTCAAATCCCCGCTTGATTGCATTTTCTCGACAAAAGCTGTGAAAGGCAAGATATTGAATATATGGAATTTTCTTGATCCGGAATGTTAAGCAGAACAACGTATCACCACATAAGCAACGTACCTGATGTTCCAGATTTTGCTATGGTACCAAGGTTCTTAATTAGGTCCTCCTTAGTCATTCCAATTCCCCGATCCCGAATAGAAAGAATTTTCTTGGCTTTGTCTAGTTTAATCTGCATAGCATCACCTTATCAGAGAACTAAAAGGAGAAAAAAGCTAACAGTACAAACTAATCAATGCAATTCTATATCCTACTCTCAACTTCAAACTACAAAATTACATGCTACCTACTAACAGAAAACAATGATTGAGAAAGATGTAGCTAACCTGGATCTCAAGCTTAGCAGTGTCACCTTCACCCAAGACGTCTTTGTCAGTGAGTGCAAGGAACCTAATTTTGTCCAAAGCCTGAAAATTTACAAACAAAGACACTTATTAGCTCCCTGTTTATACGAGTTGTCCAAAAAGCAGTAACTAAACGCAGCTTACATCAGAAGCATTGGAGATCAACTCTCTGAGGAAAATGTCCTTGTTACTGTAGAGAGAGTTGATAATAATGTCCATAAGCCGAGATACCTCAGCCTGGAACTCAAACTTCTCCGCGTTACTGCGAAGTGACTTCTTTGAGATTGACTCAGACTCTCTGACAATCAGCGAATTCGAATTAGGCGAGAGATTTATGCTATTGAATCGAAATTACTACCGCTCAGAAAAAACAAAAATAAGACACTAACCTATGAACAACATCGGAATCCGTCGACAAACCGCCGTGACCACCGAGTTTCTCCTCCACCTTGGGTGGATCTGTAACCTCATCAGAACTATCTTCCGCATTCGCGTGTAGCTTTCTTCCTGTAAAATACGACAGAAACCTCGCCGTTATTAGCATAGAGATCCCAAGCGACACTTATGTAATCAAATCAAGCAATATACACCGAAGGTTTACTACTACTGAAGAGGAACAAATGTAAGTTAGATCGTACCTTGATCAGGAAGAAGAAACAGAAGGGAGAAAAGGAACAAAACGGACACGATCGTCCTCTTCCTCATTGTTAGATCGTATATCTCTCTCGATCTCTCTCTCTCTCTCAGACTAGCTATGAGGTTTATTCACTCACTGGTGATTCAGCTCGAAGAGATCCGTAAAATAGGAAAATGATTCTGTGATGTGCGAACTGTGTAAGAGCGTACACTTTGGTTCGTGAGCTTCGTCTCGATTTGTCAACGTGGCAGATCTAACGGCTCACTGTTGCTTTGATATCCACGTGGAAGCTTTGTATTGGAGCAAGATTTTGTACTTGACGTGGATCGACGTGGATTTCGGGTTGTAGAGTGGATCAGTGGGTGGATGACTTGAATAATCAAAGTCTGCTAAATCGACGGTGATACACGTGTACGTCCTTGTTGGACGATCGGACGGTCATATTTATCAGTGTCACACGTGGCAAGTGACTATTGGATGTTAGCATCTTTATTGACGTTGGACTTCCGAAGCTAAACTAGTTTCTGGATGATTCTACTATGTTTGGGTGTTTGGATATTATTGTTCTGATTGGTTTTAATTTGGAAAGGCATGACATTTAACATAGTATCATAGGCTAGTTTTCCCTGGTCCTGTCTGAATATGGTTTATTGTTGAACCTAGTTCTTGAGACATGATTTGCATTATTGCTAGAATTATTACGTTTTACTTGTTAAGTTGGGAATATATATCATCGTGCAGTTCGAAACTGATACTGCCTAAGCGCCTATGGCTCGCTGTTTTTCTACTATGAGACAGTTATTTAAAAATTAGAGGGTGTCAACAACCATTACGAGTCCATGACTAAAGGAACACACAAATAATACTTTTTCTTGAGTTTTGAAACGCAAAACTATATATTTATTTTATGGAGAAAAACCCAACAAGGTTAAAAAGAAGCTTGACATATACCAATGTTTGAACTAATCCTCCTATATATATGTTATGAAATTAAAACCTGAAAAACGGGGAAAACTGATGGGGAAAGATGAAAAAAAAAGGAAGAGAAAGTTCAGCAAAGACAAATTATAACCTTGTCAACATTCTTTGACGACCAATCAACCAATCCATCTCAACTATTTGTAAATCACTATCTCCATGGAGGGAACTCCCAACGTGTCTCCGGCTCTTTACGCTTCCCACCAACGCTAATAGATGAACTCGATGAGGGCTCTGCATTTGCTCCTGAATGCTCTCCCATAGCCCCACTTTGTTCCGGTGACAGAAACTGCCTCAAACTTAACGACTCTCTGTTTCCCATCTCAAGCCCAAACCCAGAACTCTGATCAAACTGTGGCCGCATTGATCCATTCAAACTAGGCGATCCACCCGCCAAGCTCATGAACATGTGTTGTTGAGGGAATTGTGGCTGCACATATGGGCTTGATCCGATCATTTGAGGCATCATCACTGGCGTACCCCTAGCGTCCACCATGTATGGAATAGCTGTTCCAGGAACATACATGGGCGATGACATTGACATACCAGGAGGACCAGTCAAGCCGTTGTAGCCATACATAGGGGCTGGAGAAAAAGAAACACCAGGGCCTAAACCCAAAGAGTTTCCCGTTCTTCCCATGAATAATCCTGCTGCAGGCTCGAGAGACTTACCATTGGACAAGAACGAAGCCATCTGGGGTACAGAGTCTTTTCTGTCAACGTCCACTTTTGTACCCAAGATAGAAATAACCGGTTCATGCCCTCCATAGGGGCCTGTACTCCATGGGTGCCGTCCATAGTAAGGACCCTGATCACGTGAATCGATAAAAAACTGTGGCCTGTCATTCAAGTCAAAGTTGACTTCCTTGCCTGATTGCTGAGGAACTGACATTGAGGAGAAAGGTGATGCGCTTTGCTGACCATTGGGACTTAGAAACAATCTTGTTTCCATCTTCAGCTCAGCAGAAGGTGGAGGCATGTCATCGTCCTCGTTTGTACAATTCAAATCCAGGTTGAACCTGCTTGATCCCCGGAGATTAGCTTCATGTGATGACTCTCCACCCCTCAAGTTTGATGAGTAAAAAGGAAACTGTTTCAAGGGAGTTAGATCTTCAACTTGATCATCTCCTACCTCAGCTACATTCAGATCAATACCACGACAAATCACCTGCTGTTCTCTTAAATCCCCGCTATGAGCTTTATGAGGTAATTCTGGGTGATGTAGACCAGTAGCAGCCGATCCTTTCGCGCTAAGAGATCTGTCCAATTGCAACGGTGCTGCTGCATGCATTCCAGAAGTTGAGACAGAATGTGAAACACACATCATAGGAGTAGTGGTGGTAGATATGGAGGACATAATGACATCTGTATTATCAGGACAAATATCTTCATTGAGGTCAAAGCCACATGGGCTTTTCTCTCTGCCTACTTCAGATTTAGCAGCTGTTGCTAGGTGGTTCTTCTTAACATCATCATTGTTCATCATCCCATTTTCACGTTTGTTATTCTTCTCATCCATAACATCGTCATCTCCAACATGAGGTTCCTCTAAGGAATGGCTTTCACCCACTGATAATCCCTTAGATGGAGAACCTGTGTGTAGATCATCATCGTGGGAGTCTTTCGAACCAGACTGCCCGTTATCATCAGACAATTCTTCTGAAGAACTGCGAGAAGCTTCTCCAGAGTCCACTTCTCTTGCGACTTCCTGTGCGACTTTGGTAGCGACCTCCAAGGCATCCAAAATACCAAGGTCAATATCAGCAGTTGTTTTGTCAATTGCTCCAAGGCGCTGGGATATGGTCATTGATCTAGAAGACCTGCGGTTCTTTCTCCGTTTTACTCTCCTCTTGCTGTCTGAATGGCTCTTATCATCTTTTTTTTCTTCATGGTCAGCATGAGCAGTCATATTGTCACTCTCAACTTTTCTATTTCTGCCATGGCCACCTGATAATCTTGATGAATTGTCAGAATCCTGATTGTCCGTTATATGAGCCAATGAAGGCACATGTTTGTTATTATGGGCCTTGCTCACATCGTGTGACCCACATATCGTCTCAGATGCATTCCTGCTCACCTCATTTGAATCAAGACTACTCTGCAAAAGACTATATTTCTCCAACTCCATACTGGCAATAAGAGAATCAGAAGACACAGCTACATGTCCTGCTGAACTAGATGTCACTGCTAAAGGTCCACCCATTTTTTCTAGAAAATTTCCATAGATTCCCACCTGCTTTTCCTTAGATATCTCAGCACCCAGTGGATCATTTGATGGGCCTTCAACACTATCGCGCTCCGAATAAGGAAGGCTACTAGAGCTATTAGGCATACTACCAAATATTGTGGGACCCATCGTCTCCCTCATAGAGCTTTTTTCCTTCAAGGAAAGATTTTCTTGAACTTCTTTCATAATATCATCGGTAGAAGAGCCATTTAAAGTTTCGGTCATCGTATTAGAGCAGTGGGACTTCAGGTTCGACTCAAACCCAACCTTGTCCTTCTGCAGTTCCAAACCGTTATCTTGATCTGGGTTGTTTTCTCCTGAGCTTCCTGACAGCAAGGCTTCATCTGCTTTTTGAGGAACCTCCTTTTCATTATTGCTTTGCGTTGAACAACGAGTAACAGCGGATTTTAGCCCACTGCTCTCCCTGCTTGCCGCTACGATTCTCATCTCATCTTCATGAGCTTTGCTACAGCTTTCAGTGTCACGTTCAGAATGGTCATAAACTACCTTATCCTTCCAGCTACCATAGAGCTTTCTCGCCTGTTCCTGAACCCGAGAATTACCATGGTCAACAAGTTTCTTGACAGCATCCCATATCCCAGAAGAAACTAACCTCGAACTGTCTACACCTATATTTTCAAGAGCTTCTAACAAAGCAAGAACTGACTCCTCTATAGATTTGTCAGTCGAATCGTTAGCCAACATCTGAGCTTCTGCTAGCCAGCTACTTAAGTAAAGGAGTCCATCTAAATTTACAAAAACATCAAGACATTCTCTGTTCTTTGTGGCCGCAATTGTGGTTGCAACAGCCGTCCATTGTCTAGAAGCATCGCCAGCGTTCTTCAAAACTGAATCTTTATTACTCTGCATGACAGACACGAGCTCTTCAACGCGAAAAGTGGCCGCGAGTCCATCTTTTATTTCTGTTAGCGTAAAGAAATCCTCAAGCGTCATACTGATTTACATATGTCAACTCCAACAATGTTGAACACCCTTAGGAAGCAAAAAGGTTCTTTCTCCCATTTGACAAGGTCCTGAGATAAAAACGCATAAAAGACAAACTTTATGGCTTTAGCCTTCTGTATCGATCGAAAATGAACTCCAATTTCGAGAAATAACATAGAAATCTGGCAATTGGCACGAGGAAGTAAAATAAGCATACATATAGCAATTTGCAGGACAACTAAGACCGTGGCTAATATTAACGGCAATACAGCCAATATCGAATTGATCGCAGTAGTACAGAATAGAGGAGAAAAAAACATATTGAAAAATCGCCCCATTTCAGAAACTAGAGCACATCTATGTCAATATACTGCCAACCAAATCCTCAGCCCAGGATCAAAACCCTAAAATTCGGAAAAACTATCAAAATTCAACACATGTGGCAGAGAATATGAGATAAGGCCAATTCACTGAACAAGATTCCTATGATCAATTCAGACAATCAAATTTACAAAAGGAAATAAAATAAAAAATGAAGACAGATGACTAATAGTAAACCCAGGCGAATTTCACAGCTACGAATCATTCTAAAAAGAAGAAAATAAAGAAGTAAACGTCTCACCACCGAGTAGCAGGAAGATGAAACCCTAGGTCAAGCGAGTTATCCGTTCCAACAAAACCGATGCGCACTCGCATCTCCCAAATCCCTTCCTGTGCCTCTATATATATGTAAATATCTACACTCTGTTAAAATATTCACTGCACTATCTCCGGCGACGACGGTTGGCCGCTCCGAGAGAAAACCTCGTCTTCTTCTTCTTCTTCGGGGGAAAAGTTCTCGCGAAAACGAGAGAGAAGAAAATTCGTTTATTCTTTGGTAATTAACATTTAATAACTTAAAATCATATTGGTAGATTATATCGTATACCGTATATACAGTACCTCTTCTTTTCTTTTTCTTTTTTAATTACACTTTCGCGTATGGATTAAAACTGCACGTGCGAAGCGTGTGGAGGGAGCTGGTAGAGACTCACGGCCCGGCTCCATTATGTACCAACTTGTCCAGTCAACAAGTATTCATTCGGTTCACCACACAACAAAGTCACATTTTTCACGGAAATCTATACGAGAGAAAAAGTCTTGTATTTTTGTAATTGATCCAACAGCTGAGATTTATAGGATTTTAAGATGATGATATCATTTTTTTTAATCCAACGGTTGATATGCTTTGTTTCGAAGGATTGATGTCATATCTTTTTCAGATAGTGTCGTTATCTTCTTCTTTTTCTAAAGTCGTTGTACAAACCAAAGTTTCATTGCAAATCAACTAGTGTTATAATGAGAGAAGCATGTATATAAAATAACCCACATGGATACAATTCAAAACGTTAAAAGACCTAGGATATCTAAATTCTAAAATTAGTACTTGGGGTGAGTTCCATTCTATTAAAGGATTTTTATGGACCTACGAGCTTACGAGCCACCCATTATAATACGAGGTGAATGGTAGTCTTGTATATATATTTGTCTCTACATTTTTGCTACAGTTCTCATGGTGACAAAGATGTCCATGAAAATCTACGGTAGAATAAGGATAAATCTTTAAATGTTACGTTCAATAATGTATAGTTGTTTAGATTCTTCAGACTATTGAAACAATCATCATGACTTAGCAGGATAAACAATCATCCAAATGAATTCTCAGAAATATAAGACCATATGCAAATCTTCAAGAGGGCGTTTCTTCCGAATATTTGTGAATAAAAAATGGGTCTGTATAAACTTTGAACCAGAAATGTATCTAAATTAAAAACAATAATTTACATCTCTTGATGCCACATGTTTAAATTTAATTGTTTTTGTCCACTTTTAATATTAAAATATTAAATAAAAGACCAAACTCAGTTTCTACGTTGCTGATGGTCTAAAAAAATTAAGGAGGAAGACTATAGGTTTTTTAGTATAACATTATTTGTGTGAACCACTAAAATTAATAAAATAAAAGTGATAAAAATCATTGAAGATTTATGCATTTCTTGTTTACCATAGCTTTGCCAATTATAAAGTTGTTTTGTATATTCTCATGATTAACACTTGATATTGTGAAAAGAATTTAATGAGCGTTGATTTGATCAATCATCCTTTTACATCAAACAAAGCAAAATGAAAATCCAAATATGACTACGATATTAACATAGCCTCCAAATGATGCAAAGATGGACCAAAGAGAGGAAAAACAAATTATTGTGACTATTTTCTGAAAATATGATCTAGGTGTTTGTTCTATTTTCAAAATATGATATTGTATTTCATCTCAAATGCGAATTCAAAATATTAATTTTTTTGATAATTTCAAATTCTCTAGATGGTTTAGGAAACTTACAATTGAAAACAAAAATTTGCTCCAAATTTGTGCACATAACCAAAAAATCATAGAGTATAGAGTTTACTGCACATAACCGATAAATCATAGAGTATAGAGTTTCGTGCACATAACCAAAAAATCATAGAGTATAATGCTACACCAATGTTCGTGATCAATTTTTGGAGCACAACAAGACTATACTCACGCATATTTATCACAACAAGACAAAAATCTGCAAAGCACAAATGATATGACCATTCACAAGAATAACAGATACCCAGCAAAATCAATGCAATAATTTACCGTCATTCATCTCAATTGTATTAGAACAAAAAATAGAAAGAAGATGTTGATAGAACAAAATAATAAGAAAAACATACTCATGCATGTACAATATTTGCTTTCTTAAAAGACTAATAAAATTTTAGACTTCTAATACAAAAAGATTGCAACAATTGGAGCCTAAATATTTCTAGTTTACTTTAATATTAGTGGAGTTTTACAGCACTAGTTGGACCTAGAAAATGTTTTTATTAGGATCTATGAAATAGTTTTGTGTTTTTATTAAAAAAAATAGACAAGGAGGATATAACACTTAAATAGCCCAATATAAGAGGTCCAGGCCTGTTAGTATGCTGATGACCGGAATTGGAACAAAGCAAGATGTGTTTTTGGAACACTTGGGACCGAATTTTACTTTGGTTCGGGTTCGGTTTAACTTTTGGCAAAAACGTATCACAACATAAGCATATACAACTAGTTAATTATATTTGATATAAGAATTAACTATATTTAGGTGTAACTTTTTCTATACTATCTACTTTAATATATCATATCTCTACATTTTGTTCGGCCAAAAAAAAAAATATCTCTACATTTTTGCTGCATTTCTCATGGTGACAAGGATGTCCATAAACATCCAATAGAATGAGAGTAAATCTACAAATGTTACATTTAACAATGTGTAGTTGGGTTCTTCAAGAATTTAGACTATTTAATTTACTAAACTTCTATTTTCATAATCGCTATATTATATTCTGAAAACATAATCATAAAATTTAACATAAATTCATGATTTGTTAACAAAAGAAAAATTAAAACTACAAAAATCTATTTTTTTCTCATCTAATCTTTATTTTTATTTTGTGAAACAGAATCATGTTTTCTTTGGAAAAAATGTAGTGAAAGATCAGCATACAATCAATTAAAGAATTGTCTTGGAATCATTTGACAAAATGGTTAAGAAAAGCAACAAACATTCACAACTTCAACAATAATCTTTTAGATTTGCGTATTACCCTCCGGCAAATCGGACACACCTTATTTTCTTCCGACAAGATCTTCTGAGCACAGCCACGACAAGTGGCAGAGTGACCGCAAGGTACGAAGAAACAATTTCTGCGCTCCTCGAAACATATGACACACAATGTTGAATAGTCCACATCATCCGACGAGCTAAACGACGCCGTTTGTACATCCCCTTTGCTCGTTACCTCCGATGACTCGTTAACCAGCGGCGTCCAAAGGGTGACTTCTTCTTCTCTTGCCACCACTGGTAATCTCTCTGTGTCACCTTCCATGTCGCATTCGCTCAGAAATTTTAATATCAAAAATATAATGAACATTATAGTCCCTAAGAAACAATAACACAAAAAAAAGGAAGAGCAAATTAGCTCTACTTTGAATATGATAGTATACGTTATATAACTATGCGAGATTGTACCCAAAAACGTAATATAAGCCACCAGTCTAGCTGTGATGGATAACTCCGAGTACCATCCACCGATCTCATCCTGCAAAATATCGGAGAACATATATCTTGAGATCGTTGTATCGAATATCTTGGGGAGATGAAAATGATTGAGTGAAAATAGAATGATTCGTTCTCATAAGCATTTAAGAAATATTGGATCTCTTCTTGTTTGTTTGGGAGCATTAAAGAAGTGAATTGTTGATTAATTCCAAGCATTGTTATCATCTTGACAGTATTTATAGATTGTGTCAAAGGGACCCGTCGTGCAATCCATATATTCTTAATTTGATCATAAAAAGAGGGATAATACAACTCGCTGACACACACAAACACAAAGAAAGAATGAGATAACTTCCAAACTCTGATCTTATAATACCTTTTTTTATTTTGAACAAATCAATTTCAATCCCACAAATGATTCACTCCGTTAACTTTATGCTAAACTGTTAGTTGAAAAATAAAATTAGAAATATCCGAAGACAAAAATAGCTGTGAGGGTATAATCGTCACTTTCGTTTAATCTTTTTTCGTCGTCTTCTACAATACTCAAAGAGTAGGGCCCTCCTCTAAGGCTCCAAAGCTCAGAACCCAATCTCCTTGTCTTCTTCTTCTTCACTTCAATAACTTTTTTTTTTTTCTCATCTCTCCTCTCAAACATCATCATTTTTCTGAAAAATCGATTCCACATGAAGCGTTGTTCTTCCAATCCTCTCTTAGACGGTGATGGTAGGGACGAGAACAAGAAGATGAAGAGCTCAGAGGAAAACGAAGGATCGGAAATCGGATTCACGAATTTAGACGAGAATCTACTGTACGAGGTGTTGAAGCACGTAGACGCGAGGACCTTAGCTATGTCTTCTTGCGTGAGCAAGATCTGGCACAAGACTGCACAAGACGAACGGCTCTGGGAGCTGATCTGCACGCGTCACTGGGCCAACATCGGCTGCAGCCAACTCCAGCTCAGATCTGTCGTCTTGGCTCTCGGCGGCTTCAGACGACTCCACTCACTCTACCTCTGGTCTCTGTCGAGTCCTAATCCACATGCGAGGTTGGGTAAAGACGAATTGAAACTCTCTCTTTCTCTCCTCTCGATTAGCTACTACGAGAAGATGAATTTCGTTAAGAGACTCCCCGAGTCCAAATAGTTAAATATATCTCTGTTTTCCAGCATCTTGTTAGGTTTAATGAATTTGCGCGAATCCTTTGTAAGATGTGCTTTGTATTTCTTCTGATTGCTAGTCATTTTAACTATCTAAATAATGTCTCAAGTTTTCATCTTTTGGGTATTTATTTGGAATTTGTTGATTGAGAAGTATCCAATTAGGATGTGATGCTCAAAGCTGGCAAGTTCTATGCCATAGCCAGACTGTCAGCAACAGTTAGAGATTCTGCAATAATAGAGGCTGGTGAGATTGTTAATTACTTCAATTTCGATTCGATTAAGTAAACTAAATCAAATATGATTCGATTTTTGAGATAAGACCTGTCACTCGTGAACATAATTAAGCTGGTCCATAGTTGGACAATGGTTGAACAAAAAGCTGTGGTAAGGACAGTTTCTTTCTGTGATCCGGTTTGAGAAGATTAGAAACGGTTTAGCAACGATTATGTTGTATTCTCCAATGAACAGGTTCACAACCATACCTTCTTCTTCTTCGTTTACTCCCGGCCAGAACGGTTTAGAGCCTTGATTCCCAATCAATCAAACTATACAATAATGCCTACTAATAATGCGATTAACATGTTAATTATTTATCTGAAATTTGTTTTCAGTCAATCAAACTATAGATTCTTGATATGCCTAATTCCAACAATGCGATTAACATGTAAAATTATTTATTTGAAGCGAAACCGAAAACATTTCCTAGCTACCGTAATCTTTTTCTTCTTCCAGTCTACTTCGTTTGTAATATTTCGTGTGGACGGACACATTTCCAGACGTTTTACCGTCTATTATCTCCACGGTTTCGCAATGTCGCCGATTAATGCGGGAAGGAAAATTCGTATTATTGTATGTTAATTGCGTGCCATAATTATTTATGTTTCTAAGATAGTATAAAAGCTTCTGTGAATTTTTTTATCTTTCTAAAAAACATTTGTTTTTCATGGCTTTATATGGGAATTGGATAGAACTATTGCGTGGCTTACCATAAATAACAAAAGTTGATGTACTCGAGTAAGTTGTGTGAAAGTTCACGTTTTTGTTAAGATTTTATTCATAAACTACGTTTAGCTACGTGACAATAAAAGGCTAAGAAAAACAAACCCCACACGGCTCTCTGTTTAGCAAAAATTACTTAAAAACAGCGAGTCTAGAAACATCTCTTAGCCTCAAAATCAGATTAGATTACCTTCTTCTTCTTCTTCTTCTTCTTCTTCTTCTTCTTCTTCAGTCACCGATTTGATCGAGAAAATGAGTTGGTGGTGGGCTGGCGCCATCGGAGCTGCCAAGGTAAAAATTTCAACCCCAATCCCTAAATCATCAATCCATTGATCTTCTTCTTCATAGACACTGATTTATTACAATCTTCTCTTTTCGCAGAAGAAACTCGACGAAGATGAGCCGACGCAAAGCTACGAGAGCGTCGCACTCATCATCGGCGTCACCGGAATCGTCGGAAACAGCCTGGCCGAGATCCTCCCTCTCTCCGATACACCCGGCGGTCCATGGAAAGTCTACGGCGTCGCTCGCCGTCCTCGACCTAGCTGGAACGCCGATCATCCAATCGATTACATCCAGTGTGATGTCTCCGACGCCGAAGAAGCCCGATCCAAGCTTTCCCGTCTAACCGACGTCACACACGTCTTCTACGTCACCTGGACCAACCGATCCTCCGAGACCGAAAACTGCGACGCGAACGGCTCAATGCTCCGCAACGTCCTCCGTGCCGTCCTCCCAAACGCGCCGAATCTCCGCCACGTTTGTCTCCAGACGGGGACCAAACACTACATCGGCCCTTTCGATAACCTCGAGAAGAGATCTCAGCGTCACGATCCGCCGTTCACGGAGGATATGCCGAGATTGCAGATCCAGAATTTCTATTATACTCTGGAGGATGTTCTGTTTGAAGAGATCAAGAAGAAAGAAAGCGTGACTTGGTCTGTGCATAGACCCAACACGATCTTCGGATTCTCTCCGTATAGTTTGATGAACATTGTGGGTACTCTCTGCGTCTACGCGGCGATATGTAAGCACGAAGGGTCTAAGTTGGTTTTTCCGGGGAGCAAGAAGGCGTGGGAAGGTTTCACGGCAGCTTCAGACGCGGATTTGGTGGCGGAGCAGCAGATTTGGGCTGCGGTTGATCCTTACGCAAAGAACGAGGCGTTTAACTGCAACAACGCTGATATGTTCAAGTGGAAACATCTTTGGAAGGTTCTTGCTGAGCAGTTTGGGATCGAGGAGTATGGATTCGAGGAAGGGAAGAATCTGGGGTTGGTGGAGATGATGAAAGGGAAAGAGAGAGTGTGGGAGGAGATGGTGAAGGAGAATCAGTTGCAGGAGAAGAAGCTTGATGAAGTTGGTGTGTGGTGGTTTGCTGATGTTATACTTGGTGTTGAAGGAATGATTGATAGTATGAACAAGAGCAAAGAACATGGCTTCCTTGGTTTCAGGAACTCCAACAACTCTTTTATCTCTTGGATTGACAAGTACAAGGCTTTCAAGATCGTTCCTTGATTCATCTTTTCTTTGAAAGATGTTTCTCTGTTTTCTTCTTCGATTTCATGTTCATGTTTCTCCCAAAATCTCAGTTTTTTTTTGTTGTCTGCAAAAAGATCAAATAATAGCGGATTTGCCTTTTGTCTGTAATTTTTTTTCTTCTATGAATATTCCATCTCTACTCTTGTAAACCCTTTTGAACCCTTTTGAAATTCTACTATTTGGGGATAGTTTTCGCATCTATCTATTATTACAAGTTGTAATAGAAATATATTGCACAATGCTGGAAGAGCATCAAGGCTAATGGAAACACCAGATTCTTGTTTTGGAATTAGAGTGTGTTGCGAGTTCAAGAAGTGCTGTTCTTTTTGGTCGTATTGTGAAATTGGTGATTGTTCCAAACGCTCATAACAAAGGTTAACTGGTTAGAGAGTGTACACAACACTGGCTGTGAGAAGGCTTTCACTTGGAGTTATCTCAAGTTTCTCTCTTGCAACTTGGAAGTAAGAAAACTTGCTTATTTATGGTTTAAGTGCAATCAGCTTTAGCCTTTAGCTTGCTGTTATTTAGAATCAAACTAAGGCAACTACTAGGATGAAATAAGTTCCCTTACTTGATTCATTAGGTCTTAGCATTATCTACACACCATAAATCAACTAATCCACGCACACACGCGCATAAATATTTGAAGTGTTTTTGTTTTGCTGCAAATCCTCCAACCCAAAAACACCGAATGAAAAGCCTAAACCATTGGACACTAGACAACCCAAGTTGGCACCAAATGGTCTATTTACTGCATTTATGATTATCTTTGAGAAACATATTTTAATGCAAAAGAATAGATTTGCCTTTGTTTTCCCAAAGATCCTTCTTCAAGCATTGTCTTAAACACTGGATTCAGCTTTCCCCTGAAACTATTTCTAATACGAGTAAGCTTGCAGTTAGAAAGAAATAGATAATTGGGTGCTGGAAGGAAAGATACAAGAAATCGCTGACACAAAGACATCATTTACTCATAGAGTCATAGAAAATTAGTTTTTACCATTTTTGCTGGATTCAACACCAGTTATGTCTAAGGTTGTCGGATCTTCCAATGGTCCTGAATTAGGAGGTAAGAAAACAGAGGTTTCATTTTCTGACTTCTTCCCTACCTGTAGAAAGAGAGAGAGAAAGAGAATAAGTCAGAGTTTGTCCGACCTGAAAAGGCAATAAATACATCCAGATAATATCCAAATCCTCAACATCTAACTAACTCACATTATGGCCAGTATTCATCAAACCAGGGATCTGCTTTGAAACAAGTGCAAGATACTGCTCCATTGCCTCCTCTTGACTCATGTTCCCAAGTTTTTGCCAGGCATTCCTAGCACAAGGTAAGCACTGTTTGTCACTCGCACATAACAGTTGTTGAGCATGCTATAAAAGCATCCAAGCTACATCATCATACACCAAAAAATTGCTGATCCTGTCCTAACTAAGATGTTCAGGTATCTTCTAAAGCTTTATCCCTTCTAGTTTCAAGTATATGGTGCCCCTCCCATATCAGCAACACAACTTACAAAACTCTACAATGTGGAAATGTATTCCTTAACCAACCAAGCAAATAAGAAGCAGATGAAAAAGAATCAAGAAACCATGGAATAGTATGGTACCATTTTGCACGAGCAGAGACCATGACGGCCATAGGCTGTGCCTCTCGGCATGGCCCTTCAGTGGCGATCTTGTGCAGGCCGTACAACACCATCTTAGCTTCCGCACCAATTTCTTCAGCTTTTCTGGATTCTTCCATGAATTTTGCAGAAGCCGCAAAGGCATTCTGCAGTTCACTCTTCTCAATTCCCTCCCAATCATCATCTTCTTCAATACTCATTTCCTCTTCATTCTCTCTTTCTTCTTCAGTATTCCGCTCCATCTTATCTTCACTCTCCTCCACCGTATCACTCTCTTCGACCTTAACCTCCTCACTTTTTGTGTTTTCTGCGGAAACACTTCTTCTCTCTGTCGATTCGCTTCCTTCCTCTTGTCCTCGAATCATAATCTCCTCCGCGATCACGTTTTCCGGCGAGACAGAAGTGGTGGATCCATCTTCTTTCGTCGGAACAATCAACTCCTCGCGTTCAACACTGATTTCACCACTTGAGTCTCTCTGTTTGCCTTCTCCACGAACTATAATCTCCTCGACTACCACATTTTCCGGCGAGAGATCAGCCAAGGACGCATCTTCCAGATTTGAAGCCACCAAGTCTTCGCCTTTAGTCACCTCCTCGAGTTCATCGACAACTTGATCAGCTTCGCTTCCAAACCGATCAACAGGTTCCACATTCTCATCAACAACTCGGAAATTCCTCTCGCTCTGGAGGAACACTCGAGCATGATCTACTTTCAGTCCAAAACGAAGCTCCTCCGTATCACCACCGACACCGATCTCGTGCTTCTCCGCCTGAGAGTGATCGGAAGTCCGATCGTTTTCTCTGCTACCGCCGTTCGCCGCAACAGGCAAAGACACGAGCTTAGCGAGGAGGAAAGAAAACAAAAGCGCAACAAGGGCAGTGAGAAGCATCTCTAGGAAAAACTCCATGATTGAGTAGTAGAGGATCTGAGAAGAAGGGGGAAAAAAGGGAAAGGAGGAGGAGTAATAATAATAAGATTACGGAAAGAAAGAAAGAAGAGAGGAAGGAATAAATGAGAGAGAAGAAGAAAGCATATTCTCTGTGGAGCCTCTCCGGCTTTATGCGACATAAGCGGGTCCGACAATATTTACAAAGAGACTTTCTCTCTAACACCTAACCGTTATCAATGCTGACTTGGCTCCTACGGTTTACGCTTATCCTCTCCCACACCTAGGTGCCTCCTTATGAAGCGCGCCGCTTTTTTTTTTTTTTTTCTTTTCCTTCTTTTTCTTTCTTTCTTTCTACCCAAGTGGATCTTTTTCTTGGACTCTATTAGATACTACTAAAGAAGAAAAAAAAAACACTTAATGATTGAGGCCTTGACAAGCCCACTCCACCGCATAGACAAACCATGGTTTTGGTTACATTTATCTTTTTTAACAAACAAAAGAAATAAATATAGCTATCTGCCAAAGATGATCAGTTGTTGGATTCAAACGATTATTAACAAATAATCTCTATTTGCAGCAACACACGAATCCCATAATAAGCGGTTTTTACTTGCCTAGCTATGTGCATCACTCAAATCCGCGACAAACAGTTTTGTCTACAACATTTTGGAAATTTTTATAAGTTTTGCATCGGTTAATGATAGAACAGCAACTTTTGAATATATAATTTTATAATTAATATAACGTTTTTGAAGTTTTTAACCATTTGATCGAAGAAATTTCCACATAAAAAGTGATATAATTTTGTATTGAATTTCTAAAATCCCTATCGCTAAATAATTATATAGGATTATCTTATCTTAACCTTAGCAAAATCGGTCTTTCTTTTTTTTTTTTCTATCACAAAAAATCGATTTATCTATTTTATGAGAATAGTAAGTTTTACTGTTAAAATTTGCCTCCAAATATATCGAATATCTAGATATTTCGAATCCAAAAATTAACGAATACTCTCCCCTATGTATTTTTCAGCTCCAGTGGTTCCATTTAAAATAAAAATTATTGACGTTGAGAGTGTCAAATGGTATACAAATGATCACACGTGTAGCCCTATCACTGGTAGTCTATTTGACTGATGCACTATCTTCAATCTCCCCTTTAAAGAGAGAGAAAACGCATTTTTTTGTTGAGTTGACTCGCCCTTTCATTTCTTTTTCTCTTTCTTTTTTTCTTCTTCTTTTTCACTCGGTGCTCATCATCATCATCATCTTCTTCTTTTAAACAAAACAAAGAAGGGAAGAAGATCGGTTTTTTGATATAAATTTAAACCTTTTTGAGTATTAGAGTGGAGTTCGGTGAGATATGGCGGTGGAGCTAATGATGAGCAGCTATGGTGGTGGTGGTAGAGTCAAAGGAGGAGACAGCTTTTCTACGAAAATGGAAGACACCGCCCTGAGAGAAGCTGCGTCTGCAGGGATTCACGGCGTTGAGGAGTTTCTTAAACTGATCGGTCAAAGTCAACTGACGGAAGAGAATCAAACGGAGATAACGGCGGTGACGGACGTCGCCGTTAACAGCTTCAAGAAAGTGATATCTCTTCTCGACAGATCTAGAACCGGACACGCAAGATTCAGACGAGCTCCTCCCACCACGACGGCAACGGCGAAAACAGAAGATCGTGGAGGAGGAGGAGAGTGGAAGACGACGGAGGAAAAGCCAGAAACCACAACAACAGTGATGATAAACCGACAGAAAACAGAGCAATACGGTGGATCTGCGTTTAGAGTTTATTGTCCGATTCCAATCAATCGTCGTCCTCCTTTATCTCACAACAATCAGACCAAGAATGGTCCGTCTTTGTCTGCTCCGATACTCTCCAACGTAAGACCACCGCATGAGCCTCCGTTGTCGACGATAAACTTCGCGCCGTCGCCGTCGAACTCGTTCATGTCTTCTCATAGATGTGACACAGACAGTAATCAGATGTCTTCAGGGTTCGAGTTCACTAACTGCCCATCATCTCAGGTCTCGGGTTCGAGAGGCAAGCCTCCATTGTCGTCAGTGTCGTTGAAGAAAAGGTGTAATTCCTCTTCTTCAAGAAGTTGTCATTGTACCAAGAAAAGGTTTTTTTTTTTACTTATTAGATCCCAATATTATTATTATTCTTGTGTTTAGATCTGCGTCTAGAGATTCACTAATATTGAAACCTTTTTATTTGTTTGTAAAAAAAAAAGCAGGAAATCAAGAGTGAAAAGAGTGACAAGAGTTCCTGCGGTGAGCAGCAAGATGGCTGATATTCCATCAGATGAGTATTCATGGAGAAAATATGGTCAAAAACCCATCAAAGGCTCTCCTCATCCTCGGTTAGTTCTAATTTTTTTTTTCTTAATTTTTATGAATCTGTATAAACACATACATCACTATAATCACTTCATTCATCACTACCTAAAAAAAAAAAAAAAAAACACAATCCATAGGAGATTAGAAAAATTGTGCAACTTGTGTATTGTCAAATATTATTACCTGATTGAAAAACTAGTTTTTTTTTTTCTATATTGGTTGTACCAAACGTGTCGTCTAGTAGTGTAGTGGGTTCACGCTCTTTTTGACTTGTTGTTTGTTTCTTAAATTAAATAAAAGAAAAGCCAATTTTTAAAAGGAAATAATACTAAGCCGAGTTGACTCGTGTTATTATTAATAAAAAAAAAGAAGAGAAACTAAAACTCGAAGTGGGAAAACTCGGTGGTGGCAGGGGATATTACAAGTGCAGCAGCGTGAGAGGATGTCCGGCGCGTAAGCACGTGGAGCGTGCACTCGACGACGCGATGATGCTTATCGTGACGTACGAAGGAGACCACAACCACGCTTTGGTGCTCGACTCGCTTCCTGACAAACCTCTTTAAATTCGGTCGTTGCCGGCGTTAGATCTCAGCCGTTGGATTTGGAGCAAAAGAAAGAAAAGAAAAGAAGTGACCCTACTTCTTGTATCTCTGTCCACAATCCAGATTAGTCAACGACACAGTGGGCCTGCACTTCACTTTTTTTTTTATTCTTTTATAATTTGGAAAAGCTTTTTGCTTTATTTTTGCTGCTTTAATGGGAGAGAGAATAGAGAGGGCAAAGATAAAGACGAGAGAGGAACGTTGTGGATCTGATGGAAGTTGAATCATGTGAAAGTCCTTTTCGTTTATTTTTTAGGATAATAGCACTATATATAATACTATCAAATTATTTTTATTTTTATTTTTTACTCTGCACAAAGTAAACTACTTCTAACGCTTTTTGAAGTTTTAAAATCAACGGTAGTTTCAGATTGAGTTGACCAAATAAATTGTTAATGATGATGATTTGAAAAATTTGCAATTAAAATTACGTAAAAAGTCAAAAAATCATTTATCACCATGCTTGAATTGACTACATCATCTAATTAATGAACGTTCACAGAATTATAAACGTTGTTGACTTTGTTAACAAAAACAAAAAAAAAACGCTCAATAAAAGCGTGTTTATTTCAAGAGGAGTTAGTTAAGCAAATGTAGACTGATTTGGCGTGTCGATATAAAAAGATGGACACAAAATATCTGATGAGTGATGAGAGCTCTAAATGTAGCAACAACGATCTAGTGGAAATGTTATAAGAAAAATTAACGTAGGCGGATGGATCTTCTTGGGATTACGAAAATACTTAAGAAGTGTATTGACATTCCATGATTTCGACACTAAAAGAATCAGGAGTCGTTGGTTGTTTCTCCATCCTCCGAGTCTCGCTCGTTGATTCCCCTTTGTTCCTCGTATCTTCCAACCATACTTCCAGTGTGGATTGTACTACATCGTCGAATATCCCTTTCTTGAATTTGCTACCCATCTTTTCTTACAAACAACAAATGATTCAAATTAATTTTGTTAATTGGTGCTTGCAAATAGCTAGACATGTGGTTAAATATATATTTTACCTGTGTAACAATGACATAAAGTGGTAATGTGCTGTAACTGCAAAGCACTTGGACCAACACTCTGTATGAACAAAGAATAATCTATCAGATGGTACCAAAATACTTGTTAAACCTTAGGCAGACTTATAAAGAGTGCAAATTATTACCCCATGACGAGTCGTGGAATAAGGAAGCCTAGTTTCTCCATGATACACGATTGTATTCCGTATGTGAACTGATGATACGATAGACAAATCATAAATAAGATTGTGATTGTTCAAACGTACCAATTTATGTGTTTGCTTTTCATGGATTTTTGTTCCTTCTCACACATTTTGAAACAAAAAAAAAAATTAGATATATATATTTTCAGTTTTGCAAAGTCTAAACCCAAACGCCAAACACATTCCAAATTTTCATTTATTATGTGTCACAACTGATTTCACCTTCAAAACACTCAAGGTTGTGGTCTTATTTGAAAAATAAACACTTATTATAACATGTACAAAAAAGCAAAAGCAAACAGAGTACAAGTACTGAATAAAAGCAAAAATTGTGGAAGCAAAAGAAAGTGAAGCTGAGGTTTGAGAGAGAATTACCAAAATCCAGAAGAAGAAAGCAATCTCAAATGAATTCTGAAAGAGAATGAAGTGGATGAGTTGGAGAACAATCCCTGGCCTATGAAACCAAAACAGTTCATCAGAAGGTGTGATGACTGCTCCTTCCTCCCGGTTTCGCTTCTCTGACACATCCAGAGCTAAGCTACTTATTATATTTTCCAATTTAGCACCCACCATTAGTAACAGCTGCATTTTTTTTTTTGTAAAACACTTGTAAGTAACCACCATTCAAAAAGGTAAAAAAGAGTTACAATTTTTATGAAAATGATTACAAGAACTTACAATCAGAGGCAAGAAAGACAACCAGAAATAGGTATTCCATCCTCCAACATTCAGCAACAAAAAGACGACGACAAAGAGCCAGAGATACCAACTTTATATTTACATGATCACATCAACAAAATGAAAGATATTAGGCAAAACTCATCAAGCTAATATTGATGTGTTTATTTAAGAAACTAAAATTGATTAACTTAATTACCTTATGCTCACTACTTTCTTGAAATCTATTTCCAATGTTCTTAGCATATACTGGTGGAAATCAAATGATGGGTTTGTGCGGCAATGAGTCTGGAAAGGTAAATGAGTAAAAAAATTTTGACTGCTAGAGAAATTTGGTAAAACCGAAATAACATGTTGGAAAAAAAGAGAGTAAAGTAAGACCAAGATGAACCCTTGTCGCAGAGCTATATATTCTGATTTGGTGACAGAACCATAAAACTGCTTGAAGAATGATCTCTGCATCAACAGTACACATTGGCTCATCTCATCAGATATCAGATACGATGGTAGACAAATTTTGATTCGTGTGTAACACTTTTGGCCTTAATATCCATAACTCACCAGCCAGCTAATGACAGCAGATCTTCTCCAGAATCCTCCAGCATGCATCTCGAAGAACTCGTGATTTGCGTTAAATAACTCGTGAAGGGCATGAGCGTGAGCATGAGCATGACCACGCTTTGATACGCCTGCAACGTGTTCAAGACGCAAAAATCACATCAACTATTCAATTTGCCTGATCAAGAATAGTATTGTCGAATCTCACCCTTTTGAGAGGGATGTTTCTTGAACCTATCCTCCCAATGTTTCCATTGTTGTATCTAAATTTAATTTTAAATCAATGAAACTAATCAGAGTCCCAAAAAACAAAAAAAACAAAAAGATAGCATTCGAATAAAAAGTTCAATGCAAGGTTGTCTTCGCTGTTTTTTTTTACTTGTGCAAAAAGCTATAAAAGCAAGTTACATATTACCCTGGCTCCTCCAAGAACCATGGTTGTGGCGCAGAAAATGACGTGAAAAACCGCTAGCACAAAGATGAAGATATGGAGTTGATGCAACGCTTCCACGGATACTAACGGAACCTGCCCCTGCAACCATGTTGATGGAAAGGCAAGAGAACGGTTAATAGAAAAGGATCCAGCAAGATATATCGGATTTTTTAGGCAATGAGAAAAAAAATAAAAAAATTGCCTTGGCAGCACAATTGTCTGGACTTGCTCCTCCTGTTGAAAGGAGATGTCGTGCATTGATGACGAGCGCATGATGAGATGATTCTGGAGCATGATGATTCTCCAATGGCTTCTTACATGGGAACATGTTGTTTACAAGACCTGGTGGGACACAGATATGCCTAATTGCGGACTGAGATACGGTTAGCATTAGGGAGATAAATCCAAGGAGCATCAGTTCTGCGTGAAGACATCAATTTGGTCAGGTCAGGTGTGATTAATTAGCAACCGATTCATGTTTGAAAATGCAGAGGAAGCTGAAGAAAGAAGATACCTTCTTTAAGTTTCTGCAAGGCCTCGAACAAGGCATCTTGCCGCCTACGCTTCAGACACTAGGACACAAAAGAATGAAATATTGTTGGAAGATGAGAGCTTAGAGCTGAGACAATGTTTTTACAGAGAGAGAGAGAGAGAGAGAGAGAGAGAGAGAGAGAGAGAGAGAGAGAGAGAGAGATACCTTTCCAAGTCGATGAAGACCACGTTCGGCGAGAAGAGATAAGAGAACGATGATGAAACAGATAAACGCGACGACCCATGTGGGTGTATATTCAAGAGACCTCTCTTCTGCCATTTCTGGACCTCAAGATGTGAGACAACTCTTATCATTATTATTATTATTTAAAGCAGAGAATAAGAAAGAGAAGAAGTTGAGGGTAAAGAATAGAGAGAAGGAGCAATGTGTAGGTAACCTTCTCCACTAAAAAGCACAAAACCTTTTCTTCTGACTCACGCAACTACTTACAAATTCGGAATCAAAGAATATAGGCTATATATATCATATGCATTAATGCATATACACTATATACCTAAGAAAACCGAGAGAACAATGTTTTGTTTCTCAAACAACATTGTATGTAATAAGCCAAAGAAGCACTTGAAACTTGCTTTTTATTTGTTTTTATTTAGGCAAAAATAGATGACTTATTACACACTCAATAGTTTCAAGTTTTACTTCATTTTAGGGTATCCAAGGTGCTGGAGGCGGCGGCGTGGGAGGGTTCAACGGAGGTACGGCAGAGAAGATAGTGTTTTTGTCAATACCACCAACTGTTTTTCCTCCAGATAATGCCACCAGAGCAGCGACCAGACCAGCATTGCCTGCTAGAGTCGGCTCTGTGTAGTTGTAGTTTGCACGAACGTCGTGGAATCCATCATACTTGTTAGGTCCAGCAACCATTGCTCCTGTAATGGTGTTTGGGTTTCCCTTTTTGCTGTCTCTCCATTTCCATCCTCCTTTGCAGCTTTCTTTCTTTACACTCATCGGTATTGAAGCTCCTCTGTGATGTACATGTCTCGGGTAACGTTGCCCAAAACCCACAACATAACTCATCTTCCTAGGGTTTTTACCGAGTATGTAATCAATCTGCCAAGACTCAAAAACACATACTTTGATCAGACAAGGTCTCATTTTATCTTCTTTGTTTTCATTTTTGCTTTAATGGACGCATACCTGCGATCTAGAAAACTCGCGTAATACATCCCTAGAATAGAAATTAGGGCCACAGTACCATCCAGGAGTATCAGATGCTTCTAGATAATCACTGAATAGCGTCGCTAAGAAAGCAGCGTTTGCAGCATACTGGAGAGGCTGTGGAGCTCCATGATTCAACTCGATCAAACCTCCTGTTAATGTGGTATAGCAAGGTTATAAACAGCTTCCAAAACCAGAACAGGTCCAAAGAATTTAAGGTGATAATCATGGACAACTCACTCACCCTTGGTTCTGTTAAATTTTCTGAAATAAGGTAAGTAAGAGCACATAACTCTGTCTGTTTGATTATGGAAGGTGCTCAAAAGGTCTTCATATGGATATCCAGGGCTCAGAAACAGCCTCATCCTGGTCAACAGCAACTAAAAGAAAGTCCAGAAAGTAAGCGCATCAAGTGGTTCAAGAGTCAGGCCAAAATAGCATAACTACAGAATCCCAAAAAACAAGAACTAACCTGAGCTCCTGGAAGCTTATTGTCCCAGCTAAATACCCCATAATAAGAGCTTTTCCCAAAGGCACCAGCCTCCTGAGCCATAACGTGACTGGTAACTTTATCAAGATATGTTACATTACCAGTAGCGTAATACATCCAAGCTCCACCCCAAAGAAGCTCATCCCCGGACATGCTTGACTTGTAGAACTCGCTAGCATCTTTATGACGTTTACTGTGACTATGTTTAGTAGACTCTGCAAAGTCATAGAGTATCTTAGCGCCTTTAACAAGCTTTTGAGAGTAGATTCTATTGTCCTTGAATACAATGGATGCAGAAGCTAGAGCAGCTGCCATCTCTGCAGCGAGATACGGGCAGGTACCGTAACATGGTGTTACAGTCCTTTTATAATCAATGTCTTCAGGACGCATCCAGCAGTAATGGTCATTATGAATCACACTTCCTCCACTTGTATCCCCAAATCCAACCTGTGCAAATAACAAAAAAGCAAAGCGTTTATAACTGAACACACAAACACACAAAGAAAGAACATATATATATTTTCTTTCACCTCTTCCACCATTGCATAGATTTTACCCAGCACTACTACTGTTGAAAGTCTTGAGGAAGTAGTCAGTTCCCCATTTGATGAGTTCTTTAACATGGTCGAGCTCGCCAGCAGATTGGTATTTGGCACTGTATTCAATCACACTCCAGCTCAGGACGGCCATTGCGTAAGACATTGGGAAGCTGAATTTGATAGCATCTCCAGCATCATAGTAGCCTCCTACCAAATCTTTGTAGACTTGTCCTTGATCTCCTTTACCATCTTGCAGGCAAGAACTACCTCTCCATGACACGTTATTGTGCTCTGGTAGTTTCCCAGCTGCAAAGCAACATAACAAATATCAGACTCAGACATGACATACACTGCTTCAAGTTTGTCTTAAATTGAAGTGGAAAACAAAAACAAAGACTATATACTAGAGTGAATGTATCAGCAAGATCAAAATGTTAATAAGGAATTAAACATATCTTCCATGATCGATGATAATCAGTCAACAAAAAGCAGAGTAAAAATGGGAAATGTTGGTTTTCTCGGGCTTACATTTCTGAGCATGGAAGAACAAGAGAGCCTTGTGGAGAGCGAGAGTGAAATTGTCGGGTTTTGGTGGCTCGTGTTTGTGGCGTGGCACTTTCTTGACGATCGTGGTAATGGATCCAGCGAGAAACGCGGTTAACACAAAGGTTCCGAGAGTCCAGAGAAAGATTTTGCGGCTGACTAGTAAACACCCGAGATCGACGTATTTTTTCTTCTTGGGCTCGGTTGGGCCGAGAAGCCAGCTCTGCTGCGTAGCGTCGAGTGGTCGAGAAAAAGCTGCACGGTCGAGTTCTTGCAGATTTCGACTGCGATCGTCGTCGGTGAGTGAGTCCGCCGCATTGATCTCTAAAGGACCGCCCCATGGGTCACGTCCGTACATATTGGTGGGTGGGCCACGAATCAGACAGATCTGCCGAGAATGAGTGGAGAAGACGAAGAGGTTGAGAGTGAGTGTAAAAGGCTTTTAGGGTGTGTGATGTGGAAAGTGAAAGTGTTAAGTGAAGAAGGTGAAGAGAAGCTTTTAAGAGCTTTCAATCACTATTTGCCACGTGGGATTCGGTCGTGCATCTCTGAGATTTTCTATGCTTTTATTTTTTTGTAACGTGTGTGTGGATTTTGTCTTTCTTTCTTTTTTATTGGTTGGAATTTGGAAACGTAACTATATGAAATTGTACTTTGAGCATGTCTTGAAAACATGATGTAAAGTAAGTACGCATGTATGATGTATAGTCGTTTTCTTTTACATCGTACGAGTATTTATTTGAATGTAGCGTGCATATATATTGTGGAATATCTTATTAAGTTATTATGACGGTGGATAAAATTCTTGAACATCATCAAATATTTTTAAGTTGTAGTTACATGTTTCAAGACCGACCTTTATTCTTCTTTCAAGTGTCTCTATCACTTCTTGTTTCCTGTACAACTCAGTATTCTTTCATAATAATTGATACTCTTTCCTTATTAAAATAAAAGATGTTTTTGGTTCATTGCACACACATTAAGAAAACTTGCAAAATTACATTCATTGGTTTAAACTAAATTAATTAATACTTTACCAAACTTTTACATTGGAAATACAAAACATCATTTATTTCGAAACAACCAAAAATTGGCTAAAACATCAATAAAAAAGGATATGGAGAGAATACTAATTAAACCTAATAAGAAAATGCAAACATACATGTAACATGTAAAAGATGTTAAGTTTTGCTCATGTAACATAGCCCAAAAAAAAAAAAAAAGGTTTTGCTCTCAAAACGGTTTCTCAATTACAAAAACATGGGAAGAAACAACGAATAACATTCAAACTTACCTCGATAACACAACCGAACATTCCCATTGATTTCTTGGCTGGAGCTGCATCTACAATGGGGACACCATAACTTGGATTCGGCACCATGTACTGCTGATACGACTGATAGATGCGAAGATCAGACACCTGAGACAACAACGGGCTTGTCTCCACAATGGTTTCTTCTTGATTGTGAGGCAACTGAGTATTCCAAGGAAATGCAGATGTATCTGGCGCACTAACACTCCCAATCTCATCGAACCAAAACGGGAAAGGAGGCGCTGTAGGCTCAACCACCACCGCTTCTGCCACAGGCTCAACCGCTGACAGCACGGAGGAGTACTCACAAGAGCATTGGTGAGCCTGAGATGGGCAAGCTTGCTTACGTTTCCTTTTCTTTCTAGACCAGAACTTGAGCTTCTTCATAGCTTTCATAACCTTCATTGGGTTACTGCTCAAGGCTTAAGAAAATGGTCATTACTACCTCTTGTATCAAAAGGAGACTAGTTTGTAACCGTTAAAGAACAAAAAAGTCAAAAGGAAGCATCATCGTTCGATATTCATCCTCTTTTAGCTTTTTGAGATATTCAAACTTTGTGGCCGTTTAATTAGCACAATCTTGCAGAGGCCCCACAGACTCTGCCACTAATGACTATGTCATCGCTTTTCTAGATGTAAGTTATGTCAATACAAAAAAAAAATGGGTATATGGTCTTCTTGATTCCCAAGTGTAGAAGTGCATTCTTTCATGTAAAGGTTGCTTAGAAAATACATGTTTAGTTATTGAACATTGTCTAATTATCTTGAAAAAAACAAGAGTAGCAGATGCGAGAATATCATCGGTCTACAACATAAGATTGCTTTTTTGGAGTGTGTTAGAAAGTAGAACAAGAAAAGTAGTATCCAGCGGAAGACAAAGACCAAGCGAAAGACTCTCATTATTTAAGGAACATATTCCTAAACTCGTCGTTTGATTTTGGTGTCTCATCTGCGATGGGTTTGGGTGTGGTGAAGCCGAGTGCTTTAACATTTCTTGGGACAGCAAACGTGTTCTTACCCTTTAGTTCGACTTCATTTCCTCGCCTTTCACCCTCAGTTTCTCCACCGAGAGGTGCTTTCGCCTTCTCAGAAATCTGGGATGTGTCCTTTGAATTCCCCGAACCTTCTATGGAAACAATCATACCAGGTTAAGATTATTTTCAGTACAAGTAGCTACGATTTCAATACACGGCTAAATCATGAGGAAAAACCAGAAAGAAACATATAATCTCACCACTTCCATGCCTAGTGAATTCCTTTTTACCCTTCTTTGGATTTGACCGTGCTATACTGATCTTCTTATTAAGAAACATCTTTCTGTTCTTTGCTATAGCCGCTGCAAGGTGCTCATCGTCCACAAAATCAACATATGCCAGTCCCTGCGAGACACAAAACCATCGAGCATATTAATCCACCATATCGACGTAATTCACTAAAACAGAAACTGGCAGAAGCTGGTCATTGGCAGTATGCATATTATTGCTATCTATGATGAACAGCTCACACCAATTAATTCAGATTGAAGGATCTACTTGCTTATCTCCCCTTAATTTCTAACAGGATCTAAACATGATCACGCAGGAACTAGGAAATTTCCAGATTCATCAACAGTATCATGCATGAAGGCGTGTGTGAGAGAGAGACCCTTGGTTTTCCAGTGTTTTTGTCATGAAGAATGCGGATAGAAACAACCCCACCAACATCGCTAAAGAACTTACGCACATCTTCCTCTTGTGCCTGACGACAACAATATAACTCATATCAGAAAATCCCAAATTTTATTTCAATATGTCATCTTAGTAAAATTGACAGAAGCCCATTTACTTACCTTGACACTGAGATTTGAAATAAAAGCTGTACACTCGTCTGTATAAATTTTCGGCTTCGCTGGTTTGGCGTCTTCTATCTCACTTTTATTTGAATCAGCTGCCTTTGCAATATCTGCTTTAACGTTTTTGGTGTTTGGTACAGTTGCACTCTTACCTTCTGCGTCCACTTCATTCATTTTTTGACCCTTACTCTTCTGCCGCTTAGCCAAAGATTCTTCTTCTACATTCGGCCCTGCTTTTCTCTTTTCACGTGTACTCTTTGGTGGGTTATGCTCTTTCAGGCCGGCTGGCGGTTTGACTGCTAGAGACTCCTGTTGTAACCTAATCAATTGTAGCTCTTCCAAGCGTGGTGTAACCTAACGAACAAAAATCAAAAAGATAGTATAATTTACAGCTTTCACAATTATTCTACATGTACTTCTAGCACGGAATGCATTGCTTTTATATAAGTACATCAGAGTCAAATATAAGGAATCTGGATGTAGGATGCCAAGAGCAGTGCGGTAAACATGAATTTGATCTTACTTTAACAGATTGTTGTTGATGTATTTATCAAATCACAGTTAGCAGAAAACTAAAACCAGCAACATTTTATTCACTGTTTTCTAGAAATGCCGAATGACAGTTAACAATTATACCTTTTGAACTGCATGGTCAAAATCTTCCAAAGCTCCATGCTCCCTTTCAAAGCGCAACCATCTATGGCATATATCCTGGAAGATTGTCCTTCTTAGGAAATGAATATAATGCATATAAACATCAGACATGAAAACTTAGGCACAGCATGCACCCATATTCCAAGAAAATGTCACATGAAGCGTCAATTACAAATCTTCCACTTTCATCATTAAAAGAAGAGAAAACTCAATAAGAGAAAAGAAGAGATAACTGAACTAGTTGAACTACATGGAGAATAGCTTGATTTTTGATACAAACTCTAGCTTCCAGAATCTTACATAAAATCAACAATGGGAAATAGAAGATAAACATTGACTAACAAAGGCTGAGTGCTTGTGTTGCAGTTGCCGCATCTAGCATGGTTTCTCAACTCTATAATTCTCTATTACCGCATTTAGCATGGTTTCTCAACTCTATAATTCTCTATTACCGCATTTAGCATGGTTTCTCAACCCTATAATTCTCAATTAATAATAGATAGTGCCGTTTCAGTTGCATGTGAAGCTAAAGAATGTGTTTTCAGTGCCAAATATCCCTACTTCGATAACAAAACAAAATTAAGAGTAACACATGAAACAAAAGGGAATAGAGTGCATACTTCTGAGCCATTCCCATCAAACTTTCTTGTATAGCACCTCCGGTAAATAGACCTAGCTTCCTTTACATGCCCCAAACGCACTTCCATATCAATGTATGCATGCCAAGCTGCTAGCATCCCACCACTGGAGAGACGCAAGCAAGATGAATCATAATGAACCAGATTGCCTTATTCTGACAAATGATGTACTCTGCCTGGATTATTTAAAGTTTAAATCTGTAATAAGTCAAATATAAAGGATATAGCTTGCAAGACCTTTTCTTCAGAAAGCTATCCCAAACACCTCGTGCTGCAGCTAGATCTTTTCCAATATTCAGTTCCAAGTTAGCCCAATAAGCATGCAAACGCAGCAAACTGTCTGTATTTTGCATGTGAGGCGTTAAGTAACCTGATGCTTGCTGAAAGGAAAGAAACATTGTGTTAATAAGTGGTGCCGAAGAGGTACAAATCAAGAGAAAAGCTAAACAGATCAATACTATTTTCACCAAAAAATGTAACTCTAGATAGCTCTCAAATAGAAAGCTAAGAAAAGAAGGACATTACAAACCTGAAAAGTTTCTCTTATCAGAGAATAATCCAAAGTCTCTACCATCTTAGTTGATAACATTCTCCTTCTCAGGCCATCTACTCGGGTGAGATATAATTCCAGGTACTGATGAGGAAAATCTCGTAAGAAATACATACATACAGTGAATGGATACATGCTAGAAAATGGATAAGAAAATCATGGAAGCAAAAGTTGTACCTCCTCAAAGGAGGAAAATGTGCACTGCAATGACTTATCAAAGACCTGTATGCAACAATTTGAATATTAGGATATCTCTCGGTATGAGTTTCTGAAGATCTCATACCATAGCGCATGGGATATGGTCGGAGGAAGATAACAGAGATAAATATATGTTAGGGCAAGTATCCTACAATATTATTCTTTTGGTTTTCAATTTAAACAATTGAGACTTACAGCATAAATCTCTTCCTCGGATGCAGAACCACGCTCTAAAGCAAGCAAATAACGTGTCCAAAGATCTCCAGTCCACGGGCAACTTCTAGTCGCCCTAGAATAGGCATGCGTTATAGATTTTCCAACCTGAATCAGGAAGTCCATAACACAAATTGTTATAAAAAACAAACACTATAAAAAGACAAGTTAGAAGAAGTGATAGACAGATAAAAAACGCCACAAAGGATCTACAACAAAACGATCTATAACAAGTTCGTCCGGAAGTTTTATTAAGAGATGAATAACCTTCAAAGTTTTATCAAGATAGCAGGTATAGTCTATCCACAAGTCACTTGAAACCGGGTATTCAGCCACAGCACGTTCATATATAGCTTGAACTCGTGTAGGATCTCCAGACGTCTGCTCAAACTTTATGTAATTCTATACAAAAAAAAAAAATATACAATCATCAAATTTCCAACTAGATAAGTCTGCAGATTCAAATCCTTCACGCAATACGATCCCAGATGGTAGGCATATTACAATCCAACTTCCACAAATATCAACTGCATAATAAGCCATACACACCATGAATTGCTGAAACTTTTCCGTGTCCGATAAATCTTTCTTAGATATGTTTCCTTCAAGATGGGCACGCTCACTATACATTTGTTGTGCCTTCTTGTATGCAACAGCAGCCTGAGGAGAAACCTTACTCAAATCATCAGATTCATTATCAAGGTCAATGCCCTGTTCTGACTCCCAAGCCTTATAAGCAATAAGGGTGGAGCTCAAGTTTTCCAGCGGAACAGACAGATGACGGTGGAATATGCTTCGAATCCTTTGTATCTGCTTATTTCTCTCCTGCAAAATAAAAGTAGTCCTTACTGAGTCCATGATGCCCAAAGAACTATAAACAGATGAAACTTAGGAAATAAAGCGATTCACATACGCAACTTATAATCATATTACAGAGGTGGTTGGTTGTTCAGAAAACAGTGTGCCCAAAATCCAACCAATATCACCAATGTTTTCGCAGCACCAAGGTGCTACAAGCACCTTCTATGCAACCTAGCACATTTTCGTTCTACTTAGAGCCTAAAGACCAAAAGATATTTCCATAGCCACCATTAGCTCTCGTTTACTACAAGGTATTATTTCTTCCCACTGAAAACAAAACAACAATTCGATCAACCACTCCTATTCTCAGTTCATACAGGAATCATCCTAGGACAGAAACCTCGCTAACATGCTGCTAGACTAAAGTGAACGAATGTAGTTAAAACAAAATCAAGAAAATGGATCCAACCTCAACGTCAGCCTTGTCAATAGTGGCTAAGATGCCTTGCTCAAATTCTCTATATCCTTCCCATATTCTATTGCCCTCAGTAACATGGAAGCCTGCAGCCGGAATAGCACGTTCGAAAAGACTCCTCATTTTTGAAATACCATCAGGTGTATATCCATGTACTGATGGATCAGATTCCAGCAAAAAGTTCAGGTAGTCACACCAAAGAGATACAGACTGCATAAAGGCACATATACTAGCTTAGTAATTCAATGTGGAATGAATTCTCAGTCGAACAATAGATCATAGAGCCTAAAAGGTGGATTAGTCTCCCAACAAATACTCACTACCTTGTAATCAATAAAAAAAAGAAATTTGAAATACTAAAATATACAAGATTAATCAAGCTTTATTAACCCTAACAGCCCAGTTCGAAATAGTATACCACAGTATCTCTTCAGTCAATCAATCTAACAAAACCCTTCCAACAAAATGGTAATATCATATATTACTACCAAAGCCTATATTGCAGCTGCCGTTTACGTACCTGATAATCAGAAAGTCCCCGTTCGTAAAGCTTCACAATTTCAGGCACATTTTCACTGCAGAAGAGAGAAAAATATAACAAAGCTTTCAGAAGTTGTGTTATACATTGCATGCTTGAGCCGTAACAAATAATGATCAAAGGAAAGACAGTGAAGCCTGGGATGAAAAAACGGAAGTATTAGCAATAGAAGAGCCTAAGAAACGCAGATATTTTTTTACCTAGAGGCTAGAGATGCTTCATCCCTTGCCCATTCAAGCCACAAAGAAGGACTCAACGGAAATATGGCACTCATAGCTTCCCTTGCTTGTCTTAGCTTTTCAAGGTTCGCCGTTTTCCTGAGAAGCTTTATATACTGAAATAAGAAAGCAAAAAAAAAGTTAGAAAAAATGTAACCAGTAAACCATCCATCTCCAACAAGAGAAAGAAGAAAACGCAGAAATCAAAGATTTTTTTCTTTTGATAACGAACAACTCAAAAGTTTCTCAAAAACACACACGCAATAACATGATTGTCAAGCGTGACTTCGTTTTAATTTAATCCCTGAGAAATGTTCAATAAAGAGATTTCACGCCAAAATGGCAGGTGGAGAGTGATTGTTACTTGGACATAAGCATCGTAGTCGTAAGGATTGGCGGAGAGCTCCGATTCCAGGGTTTCAATCTGATGATTCAACTCGGCATCATCCTCCGAGTCGGAATCAGACTCGCCGGAATCATCCGACGAGGGAGGAACAGCTTCGGCAGCTGCAGGACTTATTGAAGCGTCATCCTTCTTCTGCTCGCTGCTAGTGAGAAGCTCAGTGTCATCCATCTTCTGAAACTTCCGAGTGGTGGTTTTTTGGGTTTAGGGTTTAAAACCTGCGGTTTGTTTTGTTCTCCGTCACCAAAATGACCGACTCCTCCGTCGTCGAGACTGTAACTACCAAAACAGTGTGATTTTGAAATCGAAACCTAGGTGAACCGGTTCAATAGAAGTCTCAGATTCCACTAAACCAATTGGTCAACTCCTTTGACCTTAAATGGATATCCTAGAACCATATGTAAACCTGATATTTTGGTGACAAAAGGACATGTAAAGATTTATATTTTGGGCTGTGTGAATTCATATCATGTTGTGTATCCACAAGGTAGACCCATTTGGAATTCAAGTCTCGGATCCATCTAATTTGACCGGTCAACTTTCTTGACTTTCTAAACCGGGATGCTAATCACTCAATTTGATATCGGCTAGTGGAAAATTAAGAAGTGCTCTGAGCTCAAATTAGTTTAAGATGAGTCCATGGAAACAAGTGTGTGTAGTGTGTTCTTTTTCAATGGAACCATATCATGAAAAGAAAAAAATGAATGAGGTGAAACCAACTGGAGAAACGAATCCAAAATTATAAAATCTTTCTACAGTAATTTTTGTCTCCCAATAATTTACTCTTAACATGTTATTTGATACACGAAGTATGAACACTATATTTATGTAATGCCAAACATTTGCCAGACAACTGCACATGTCCAGAGTTAAAAAATTTAAAACGTTAATTACAATCTCCACCAGCTGTAATATTTGAAAAGATCTCATAGTAATTAAAATTACCCGATTCATGAACCTCGACATATTTATAAATGGCACTCACACAGTAGCTAGAGTTCATCCATTATCATAAAACAGAACAAGAAGAAATAGAGAGAACACATCATGAGTGGCTATTCCAAAATGGATTCAACAGACGAGAAACCCCACCCGGTCGATCACCAGATCCAGAAGCCCGATCCGGAACCGATTGAAACGAGAGCGAAGCTGAGCAGGAACAGGTCAGTGTCTGCATCAGGGCAAGCGGTTCCTTCAAAGACTGCTATGTCCATGAGAAGATCTTCGTCTGTCTCTGAACGCTACTGTAGAATCTATGACCAGAGCTCTGCTACGTGGCCTCTTCCTTTCCATGAGGAAGATGAAGACGAAGAAGATGATAAAGAGAAGGTGCAGAAGAAGAAGAAGAGCAACAATATCAAGAAAAAAGCATTTCTTAAGGCTTGTAAGCGATTTTTTGGTATCTCTTGAGCAAACCTTTTTGTTTTCCTCTATCTATCATATAATATAAGATCTGTTTGTTATTTTGTTCGTTTAGAGTCGATCGCTTTTCATATAACGTTTAAAGAATTGCCCTAACGTTTAATACAAGAAAATGTTCTTTGTTTGCTATCGATTGTTTTGAATATTCGTTCAGTGGTATTAATCGGATTTTGCTTTCTTGATGAGATTACACCATTCATATATTGAAACTCAGAAACTAGTTTCATCATTATCATAGACTCTTTGTTTTTTGTAGGTCTGAATCCGTCTAATCCAAAAATAAATACAGTGTCTAAAGATAATTTTTAACAAATATCATACAAGATGAATTTTAACAAATATCAACCAATAAGATGAATAATCTAAATGTTATTTATTTGGGAGAAGAAGATGGCCCTTGACTCCAATATTGTCTTTTAGTGTAAATGTCGAGAAGGAATCGTCTAGCCCAATGCACTTGCACATGGTTTGTTCCTATTTTCTTAATAATATATTCATAATTTTCATGTTAACAGTACTTTACAGAAATTATGGGTTTTTAGTGAAAAAACCCTTCAACTAAGTTTGAATCGGATAAAAACTCATCAACTATTTTTGTAACGTAAAAACCCTTCAACTAAATTTTCGTAATGATTTAGTTCATTTGTGAACAACACCGTCAAATCTTAAGAAATCGTTCTTTTTTAGTAAAAACTACACGATTTTTATTATAAACAACAAGCTTTTTGAAAATCAGATATAAGAATCCCAAATTAAACATAATCTCTAAAATCTCCTAATTTTTAAACCTAAATTGATGAACCCTAATTTTTGAAAGTGTGATTCTAAGTAGTTTTTATGGTTTGGAAGTCAATTGGGTGAAATTGAAATGATTTGTTGTGTTGATTAAAACAAATTTATTTGAGAAAAAAACCTTTGGATTGAGAGAAATATTTTCGCAAATTGGGAGAAAGAGGAGAAAAAATCACAACTCTGAAGCTTGGAAGAAGATGAAGCAGCTGTTTTATTTTGATGTTTAAAACCTGGTTCTTCTTCCTCCAACAAATTTACTAAGAAGAAGAATTTCAGAGATTTTCAAATTGAATGAAGAACACTAATTTTTAAATTGAGAATTTTTAGTTTCAAATCGATTTTAGGTTTTTTTATTGAAGTCATTTCGTTTTCACGTTTTCATTTAGCTGTAATCCGTTAAGATTTAACGGTATTGTTCACGGAGGGACTAAATTATTATGAAAACTTAGTTAAGGAATTTTTACATTACAAAAATAGTTGAGGGGTTTCTATCCGATTCAAATTTAGTTGAGGAGTTTTTTCACTAAAAACCTTAAATAAATCCTATACTATATAAGATTAGACATATTTTTATTTTTATTTTTTTGTCGAAGACATATCAACTTGTTTTTTGGCTTTGCCAGTGAAAAGTCCACTGGTAGATTTAAAAACTCTTCCCCAGCAAGAAGAGAACAAATATGTGGTTTAGAGTCATTAGACCAATGAATTGAGGGTGAAAAAAAAAACAAAAAATTAAACATATTTTATCATCTAAAAAGTGAATTGAAAAATGAATTGCAAGAACCCTTTCTCCAAAAAAAGAAAGAAAAGGTTTGAGAGAAAAACTTGAAGAAAAGCATGGCACAAACATCATCTATGATTCTGCGAGGCAATACGTATGGTTGGTTTCCAACTTTCCATTCTTTTGGAGGCCAAACAAATATTTTTTGAAGTTAAAAAATATGTTAAGGCAATTGTTAGCGATACCAAACTGGATCGGTAATGTTGCACCTTTCTTCCTATAAGTACATAAACGGGTGTATAAAAGCCTAACAAACGACCCATCTAAAACCAAACCTGCACTTGCGTGGGTAAAAATCAACCATACCCACAATCATTTAAAATGTACACCCACATGTGGTGTGGAACACAAGCTCCAATGACATAATGCTTAATTCTATAGCCACATATCTAGCATGAGCGTTTTTCTCCATGATTCTTGATCCCTTGTTTTGTTTCTGTTGGGGCAATTTTTCTCTTTGTTCATTTCTTTCTCTCTCTCTCTATGTGTAGAGAGCCTAAATAGATATAATTTTCTCTTCCATTTGCTCTAGTTGCTTTGAATAAATGTCCACATCGTTTTCATTAGTTTTTTTTTTAATTAAATTAACAGAAGTAAAAGGATAGCAAAATAAAAACAAGCTCGAGTTGCTCTGAATAAATTATCCCATAGTTCCATCACGTGAAAATATAGCATTTTCATATCTCAAGTTGCTTCTAAACCGATCAAGCCTACTTTGGCAAAGTAGTGAGCAATATTATAGGTTTGTCTACTAGTCACCATGAAGCTAGTCTCAAAATGGCCAATTGCCCTATTGATAAAGTGAGTTTCAATCACTAATCACCATGAAGCTAGTCTCAAAATGGCCAATAGCCCTATGAATTAGGCCATTTTTATTATTCATACACGATATATGAACTAACTACCTGAACTCACCAAACTACATAAATATTTGAGACCTCGTGGTGAATGTTTGGCTAAGTGACGCGTCGCATTGAAGAACATACGATGATGTCATGAGATTAAGAGGAAGTGTGTGGGCTTTGTGAAAAGTCTGGATGTTTCTGAGATTCTCTAGTAATCTTTAGTATGGCTAAACTCATATACAATAGTTGTGGAATCCAACCAAAAAGCCCATCTTAAAGTGCCCTTTCTGGAAACTTCAGCTTGGGTCCTACATTTGTCTTCCTCGTCTTCACCTTCCTCTTATCTTCTTCTATATCTCCTCCTCCTACCTTCTTCTAGGGTTTCTCGTCAAACCCTTTGTTCATTTCTGTTCCTTTGTCCTTCTCTTGCTTCCTCCATCACTATTATAATTCCAATTAAAAGCTCGAAAAATGGCTTCATCTTCCGCCCAGATTCACGTCCTCGGCGGAATTGGATTCGCTTCTTCTTCTTCCAAGAGGAATCTCAATGGTAAAGGTAGTTTCATGCCGAGAAGCGCCTTCTTCGGCACAAGAACGGGTCCTTTCTCCACCCCTACTTCTGCCTTCCTGAGAATGGGCAGTAGAAATGGCGGCGCTTCTAGATATGCTGTAGGTCCGGTGCGTGTGGTTAACGAGAAGGTCGTTGGAATCGATTTGGGCACGACGAACTCCGCCGTAGCTGCCATGGAAGGAGGCAAGCCTACGATTGTGACGAACGCTGAGGGTCAGAGGACGACTCCGTCTGTGGTGGCTTACACGAAGAGCGGTGACCGACTTGTCGGGCAAATTGCGAAGCGGCAAGCCGTCGTGAATCCTGAGAACACTTTCTTCTCGGTGAAGAGGTTTATTGGTAGGAGGATGAACGAAGTAGCTGAGGAGTCTAAGCAGGTTTCTTATAGAGTTATTAAGGATGAGAACGGAAATGTCAAGCTGGAGTGTCCTGCCATTGGCAAACAATTTGCCGCCGAGGAGATTTCAGCTCAGGTACTTGAAGTTTATTCATTGATGAATGTGCGGCTCTTAATTGATACTCTTTTGGATGGTGAATACATGCTCGAAGATAGTGTAATGAACTTTTTGAATTAAGTTTTGGATTTTTCTTCACTCTTTATAGTTCTGGAACTTGACTACTTGAGTGACTCCTGTCTCGTTTGCTGATATCTGCACTTACATCAACAGTGCAGTGTACTCTGTCTTATGTTTTGTCATCTTCAGCTTATCATTCAAGAAATTCTGATCAAGAGTTAACAGTTTTTGTGATTGTTCACTGTAGTTAATCATTTGTTTGTTGAATAATTACTTTTTTTGTTGTTGCTGTGAATGCTCTTCTTCTTATGGGATTGTGTGTGGTGTAGGTTTTGAGGAAACTCGTGGATGACGCCTCTAGATTCTTGAACGACAAAGTAACCAAGGCTGTCATCACTGTGCCTGCTTACTTCAACGACTCTCAGAGGACAGCTACGAAAGATGCTGGTCGCATTGCTGGGTTGGAAGTTCTTCGTATTATCAATGAGCCCACAGCTGCGTCATTGGCTTATGGGTTTGAAAGGAAGAGCAATGAAACTATTCTAGTCTTTGATCTTGGTGGTGGTACTTTTGATGTGTCAGGTACGTAACATTAAACTTTTGCCAAAATGCTCTGTATACCACCTTTTGATGTGTTCTTATTAGCACCATCTAATATGTATTTTTGTTATGTTTATTATTATTCAGTGCTTGAAGTAGGCGATGGTGTGTTTGAAGTACTTTCCACTTCTGGAGACACACATTTGGGTGGTGATGACTTTGACAAGGTGAATTAAAGGCACACATGAATTACAAAGTTTTGAATCTGTTTACTCTCTCTTCGATGCTTTACTTAATAAATTCAAATTTGGAATGCAGAGAGTTGTTGATTGGCTTGCTTCAAATTTCAAGAAAGATGAAGGCATTGATCTTCTGAAAGACAAGCAAGCACTTCAGAGGTTGACAGAGGCAGCAGAAAAAGCTAAAATTGAGCTTTCCTCCCTGACTCAGACAAACATGAGGTACAACCAATTTTCTCGCCCAAATTGTTGATTTAGTACTTTCAAAAGCGTATGGATTCTGATTGATATAAATTCTGTGCTCAGCTTGCCATTTATCACAGCCACAGCTGATGGACCTAAACACATAGAAACCACCCTTACCCGTGCCAAGTTCGAAGAATTGTGTTCAGATTTACTCGACAGGTAATTTACTCACAGTTCTTATTAGGTATTAATTGCTTACAGTTATTATGAGGTATTCATAGATAACAAGTCAACAGATTGCTATGTGCCCATTCTGTAGCTTTTGATTAATCATGGAGGCCTAAGATTCTTATCCCTGTCTCTATCTTATAGATGTAAGACTCCCGTTGAGAATTCATTGAGAGATGCGAAGCTCAGCTTTAAAGATATTGATGAAGTAATCCTTGTTGGTGGGTCTACACGTATTCCTGCTGTTCAGGAAGTCGTCAGGAAGCTGACTGGGAAAGAACCTAACGTCACAGTAAATCCTGATGAGGTTGTAGCCTTAGGTGCGGCAGTCCAGGTGTGTTCTCGTGAACTTGTAACTTTCACCTTTTCTACTGCAATGAGTTCTCATCAAGAGCCTTTCTCTTTTGTTTCTAGGCTGGTGTTCTGGCTGGAGATGTGAGTGACATTGTGCTTCTTGATGTGACACCACTTTCGATTGGTTTGGAAACCCTTGGTGGTGTTATGACTAAGATTATCCCAAGGAACACTACACTACCTACTTCTAAGTCAGAAGTCTTCTCCACTGCTGCTGATGGACAGACAAGTGTTGAGATTAATGTGTTGCAGGGGGAGAGGGAGTTTGTCCGGGATAACAAGTCTCTTGGTAGCTTCCGTCTAGATGGTATCCCTCCGGCACCACGTGGAGTTCCACAAATCGAAGTCAAATTTGACATCGATGCCAATGGAATTCTATCCGTGAGTGCGAGTGACAAAGGCACCGGAAAGAAACAAGACATCACCATTACTGGTGCCAGTACATTGCCCAAGGATGAGGTGCGTACAATTTACAAATTAAACAACAAATGCTTCAGTTATCAACATGTTTTCTTACAGTTCCGTCCCAATATTCTACTGATCATCAGAATAGTGGAAGCATTGGTTGCGTATTTTTGTGAGAGTAGCAATATTCATGATCAATAGGGCCTTTGTAAAGGAGTGGTTCTTTTTTTGCTAATATTACCATCAATGGTAACAAATCTGTTGTCGTTGAACGTTATAGGTAGACCAAATGGTCCAAGAAGCAGAAAGGTTTGCAAAGGATGACAAGGAGAAGAGAGACGCCATTGACACGAAGAACCAAGCAGATTCGGTGGTGTACCAGACAGAGAAGCAACTTAAAGAACTTGGAGAGAAAATCCCAGGTGAAGTGAAAGAGAAGGTGGAGGCTAAGCTACAAGAGCTGAAAGACAAGATAGGAAGCGGAACGACTCAAGAAATCAAAGATACAATGGCTGCTCTAAACCAAGAAGTGATGCAGATTGGCCAGTCTATGTACAACCAGCCAGGAGCTGGAGCAGGAGCAGCAGGTCCAGGTCCTAACCCTGGAGGTGAAGATGCTTCATCAGCAGATTCATCAAGTAAAGGTGGAGATGATGTGATTGATGCTGACTTCACAGACAGCAAATGAGAAAACAAACTAGGACGGTTGTGAATTCATGCATCCGATGTAAAACGCATGATTTTGTAGGCTTGATTGTGTTGAAACACATATGAATTGAGCAATGCTTGTGTACAACGATTATTTTTCGTTAGAAAGCAGCAATGCTGTCACAGAGAATTTTATACTGCATAATAATATGTTGCAGTTCTCTCACTTTGTTCTATCCTCATAAAATTACATTTGATACAGCACATGCAATCACGAATAACCATACAACACATGCATTCATGAATAACGAATTCCACTAGAACAACTCTCCCCAATCCCCATAACATAGAATTCGATTTTTTTTTATTAAAAAAAAGAACAACAAAAGAAAGAAATCGAATTCTAATAAGCTGGGTAATAAAAACATTTAACCCTGACCACTGACTAAAAAGTTTCACTATAGGAAACTAGTTCAGTAAAAAAATATACTTTTTTAATAACAAAAAACCAGCATAGAATCTGAAAACAATCAAGGCCATATAAGAGGGATTTAGGCTTTTATAAAAAGCCCATTAAGGATCCATCCAAATTAAGCCCCCTTCTGGAAACTTCTACTGGTTGCCACACTATTCTCTACCGTCTCCACCATTCTCTTATCTTCTTCTATGTATCTTCCTCCTCCTCACCTACCCTAGGGTTTCTCTTTCAAAGTTCAAACCCTCTTTCTCATTTCTCCCTCTGTCCACTTACGTCGTTGCCTTTGCTTCTCTCGTGCTTCCTTCATTATTATTATTAATCTACTATTAAGCTTAAAAAATGGCTTCATCCTCCGCCCAAATTCACGTTCTCGGCGGAATTGGATTCGCCACTTCTTCTTCCAAGAGGAATCTCAATGGTAAAGGTAGCTTCATGCCAAGAAGCGCCTTCTTCGGCACAAGAACGGGCCCTTTCTCCACTCCTACTTCTGCCTTCCTCAAAATGAATAGCAGAAATGGCTCAAGGTACGCAGTTGGTCCCGTGCGCGTGGTTAACGAGAAGGTCGTTGGAATCGATTTGGGTACGACTAACTCCGCCGTAGCTGCCATGGAAGGAGGCAAGCCTACGATTGTGACGAACGCTGAGGGTCAGAGGACGACGCCGTCTGTGGTGGCGTACACGAAGAGCGGTGACCGGCTTGTCGGGCAGATTGCGAAGCGGCAAGCCGTTGTTAATCCTGAGAACACTTTCTTCTCGGTAAAGAGGTTTATTGGTAGGAGGATGAACGAGGTAGATGAGGAGGCTAAGCAGGTTTCATACCGAGTTGTTAGGGATGAGAACGGAAATGTCAAGCTGGAGTGTCCTGCCATTGGCAAACAATTTGCTGCTGAGGAAATCTCAGCTCAGGTATTGAAGTTTATCAATTTACTCACTTCTCCCGTTTATTAATCGATGTAGCTTTTGAGTGTTTAGCTGTTTTGAGCTTTGTATGAGCTCAACTTGTGGGTGTTGAATGTGCGGTTCTTATTTGAAACAATTTTGGATAATGGGTACACGCTCTATAGTGGGTAGTGATTTCGTGAACTAAATTAAAGATTTTTCCTCACACTGTAAAATAAGGTTCTGAAAATTTTAATGAATCCTGTCTCTCACTTTCTGTTGCTGGTATCTGCACTTTCTTTGAAATTCTTCTCTCTCTTGTGTTTGTCATCTTCAGCTTGTCATTCTGGTTTTTCCGATTGAGAGTTAATCGTGTTTGTGGGGTTTTCCTTTGGTGTAGGTTCTGAGGAAACTCGTGGATGATGCTTCAAGATTTTTGAACGAAAAAGTAACCAAGGCTGTCGTCACTGTACCTGCTTACTTCAACGACTCACAGAGGACAGCTACGAAAGATGCTGGTCGCATTGCTGGGCTGGAAGTTCTTCGTATTATTAATGAGCCCACTGCTGCTTCATTGGCTTATGGATTTGAGAGAAAAAGCAACGAAACAATTCTAGTCTTTGATCTTGGTGGTGGTACCTTTGATGTCTCAGGTACTTGACAATAAAGTTTTGCCAAAATGCTCTATATATCTTCTTTGGGAATATTGTTATTTTGTGCTTCTACCATCAACAAGATGTATTAGCACCTTGTAATATGCGTTCTGTTATGTATCTTATTATGCAGTGCTTGAGGTTGGTGATGGTGTGTTTGAAGTGCTTTCCACCTCTGGAGACACCCATTTGGGTGGAGATGACTTTGACAAGGTTAGTCAAATGCAGACATTGATCGTGACGCCCTTTGTCAAAGAGCTTTGAATCTGTTTACTCTCTCTTCGATGCTTTACTTAATAAATTCAAATTTGGAATGCAGAGAGTTGTTGATTGGCTTGCTTCAAATTTCAAGAAAGATGAAGGCATTGATCTTCTGAAAGATAAGCAAGCACTTCAGAGATTGACAGAGGCAGCGGAAAAAGCTAAAATTGAGCTTTCCTCCCTGACTCAGACAAATATGAGGTACAATTAATTTTCTCGCAAAATTTTTGACTTAGTACTTTCACAAGCGTATGGATTCTGATTGATATGAATTCTGTGCTCAGCTTACCATTTATCACGGCCACAGCTGATGGACCTAAACACATAGAAACCACCCTGACACGTGCCAAGTTCGAAGAATTGTGTTCAGATTTACTTGACAGGTAATTTTCGTTACGGTTCTTATGGCTAATATATTAATAGCCCGAGAAGTAATCATGTAGGCTCAGGATTCTTTTCCATGTATCTGTCTCATAGGTGTAAGACTCCCGTTGAGAATTCCCTGAGAGATGCAAAGCTCAGTTTCAAAGATATTGATGAAGTAATCCTTGTTGGTGGATCCACACGTATTCCTGCTGTTCAGGAAGTCGTCAGGAAGCTGACTGGGAAAGAACCCAATGTGACAGTAAATCCTGATGAGGTTGTTGCCCTAGGTGCTGCAGTCCAGGTATGTTCTCGTGAACTTGTAAGTGTCACCTATCTACTGAAATGATTTCTCATCAAGCGCCTTTCTCTTTTGATTACAGGCTGGTGTTCTGGCTGGAGATGTGAGTGACATTGTGCTTCTCGATGTGACACCACTTTCGATTGGTTTGGAAACTCTTGGTGGTGTGATGACTAAGATTATTCCAAGGAACTCTACACTGCCTACTTCCAAGTCAGAAGTCTTCTCGACTGCTGCTGATGGACAGACAAGTGTTGAGATTAATGTGCTGCAGGGTGAGAGGGAGTTTGTCCGGGATAACAAGTCTCTTGGCAGCTTCCGTTTAGATGGTATCCCTCCGGCACCACGTGGAGTTCCACAAATCGAAGTCAAATTTGACATCGATGCCAATGGAATCCTATCCGTGAGTGCGAGTGACAAAGGCACCGGAAAGAAACAAGACATCACCATTACTGGTGCCAGTACATTGCCCAAGGATGAGGTACGTACAGTTTACAAATTAAATAACAAATGCTTCTGTTATCGACATGTTTTCTTACAGTTCCGTCCCAATATTCTACTGATCATCAGAATGGTAGCCACGTTAATTAGAAGCATTGGTTGCATTAAATTTGGGAGTAGCAATCCCCGTGATCAATAGATTGCTAATATTCGTATCCATGGTAACAAATTTGTTGTGGTTGAACATTACAGGTAGAGCAAATGGTGCAAGAAGCAGAAAGGTTTGCAAAGGATGACAAGGAGAAGAGAGACGCAATTGACACAAAGAACCAAGCAGATTCGGTGGTGTACCAGACAGAGAAGCAACTTAAAGAACTTGGAGATAAAATCCCAGGTGAAGTGAAAGAGAAGGTGGAGGCTAAGCTACAGGAGCTGAAAGACAAGATTGGAAGCGGATCAACCCAGGAAATCAAAGATACAATGGCTGCTCTAAACCAAGAAGTGATGCAGATTGGCCAGTCTATGTACAACCAGCCAGGAGCTGGAGCAGGAGCTGCAGGTCCAGGTCCTTCCCCTGGAGGTGAAGGTGCTTCATCAACAGATTCATCGTCAAGCAAAGGTGGTGATGATGTGATCGATGCCGACTTTACAGACAGCAAATGAGAGAACGAACTAGGACGGCTTGAATTGAATACGTACATCTTATGCGCAGTGAGCGTGTCAAAAACTCATGATTTTTGTAGGACGAATAATATGTTTGAGTTTGAGACACACATGAATTGTTAAGATCATTGATTTGCCGTTTTGAATGAAGCAGTGTTACAGAGGATATTATCAAAATACATAATAAAATGTTCATTCTAGTGCGTCGGTGAGGCTGAGTTCTACAAAAGTTGTAAGAAGTTGAAAGGAGAAACTCCTGTGACCTTGGATGTTTAGAATTGCTCTAATGACTAAATATAATCCTCAAATAACCATGTTTTTATTGTTATTTATGAAATTATCATGAAATTTTGGATTGCCATGGGTTCATAGATAATGTGTTTCGTGCTGGTAGAAACGAGAGTTTTTTGAACTTGCAAATCTAAAACAATAATTTTTCTTTTTGACTCTATGTTTTCTTCCAAGAAGATGCATAGTTTTGGAGTTTGGACGAAAGCTTTCGGTGAAAGTGAATGAAACAAAAGAAGACATCAAAACAATTAAAAAATCTCTTCCACTCAATATCTTGCAAACTTTAAGAAGTTAATGATTTTAATTATATTCGCTTTTTATATCGCTTTTTATAATCGTTAGCTCCAATTTGTCGAGCAATTTCAACCACTTTGGCAAAGCAGACAAGAATGAATCATTCTATTCTAACTGTAATTCTATTCTAACTGTGTAAGTTAGATACGAAAGTAATCATTGTAAGAAAAAAAACAATACTGAGTCTTCTTCACTCTACACTACTATATATGGCATATGCAGAAGAAAAAAAAACAAAGAAAAAGTGAATAGTGGTCCCATTATCTGTATTTGGTTTTAGAGAAGCAAAACTCAGATTTGACGGAGTCTTCTACGTTTGATCAGACAAAAATATTCTTCGAAACATCTCAGGGTCAACGTTGACCCATAAGACTCACTTCAGCAAACGACACCATCCATGATTCCATGGCTTGGCTTGATATATACACTCATATTCTCTTATCTGATTCACTATCTATATCGGCCTCCTATCTTTTACGTTTTGTTTGTTTTCTATTTTCTCGTTTCCATCACCGACGGAGAACAAGTAACAACGGCGGCATACGTTGTAGAGAGACTCATACATCCAAAAATAAAGATTTGGGAATCACAATAAAATCTTGAGCTATTCCATGAAATCTTCATCAAAATGTGGTCGTTTTTATTTTCTATTTTCTAGATTGTAAATAATTTGGGAAATACATATTACGTATTGTTTTTTAATTTTATTTTTGTAACTGAATATAAGCAAGCTGAGAAGAATTCATTACAAAACAAAAAAAAAAAAGTTGAAATTGAGTGTCCTCCCAAATTTATCACTAAACATTTTCTTTCACAATATCAGTTCAGCTAAGTTTACCATGCTATATAACAATGACGACGATTACAAGTAAATCTACTAACTATATGATATCAGTCACGACTCATTACAATCATTCAAGACAAGATCGTTGCAGTCTCACATATCCAAATATTATGTATTTATTATGTGGACTGGAAATTCAAACAAACTCTATTGGGAATCCATATAGAAATCACATAATTCCACATTAAAATTAAAACAAAAGAGTTTAAATGTTTTTTTGTTCCCTTAAATATATAAAAACTAATAAGTAGTAATAACCATGCTCACTTGTTTAAGTTTTCCCATGCAACTTCCTAAAATTGATCACATCTCACCTTTTAGTAAATTTGTCTTTGAAATATGGGAAGTTTCGAGCAAGAAAATATAATCTGATTGTTGTTGTCATTGTTATGGGTGCTTTTTGTAACAATATAACAGCCTGGTAAATGAAATATAAAAAAAAATAAAGAGGGAAGATCAATTGGCCATACACAACTCCCCATTCTTTGACCACCACTTTGACTTTTCTTCCCTTTAACCAAAAACTTATTAACACTTCTTGTCTTAAATCATTTTTACTCACCTCACCTGTTAGCCTGTTACCATCCCCACCTTCTTTCAATCACTTTTTTGATTAATCTTTTGTTTTTGTTTTTACAGGAAGGAAACCTAAATTACCGGTCCTCAAATTGAGGGTTTTCTTCCTCCTCCTTCCTCCCAAATCTCTCCATGATCGTTGTTCTTTAGCTCTGCAAACCTACTCCATCTCGCTCCTTTCGATTGAAGATTCTTCTCAGATCGTGGTTTTTGAGCTCTCTGCCGGCAATATCTAAGCTTGGCGATTCTCGTGAAGATATATGCTTGAAAACGTAATTAAGCTTGCAACTTATTCTTTCCACACTATACTTCTCCTCTTCTTCTTCTTTCAAGGCCTAAGATTTTGAAGTTCCTACCTTTTTCTCTTTTTTTTTTTGCTTGTCTGTTGAATGCTTTTCGAGACATTTGGACCTGGTCATTTGTCCAAAATCTTAGGTCATCGAGCTAGTATTTGGTCTATACTTTGGAAATTATGATTTCGGATTTCTTATTGGTCAGATTTGGTGGGTCTCTGTTTAACAATAAATAGAATGTGAATTCAACTTGTGTCAACATTTTTCACAAATCCAAAAGTGGCTTTGATTCTTGGCTTAATTTTTGATTTTTTTCTTTGTTGGTTTAGCATAAAGAAGCGTTGCAGTGAAGCATCATGGCACTTCGGCTACCAGCTTCTAAAGCAGCTGAAGTTGCGATAGGATCAATTGGCTGCGGTTATGATTTAGCTATTGATATACGCTTGAAGTATTGCAAAGGAGGCTCTAAAGAATCACGTTTACTTGACATCAAAGGCGGCGATGACAGTTGCGAGATTGTTTTACCTGGTGGAATCTCCATCCCTAATGTCTCAAAGTCTATCAAATGCGACAAAGGGGAGCGCATGCGGTTTAGGTCTGATGTTCTTTCTTTCCAACAGGTAAAAAGTTTCTTACTTTGTACCCTTGATTTGAGTTCTTACAAAACAAAGGTCTTTACTTTATGTCGGTCCATCAAGGATTGGTTCGTTTTGTTGTAAGGTTTTGAGTAGATATGTTGAAACCTTTAGCTAGTTTCTTGTACGTTGCTCGTAAGTTTTATAGTGTCACTCCTCTCAGCAATGCTCAAGAGAGAGAGAGAATTTCCTACTTTGCGCTCTGAATACTTACTTTATCTACATTTTCATATGGTTTTCTAGATGGCTGAGCAGTTCAACCAGGAACTATCTTTGGCTGGTAAAATCCCGTCAGGTCTCTTCAATGCGATGTTTGAATTCTCGAGCTGCTGGCAGAAAGATGCAGCATATACCAAAAACCTTGCTTTTGATGGGATATTTATCTCATTTTACACGGTTGCTTTGGACAAATCCCAAATGTTACTCCGTGAGCATGTAAAGCAGGCTGTTCCATCAACATGGGACCCTGCTGCATTGGCAAGGTGATGTGCCATTTTACATCATATGATTTTTCATTCACGCTTGTATATATATATGGAAAGTTGGTGCTATTCTTCTGTGAAATTGTATGATGCTTTGGCAATAACATGACAAGAATCTATATTTAGTACTTTTATTATTCTTTGGGCGGGGATTTGTAACTAACATTTAATCAGATGTTTTTTACCAGGTTTATAGATACTTATGGGACGCATATAATTGTTGGTGTTAAGATGGGAGGGAAAGATGTGATTTATGCGAAACAGCAACACTCCTCGAAACTTCAACCTGATGAGATGCAGAAAAGGTTAAAAGAGGTGGCAGATAAGAGGTTTGTAGAAGCTAGCGGGGTGCAAAATATGGCTTCAGATAGAATACATGCTACTAATAAGGTCTGTAAAACGGTTCCGCATCATCAAAACTTTCGTATGAATATTTTGACTGTGCATGCCCCAGATATGCTGTGGACTTTAAAGTTGCAACTCTCAAGTCCGTGAATCCTGTCTTTACCCCTTGTTTCAGGTGGAAACAAAGGAGCAACGCCTGAGATTTGCAGATACCAGTTCGCTTGGCTCTTATGCAAATAAAGAGGTGATTATTATTGTTACCATATTTAATCTTAATAGACATGTTATCATGTGCGTTTGCTTCTTTTCTCATGAATTACATGTTACTTGCAGGACATTGTCTTCATGTGCAAAAGGCGAGGTGGAAACGATAATAGAAATCTAATGCATAATGAATGGCTGCAAACAGTTCAGATGGAGCCTGATGCTATCTCAATGTCCTTTATTCCAATTACTTCTTTGCTTAATGGAGTTCCAGGAAGTGGATTCTTGAGCCACGCCATAAATCTGTATCTTAGATGTAAGCCTACATATTTTCTCTAGGTGTGCAATTTTTAATCTTTTATATAATTATTCTTCATAGTAGTTGTTTCTTTTGCCTTTGGACTAAAAGTTTGATATAGGTATTAAGAATAGTATAATCATAACTGGAAAATATACTCTAAGATAACCATTTTGCTTACTTATTGGAAATTTCCGTCTTTGCTTCATTTCATCTGCTCCAGGCTCTGCTTACCTTTGTAGTCTTTGCTTCCTCTGCAGAAAATGTTTTTTGAAAAACTGAAAAATGTGTGATATTTCAAATCTGTGAAATTATGGTTTTTTTTTACTTTCTTGCTTTTTTCTATGTAACCGCGAACACAAAAATCGCGTTAGTTTTTGTGGAGTTACAGGTAGCAATATTATTTGAGTTTTGCTTTTGTAGATAAGCCACCGATTGCAGAGCTACATCAGTTTTTAGAGTTTCAGCTACCAAGACAGTGGGCTCCAGTGTTTAGTGAACTTCCTCTTGGTCCGCAAAGGAAGCAACAAAGTTGTGCGTCTCTGCAATTCAGCTTCTTCGGACCTAAGCTATACGTGAATACCACTCCGGTATGAGTTTTGTTTCATCCCTAAATATATAGTTTGCTGATGCAGCTTACGGATTTAAATGGTCAGCCAAGTCTGACGTGTACTAATCTGCAGGCAGTGAGGTTTAGATCTTATTTGAAGGGTACTCAAGTCTTGAGATGTTTTTGTTTCTCGTTTACTTGGTTTCAGGTTGATGTTGGTAAGAGGCCAATCACTGGCATGCGGCTCTACCTAGAGGGCAGAAGAAGCAATCGTTTGGCAATTCATTTGCAGCACCTTTCCTCTCTTCCCAAGATATTCCAGCTTGAAGATGATCCAAATAGAAGTATCCGACAAGAGTCTCATGATCGTCGATACTATGAGAAAGTAAACTGGAAGAACTACTCCCACGTCTGCACAGCACCAGTGGAATCAGATGATGATCTTTCGGTAGTAACAGGTGCGCAGCTTCATGTAGAGAGCCACGGATTCAAGAACGTGCTCTTCTTGCGCCTTTGTTTCTCGAGAGTAGTGGGAGCTACGATCGTGAAGAATTCTGAATGGGATGAAGCGGTAGGCTTTGCTCCAAAATCAGGACTCATCTCAACGCTGATAAGCCATCACTTTACTGCAGCACAAAAACCACCTCCACGACCTGCAGATGTGAATATAAACTCTGCTATCTATCCAGGAGGACCACCAGTGCCCGTGCAAGCTCCAAAGCTTTTGAAATTTGTGGATACAAGTGAGATGACAAGGGGACCGCAAGAATCACCAGGGTATTGGGTTGTATCGGGTGCAAGATTGTTGGTCGAGAAAGGCAAAATCTCATTGAAGGTGAAGTATTCCTTATTGACTGCGATAATGGAAGATGATGTGATCGATGAATCGTATCAAGGTTGAGAGAGATGGTATGTAAAGCCGTGCATACTGAAGAGTCGTAAAGAAACATTCGCCTACGTTACTTGTCACTTAATTTGTATGTAAAAGTTAGAAATCAAAAATAATCTACGATTTATGCCAAGTTTATATTCTTCACCTTTGATCACCAATTCACCACTTGAAACTTTTTTTTTTGTTATGATCACAAAGTAGAAACGGCCAGGCTGTGATGGTATGGTATTTGTGTTGTGTCATGTGTGTGTACATTCTTTAGTCTTTATCATTTGTAATGTAACGATGTGGGTGTGTCTGTGAGTTATAGAAATGCATGTCTTGTACATTTCCTCTCTTTGGACTAAGAGATTTTTTGTTTGCATGGTAAAGCAAGTATACGCACTCTAATCCACGAGCATGGGTAATATTCCACTTTAAATCTAATATATACAATACATACACGAGGAGTTGTGTTCATGGTTATATATGGTTTACGGGTCATTTGATATTTCTCGCAAGTCGCAATCTGTCTCTTGCCACGAATCTGACGTCAGATTGCGAGTCAAAGTAAAGATAATAAACTGCTACTTGCACGCAAAAAATTACATAAAGATTCTTAGAAGTTGGAGAGAGTAATAAACTGGTAATAATAATCAACTTTGAAACAGGTTTGAAAGTCTAATTTAAGGGCGGCGGAGAATAAACAAAAAGACCAGACCCTTGCCTCTTGTCTTATTAATTAGACTTCTCAAAAACATTGATCACGTCAAGTCAACCATTTTAACACTAACCGCACGTTCTTCTTAACTTAACTTTGTACTATATAATACAAATCATCTATTAAATTCTTCACGCAAAAAAGGAAAAAAGAAAAACAAAATGTCTTCTTCTTCTTCTTCTTCCCTGACGCAGAGAAACCCGATAAGTTTGCAGCCGAATGGCGCCGAGCAAGAGCTATCGGAGCCTCCTTTTCCTCCTCCTCCACAGACGCAGCTAAGGAGACAACGTTCGACAACTCACCCTGCCATGTCACAGACGCTGACGTCAGCAGCAAACTTAGCCAACCTCCTTCCGACAGGAACTCTGTTAGCTTTCCAGCTCCTCATGCCGGTCTTCACATCAAACGGCTCGTGCGATTACGCGACACGCGTTTTAACCGCAGTGCTCCTAACGCTTCTCTCCATCTCCTGCTTCCTCAGCTCCTTCACAGACAGCGTCAAGGCTGAAGACGGCAACGTTTATTACGGCTTTGCCACTCGCAAGGGTATGTGGGTTTTTGACTACCCTGACCCGTCCGGTTTGGGTTTACCCGATCTAAGCAAATACCGGGTTCGGATCGTCGACTGGATCCACGCAGTTTTGTCTGTTCTTGTGTTCGGTGCGGTGGCTCTGAGGGACAAGAACGCCGTGACTTGTTTTTATCCGGCGCCGGAGCAAGGAACCAAGAAGGTTTTGGATATTGTTCCGATGGGTGTTGGGGTTCTTTGCGGTATGTTGTTCTTGATTTTCCCGGCGAGAAGACACGGTATCGGATATCCGGTCACCGGAAACGGGGGTCGCCGTTAGATTCGTTATTTACAAACAAAATTGGTTCATTTAAATTTTTGGGAAAAAAAGGTCGTTGACTAATTCGTATGTGTTATCATTTCGTGGTTTGTATCTATCTGTATGTTCCTTCTCATCTACTTCCTATATTGATTATAGATTTAATTTCGTTGTTCTTCAAGTGGAAGAAATTAATAAGCCAAGCAACCTTATAATACACTCAACAAGGTGGAATATTTAAAAATAAATTATTGTCCTCGAACAAACAAAGTAAATATATTGGAAAGTCGTCGAATAAATCCCCACGTTGACTTTGTGTAAGATAGACCTACGATTTTCACAATACTGGAACTCTCTTCACTGAGTAAGGAGACTTGATGAGTGAAGATGATAGTACAGAAGAATATGCTCGGGGTGGAGTTTCAAGTTTTAACTCTTCCTCTGCTTCGTGATGCTGAACTTTAAAAACCATCACCATGTTTTCACAACATGGATCCTTCAGGTTTTCACAACAAAACCGCTCGAGTAGATCTTTCAAGTTTACTATAGTTTCCCAGCTGACTTTGGAAGAAGCTGATGCAGATCCTAAACACAAAACCTTGCACAATTTAACCATATTAGCAATGAATTGATTCCAGATACACTTGTCAAGAATGTGCTTAGGACAGTCAGTTCAGCTGTCTTTACTTGACCAATTAAAGCAACTCATTCATTCTCTGTCTCTGTGAGCACCGGCTGTTATGTAACGTGGATTATTATCACAAGCTTTGTTTGTTTCTCTTAGTTCCATGAACATAATCTCGGTTCTTTACTCTCCCTGATTTGCTCATAAGATAAATATACCTATGTCTCATCCCCATCAACGGATGCTTCTCAAGCAAGAAAGCTTTATGATAAGCTTCCCTTAGGACAACAGTCTGGGTCCGAATCTTGTGTGACATGTAAAATATACCTGGATGATGCACCAAAGCCTTCTTGAACCTTGTTCCGAACCCTAAATACTCCCCTAAGCAGAGCACATTGTCTGTCTCCGTCTTCTTCGACACCAAGAGGCATAGAAGCTCATGGAGTACTGCGACCGCCCACTTCTCAGCCTGATCACTGCTCTGCCCCAAGTGAAATGCGTTTTCATAAGGTGAGATGTAAGGAAGGTTTTGCCATTGCTCCACCCAAGTCTTCACCTTTTTCTCCAGCTCGTACCCTTTGGGGAAATTCATCGAATACCTTATGCGCAACCCTTTTCTCACGCGAGACCCATCGATGGTAGCTTCTCTTCTCTCCATTTCCGACACGGCGAGTTTGCTCCGCCGCGAAGAAAGCGCCAAAGCGAGCGACTTTTCACCCGTAAACCGATCATTCACCTCCGTTACTTCAAAGTAATCCGGGTAATCCCCGATCAGCGAAGTAATGTAATCGTGAGGGAGACCTAGATCGAGCCTGAAACGATCCACGATACTGAGAGGAAGGCTTCCTGCTCCTGTTAGCATCAAGAATTTCGTCAGACGCTGAACGGTGGCGTTACGGTGAGGCGGGGATAGGTGAATCGTCTCTTCTTCTTCTTTGTGGAGGAGAAGGGCTTGCGGAGTGAGGCGGACATGGAGAGGAAGAGAAGGGGATGGCTGAAATATGGTGAAGACAGAAGGGTATTTCTGGAAAAACGCGGCGGCGGTTATGTGGAGATTGACGAGAGGCTTGAGGAGCGAGAGGGAAGAGAGAAGGACCGATTTCGATGGGGAAGATACGATTCGATCCTTGAGAGAGAGAAGTTGCTTGAGGTTTTTCTCTCGCTGAACAGCTTCGTCGAGGTACGGGTCAGAGACCCATTTGACCCTCGCGTTCACGAAGGTGCGTCTTTGTTGCAGACTTCTCCATAGCTTGGTCGCTGAAGCTGCCATTAGAGCTCAATGCAAACTTAAAACTTCTCCACGAGTATTTATAAACAAGTCAACTGATGAGAAAATACGTCAACAATAATTTTGATGTTTTGAAATACAACTATGAACTGAATTATATTATATTGTTCTTACTTGGTTTCCCATCAACACTTGTATAATGGTACAGTGATGTTTTCAAAAGTCAAAGCAAGAAACGAACGAGGCCTAGAACTTCAAAACTCAAATTATATAATTCAAAGAGGTCCCGGAGGATTATCTGAAGCACGGCCTCGGTGCCACTGTAAAGGAAAACGTTATCGAGATTAACTCCAAGTAGAGAGATTCATAAAAGAAAGAAAGAAAAATATCTCTAATGGAAAGGACTAAAATGGGAGTAGGAAGAAAATAGCTATTCCAGTGGCAAACATGAGACTGTAATCCTTATGCTTTCGAGTCTAGTGGCCACGGCTCATCTTAACTTTAGGCATTGACTTTTTCATCTGGCGTGCACGTTCCTTTGCCTCTTTCTTCCTTAGAGCCTCGGCGCTAAGCTTTGCCTCCGCCTCCTCCAATATTTTCTTCTTTTCGGCTTTCTTTCTCAGCAATGCCTCTTGTCTCACATTCTGAAGTTCCTTGTACGCTTCCTGAGCTGCCTTTTGTCGAGCACCATCGGTTTTGTTCCTTGCCTGCATACAGAATATTTTAATTTTATTCAACCTGTCACACAGAGCGATATAACATGGCAAATGATAATCAAGTTTTCCCCAATACCTGGGAGCTGAGCTTGTAGCGGCCAACTAAGTCAATGTAATACGGAACTAGCGCTATCAACCGAACCATATCATCCATGTGGTTAGCATCAGGTAAGGCAAACTTGAAAAGCAGCATCTTCCTGTGTTTGCCAGGATGTTGGTCCGAAAAATGCATTGAGATGAAATACTTGCCTAACTTTTCGAAAGACTTGTCACCAAAAACCTACAGAGCGCAATTCAAATTTGATTAGTATAACAGATAACTCGAGAAGATACAAAAACCACGCATCAATAAGCAACGTTAAAAACAATACAAGTCCAGTAAAATTAGGGTCCATTTTCCACATCTACAGAACGGCATTGGTCTGTCAAAGAAAGGAACACCACACACACTATTAAACATCAAAGACAAAACACAGTATCAAACACTCTAAGTAACTTTTCATGTAAGAGAAAGGAACACCACACACACTAAACGTATTTCATCCTTATTCCATTCCGAACTCAGAAGCGATCTTCCTTCAACATATTAATAACCATCGGGCTTAACTATATCATAACAAGAGGAACCTAAGGGATTCTGCAGTAAATCACAAGTCTTTACCTGCATCTCTGTACAGTTTGACAAACAGACAAAAAAAAAAGAACCTGGTATGGTTCTTAGCAAAGGGAACTTGCCTGCTATTGTACTAGGCTAACTGATCCCTGGAGTTATTACCCTGATCAAGCACGTCCCTTTGGTATAAAAATACCTCATTTTCTTATTCAAAATGATTAGGGAAGTGGAGTCAAAACCAGTTAACTCTCTCAAAACTTCCTACGAACATGTATATTCAATTAATTAATTCCTTAGGCTCAAGTTCAAGAAGAGACTTTAAACTAAACTAAGCTGCTATCATTATCAATATCATCAAACAACGAGAGAACACAAGAGATTTCAGCATCTGACCTGATCAAGTACAATCTCTGTGATCATATCCCCAGCTACCTCCTTAGACTCAGAGATCACTGACAACTCCTCCGATACCCACTTCCTCCCTCCGGGACTAGGCACCATCCCTCCGAATCTCTGCAGATCTCTCAGCTCCTTGTGCATCGTTTTCGCTGCCTTCTTCCTCGCCATCGCAAACACGATGTGATCCATGGCTTCGTCGTTCATGTACACCTCGAAACTAATCTCATCTTTACAAGGCACAACCGAATTGAATAGCCTTGAGATCAGATCGTGTCTGCTCTTAAGCTCCATGGTCGCCAAAAGCCCATGGCAATACCTACGCCCACTCGCGTAGAACTTGAACACGTTCGTCGCTTCTTTCAGCAGCAACGGAGAGTCTTCTCCTTCACCAACTCCAAGCAAACTGAAGTTTTTCTCGAATATCGAGTCTTTAAGACCGAATTTAGAAGCCCAAGCCAAAGCGAGGTTTTCGTTCTCACGTCTTCCAGTGAAGTAGTTGATTGCGTAACCAATCAAGATGGAGACGCAGACGATCTCCACCGTGTACGACGGCTTCTTCTTCGGAATGGCACTGTCTGCATTTTCTGAGGCAGAGTCTGGATCTGGCGTCTGTGGATCGGCAGGAGATGCGGTTTCGGGAATAACCGGAGATTCCGGCGTTCGTTCATCCTCCGGCAATCCCTCGAACTCATCTTCATCCCAGAAATCGAACGAGATTGACGAGGGCTTCCGGGAACCGGTCTGTGTCGGAGAAGGGTCCGATTTAGAAATCGGAGTAGAATCGGATTCGGAGGATGGTTCCGGATCCAGAACAGTTGACTCAGACTGAGTCAGAAGAGGAGGACGGAGCGAGTGGTGAAGCTCAGTGGAATCCTCCAAAACGTCGTCGTCTTCAGCATCAAAGCCTTCGAAGTGGGAAGATGCGAGAACACGATGATGGAGGCAGAGGAAAGCGATCAGAGCGATGGAGAAGAGAGAAAGAGGAGGATTCATTGTGGGATCCGGAGAGAACTCAAGCTCGGAGAAAAAGCTAAAACTGGTAAATAGCTGGAAAGAGTTGAGTCGTGCTCGCCTGCTTCTGCACCAATACGTAAATTACCAGATCTTTATTTTTTTTTCTCCACAAAAATCAAAAAAATCTATCTTGAGGAAAATAAAACAAAATACTTAAATATAAAAGTTGAGAAAACTCAGAACAAAGATTGATTTAAAAAGAGTTATAAAAACCCTCTAAATTATCCGCAAATGTTTTTTTTTTCTCTATAGTGCTACCAGAAATTATAAAATTTCGATTTCAGAAAAATCCAGCATTGCACAACGAAATATCAATTATAACAAACAAATATAGGCAGTTAAAAAGAAAAAAACAAACAAATATAGGTGAATGATGTGAACCAAACAATCAAACATATACTAAACAAGTAAACAAAAGCAATTAACCAGAAACTATAACCTTAACCAACATTAAACCATCAATAACCGAGACATATCTCTTTGTCAATTTAAACATGACGGAAGCTAGTTGTCAATTGACTAACAAACAGAAAAGACTTAAGGAATTAGGAAAGATATACAAGGTTAGATCATGGAATGAATCAAATACAATGCAAAAGTTTCTCACGATATCATAATCACCTATTATTAAGGGGTATAGAATCAATAAACTCCCACTTTTGAACTTGATCAATTTAATCACTAACCCATCAATATAGTACCACCATTACAAGTAAAGTTCTACACACTAGTGAAACGTAATGGAATCTATTGTCATATAGAAAAGCTTTCATCTACGTAAATTTGCAATAGTCTCATATTAATTAAGTCTTAAACGTTCTGATTTAATCAAGTTTTAGTTCCTAAACATTATTCCACAAGTGCATATAGTTAGAATATCCGGGGTAACATAAAGGCAGTTGACTCAAAAACCAAAAGTTGCACCCTCGAAATCAGTAAGTCGAGCTAAACCAGCACTAAAAGATTTGAGGTTTCTATATTGAACAAGTTTTATAGTTATGCAAAAGAAAAAAGAAAAATTACGCAAAAACAAGCATGCAGGAGTAAACAAGAAAATTTAGCAAAAGACAATTTCTAACCTAAGCGAAAACGAGATATGTCTCTCACAAAGCCTTGATCACCTACTCACCTAGCATCTAGAATCACTAAACTATCACTTGTGTTTTAGATCGTTTATATACATCAGATTTAAGATCACTAAGTTTATAGATTATAACCTTCACTATTTTGATTTTTTTTTTTGGCAAACAAATCTTCACTATTTGAAGTTTTCCATAGAATATTTTCTACATCCCGTCAAGCTTTAAAGGTGATATAATAAAAACAGAGACAGAACGTCAACAGCTTGAGATTAGCCATCGAGCTAAGGGACCGAAGAAAATAAACGTTTGTAAATCCTCCAAATTTGTATTGGTTATTAAAACTTCAGTCTTAAAAATAAAAAACGCGCAGCCGCTAGTTTATATATACAGATTATTTTATTGAATTAAATATAACGAAAATGAGAATCACGTGGAAAGGAAAAACATCATATACTAGTTTGTGCTCATGTGGTCCTTAAAGATGGCTGGACTTGGATGCTATATATATACGTACACACTACGAGCTGGGTATTTGGATAGCAAACCCACCAATCAGATGGCTTCTCTGGACCACATTAATATTTGTCTTCTTCCTCTGCTCTTCATCATTTTCATCTCTTCCTTACACGTTTTGCCTGCTTTAGCCACACCTTCACACAAACTAAAACCCGCCATTACCATCAGAAAAATCAACCACAGAGGACCTTACATCGGTCTCGTGACCGTCATTGAGACCGAAGAAGATGCTTTTCTTGGCACTGTCGATTTCAGACCCGATCCTACTCATCCCTTCCTCGATCTCTCTGGTACCACTTGAATCCATTTCTTTTTTTTTTCTTCAGGTTTCTAATGTTAAGAGAGTCTTTTGATTGGTGTAAGTGGAAGTTATAAGTCCCTATGAGATGTAAATGAATGCAGGAAGACGTTTTCAAATTGGGAAGATTCATGGAAAGAAGGTTGTGTATGTTAGATGTGGGAGAGGATTGGTGAGCCACTACAATATTTACAAAACAGAGGATTTTACTTCGTTCTTGTTTATATATGGGAAAAATGTAAATGTTATGAAGCAAAAATGTGCAGGTGAACGCAGCAGCAGTAACACAACAGATGATAGATGTGTTCAATGTAAAAGGCATCGTGCACTTTGGGATTGCAGGAAATATAAACAACTCCATGTCCATAGGAGACGTGAGCATTCCTAAGCAAATCACCAATGCAGGCTTGTGGGATTGGCTGGTAATACATACTAAATATAGTATTTGGATATATTTTATATATAATCAATAGCTTCTTCTTTCATATAGTCTGATGATTTGGTTCGAGTAAAACAGAATCCAGACAAAGCAGAAGGAGGTGAGGATGTAGCATACTTAGATTTCCGGAACTATAATGTTCCACAAGGAGATGACAACAACAATATGTTAGGGAGTATTGGATACAGTTACGAGCAACTATATTCAGTCACTGGTCACACCAATTCACCTCAGAATGTGTTTTGGATCAATACAACTCAAGAGTGGCTTCATCTTGCAGCTGATCTAGAGGTTGTAATACTATATACATATTTTTTTAAACAAAAGAATGGTTCCAGATTTCCAGTGCTAATCCCAAGTTCTTCAATATATATGGGTGCAGAAGATGGAGCTGTTGCAGTGTGTGAACTCAAGTTTGTGTCTTCCAGAGAGACCAAAACTGGTTGTTGGATTAAAGGCAGCCACTGCCGATATATTTGTGGATAATGCAGCTTACAGAAATTTCTTATACGATACTTTTGGAGTTTCATCCTCAGATATGGAGAGTTCTGCAGTGGCTATGGTAATTTATTCATGTTCATGCACTTTGAAATTTTGAAGCCAATTGATTTTATCTTGTAAGTAATATTTTCATTTTGGTTTTCCTGTATTAATGTTCTTTCACCAGACGTGCGTGTCAAATGGGTATCCCATAATAGTGATAAGGGGATTATCAGATTTAGCTGGAGCTCAAACAGGACATAACGCTGTTCGAAAGTTTGGATCTTTGGCTGCCACTAACACTGCAAAAGCTGTTTTAGAGTTCATTAAGAAGCTGCCACCCAACTACAACCATAAATCATACGGCGAACCTATTATGATCAATGATTGAATCTTGTATTCTTTTCCTTTTTATACGTATTTACTATTCAGCAAGTATAGGTTGATGATGTGAACCAAACAATCAAACATATAAACAATTAAACAAAGGCAATTAAAATGCTTATTTTTGTAGAATATAACGGAAGCTAAATGTCAATTGACTACAAAACAGAAAAGACTTGATGACTACAAAAGAGATATAGGAGTTTAATCATATGGAATGCAATCAATATTTCAATACAATGCAAAAGGATTTTCTTTTCTTCTTTTGATTTCATAGATAAGAACATACACAATGTAATTAAACTTAAGCATGCATGTTAAATCACGAAACAGAATCAATATGTCTTTCCCAAAGACTTAATCATAGGCAATTTGTTTCTTAACTAAAGTTTTTTTTTTTTTTGAAAATGAACCGAAAATGATTGTATATTGTGGGTTATACGTAAAATTTATGATCTTTTTGAAAATCCTCAAGAATCTACTGGTCACTGTTTTCATTGTGTATATCATGTAACTTCAGTATTAAACAAAACAAAAAAAAAAATTAAAACGCGTAGCCGTATATATAAAGATTATTAATTAGTTCATTAAACAAACATGACGAAATGAGAATCACGTGGAGCAAAAGAATTAATATCATAGTTTGTGCCCATGCTAGGCTTGTAGAGGATTGACTTGAATGGCTATATATGCGTACACATGAGCTGTGTATTTGGATCTCAAACCAACCAATTAGATGGCTTCCCAGGACCACCTTCTTTGTCTTCTTCCTCTGCTCTTCATCATTTTCATCTCTTCCTTACACGTTTTGAATGCTTCAGCTACACCTTCACACAAACTAAAATCCGCCATTACCATCAGAAAAGTAAACCGCAGAGGACCTTACATCGGTCTCGTGACAGTCTTTGAGACCGAAGAAGATGCTTTTCTTGCCACTGTCGATTTCAGACCCGATCCTACTCATCCCTTCCTGGATCTCTCTGGTACCACTTGAATCGATTTTTTTGTTTTTTAAAGTTTCCTATGTTAAGAGAGTATTTTGTTTCGGGTAAGTGGAAGTTATAAGTCCCTAAGAGATGTAAATGAATGCAGGAAGACGTTTTCGGATTGGGAAGATTCATGGAAAGAAGGTTGTGTATGTTAGATGTGGTATAGGAATGGTGAGTAACTACAATTATTACAAAACAAAAAGAGTTTATTTTTGTTACTGTTTATGTACAGTATATGGAAAAAATGTAAATATTAGTAAGGAAAAATGTGCAGGTCAACGCAGCAGCAGCAACACAACAGATGATAGATGTGTTCAATGTGAAAGGCATCGTTCATTTTGGGATTGCAGGAAATATAAACAACTCCATGTCTATAGGAGATGTGAGCATTCCTAAGCAAATCACCAATGCTGGCTTGTGGGATTGGCTGGTAATACATAATAAATAGACTAGTTTTGATATTTGGATATTGCTTCTTCTTCATATATATTGTCTGATGATTTGGTTCGAGTAAAACAGAATCCAGACAAAGCAGATGGAGGTGAGGATGCAGCATACTTAGATGTCGGGAACTATAATGTTCCACAAGGAGATGGCAACAATATGTTAGGGAGCATTGGATACAGTTACGAGGAACTATATTCAATCACTGGTCACACCAATTCACCTCAGAAAGTGTTTTGGATTAATACAACTCAAGAGTGGCTTCATCTTGCAGCTGATCTAGAGGTTGTTAAGGATGGATTATATGTATATTGATTAGATTAAATTGAAAAAAATGGCTGTTAAAGGGTTCTTCGTCTATGGGTGCAGAGGATGGAGTTGTTACAATGTGTGAATTCAAGTTTGTGTCTTCCAGAGAAACCAAAACTGGTTGTTGGATTAAAGGCAGCTACTGCTAACATATTTGTGGACAATGCAGCTTATAGAAATTTCTTATACGATACTTTTGGAGTTTCATCCTCAGACATGGAGAGTTCTGCAGTGGCAATGGTAATTTCATTCAATTATACATATATACTACATCTTTGAATCAATACTTGTATATCTATAAAAAGTGATATTTCGATTGTTCTTCTCTGTTTTGGTTTTCACCAGACGTGCGTGTCAAATGGGTATACAATAATTGTGATAAGGGGGTTATCAGATATAGCTGGAGCACAAACAGGACATAATGCTGTTCGAAAGTTTGGATCTTTGGCTGCCACTAACACTGCAAAAGCTGTTCTAGAGTTCATTAAGAAGCTGCCACCCAACTACAACCATAATTCCTACTCCGAACCTAGTTTTATGAATGTTTGAATCTGTATTTCTTCTTTTTATCAAATACGTATTCACTACTCAGCTTCGTACATGGAACACTTTTAATCTCAGCATTTCTCGCAAAGCTTTAAGACGCACACAATAGAATTACAGGTCACTAGTTCATATCAACAAACTCATCAGTTCGATTTTTTTTCCCTGAAGTTAAAACTTGATCTCACCTTCTTGAGGATCAGATTCTCAAACTTGATCACATTGAGAGATTTAATAATTTGATTGCAAAAATCCAGACTTTGGGTTGAATTATGTAATACAGACTTAACTCAACAGTCTTGTGACTGTTGTTCATAAGAGTGGAATCAATTTAAGCTAAAGAGATCTATATACCTTACAAGGAAAGAGTCAAGTTGTTATAACTAGGCTTTGACATTTCTCGTTGAACCATTGTCATCATCATCAAAGTCATCGTCGTTATCAGAACTCCGATTGTCATCATCATCATCATCAGAGGGAGGAGAAGGATCGAGACGGGCGGCGTCTATAGCCCACTGAATCAGCTTCTCCACTTCATCATCTTCTCCGATATCATCAGCATCTTCCCCGATTTCATCCGGAAGAGGAACTGACGGCGAAACAGAGGACGACGACGAGGGGAGAGAACTCTTCAAAGCAGCGAATCTGAGCATGAGATCGTCTGGGGTTTCTTCAACATCCTTTGATTTCGGCGGCGATCTCGGCCGTCGTTTTTGTCGGTGCTGATAATCCTTCTTCTTCGACGAGGGTTGAGATCTGAGGGCGAGAAATCTAGAGTGGAGATCGGGATCGAGGTAATCGGATTTGGAGCTAGAAGTATGAGAATCAACGGAAAGCTTGAGAATCATCTCGTCTTGAGCAGCTTGAAGCAACTGTTCAACTTCGTCTTCCTCCTTGCCTCTCCTCATTTTTTCTCTTTCGCACTTTCTTCCTAATCACTTGACAATCTTCTTCTTCTTCTATCAATTTTTGAACCGGTTTGACTGACTTAAAAATTTCGGTTTAAAAACCGGTTCGATTTTATTGACCGACACCGGCCTAACTTGCGGGCACATCCCACGCGGTAAGATTCCAAATTTCCGTGATATAAGAGTCAATCCTGACCGTCCGTTTATGATTCTGGTAGGAAATACTGTTTTCTAGCCGTCGATTTTCACCAACAATCGCCAACCAATCAGGTAGGCCCAAAAAGAAAAGGAGGAAAACCTGAATTTCTCAATCCAAGCGACCTATTTTCCATGTGCGATAAAATTACAAAAAAAGTTAGTTTATATGATCAAATGTGGACCACGATTACTCAAAGAAGGAAATAAGCGATACACAGAGCTTATAAAGAGGGCAACGCAAGAGGGAGAAGCCAATCAAAAACAATCAAACTGTGAAAAAAGAAAATGGGAAGCGAAGGATCGATTGTGAGGAAACCAAGGTTTCTGTGTCTCCATGGTTTCCGTACGAGCGGAGAGATTATGAAGATACAGCTTCACAAATGGCCTAAATCTGTCATTGACCGTCTCGATCTCGTTTTTCTCGACGCACCTTTTCCTTGTCAGGGCAAATCCGATGTCGAAGGGATCTTTGATCCTCCTTATTACGAGTGGTTCCAGTTTAACAAGGTTCCAAGTTTTTTTTTTTTTTTTTGGGTTCCCTTTCTTCTCTTTATTCACGATGAAGATTCTTGTATTAACGTAAGAGAGATTAAAATCCAGGAATTCACCGAGTATACGAATTTCGAGAATTGTTTGGAGTACCTAGAGGATCGTATGGTCAAGCTTGGCCCATTTGATGGTCTCATTGGGTTTTCCCAGGTAATCGACTACCATTGAATTGCTTCATTTCTCTCCTGGACTCAAACTAACAGAGACTGATTTGCTTGCTTTTACTCTCTTAAAAACTCCATTTTTGATACATTTATCTGTGTAAAATATTGCAGGGGGCAATATTGTCAGGGGGTTTACCAGGACTGCAAGCTAAGGTACGACAATAAAATATTTGCTTTTGATTGGGATTATATTTAACAAAAAACGCTGTTTCTGATTATGAATATTCATCAAAACTTGAAGGGAATTGCACTTCAGAAAGTACCAAAGATCAAGTTTCTGATAATAATTGGAGGGGCTAAGTTCAAATCCACAAAGATAGCAGAGAATGCGTATTCGTCGTCTGTGGACACTCTCTCCCTCCACTTTTTAGGTAAGTTGATGATCTATTCAAGTGGTTTTTGTAATTTTCCATAAGCTCTCATCTGATGACTGAATCTGGGAAATCTTTTTCTTTTTGCAGGAGAGACAGATTTCTTGAAACCTTACGGAATCGAGCTGATAGATTCGTTCAAGAATCCGGTGGTTGTCAATCATCCCAAAGGCCATACGGTCCCAAGGCTTGATGAGAAAAGCTTGGAGAAAGTTACTGCATTCATCGAGACCATAGAGCAGCATCTGGTGATGGAGGAAGACAAGAATGGTGAAGATAACAATTGTAAGCCAAAATAGAACAGCATTCAATGTAATGTTATGACAGAATAATTCTTTAGAAAATAATCGTGAAATGGCTGTAAATAAATCTGGTAATGTTTGTGGAAAAACCATGATTACCACACAATCAACAATAGACGTTTCATTCTTTCAATTTCATAACCTATTCTTCCCAAAAGAGAAGGGAAAAAAAAACACATCAAATGCTTTGTGTATCTGAAGCATTTACAGTTACAAACACAGTCTCTTCTGATTTGGTAGCTTTCTCCACGAATGGCATCATTTGCATTTGCAGCAATCAGCCTCAGATACACACCAAGGTTTTTCTTCATAAAATTGTTACAAACTTTGGTGCATCCTTCCTTGCGCCATCAAGGGACCGATACATGTACAATGTCTCAACATAATCCGCATTGTCGTCGTCATCATCAACATCTGATCCAAAGACTTCCGCCACTACACTAGGCAGAGCATGAGCAATATCCCTGCAGCCTCCCCTGGTTAACCTACAATACGACATCCAAACAAACCTCATATTGTGATACCGATGCATACCAGAGCGCAATCCAACATCTCCAAAGGGACAGTCCCTGATTTCAAGCTTTTGTAGTTTAGGACAACCCTCGAGAATATATCTCAGAGCCATGTCACTGTCCCCAGCGAAAGCTACAGATAACGTACGGATCAATTTCCCATGCTCTCCTATAATGCTAAAAGCTTCATCTGTGAGCAATCCTGATACTGCAAGTCGGGTCAGCTTCTTGCAGTTCTTAACAATGGCACCAAATCCATCGTCCATTGGCTTTCCTGTCACGTGGTCAGGCCTATAACGACCCATTATGCAAAGCCTGAACACGGTAAGCTGGGGACAGTTCTCAGACATGGCTATCACAGCTCCATTAGTCATCCGCTGGCAAAAGTAGAGGATAGATTCTAGTTTCCTACAACCCTCTGAAATCGCTTGGAGGCCTAATGCAGAGACAGGGCTTTCGCTGTCTTCAAGAGGATCAGAAGGGAAAACTCGAAGCTCACGCAGTTCCTTGCATGTTGCAGCCACTGCCTGAAGTCCTTCATCGCATATCGAGTCAAGAGCCTGCATTGTAAAAGTTCCAAGATACGCATGTAACTCAAATTACTCAGTTATCAAACTATATGATCACAGTATATGTTAGAAAACCATGTAGTTATATAGACCAAAAAGGTTATATACCCAGAAGACTCGGATATTGTGGCAGTTGCGTATGATGGGCTTGAGGATGTCAGGAGATATGTTAGCATAACTCAAGTTAAGAGAGGTGAGATTAGCACACACTGGAGAGATAGCTGGGAGGTATTCTGGTGTCAATTCCCTGAATCCTGAGAGACAAACTATGGATTTAGAAGCACGAAATGCAGATGCATAATCCGGCTCTTGTTCACCCTGAGGGACATCATTTGGACTGAACGAACCCGTCCCGAGACTCGTTAACTGCGATGCTTGAACCATGAGTCGATGCAGCTCTTCAAGGGAAACAAACCTGCTCGTTCTAAGCTTCTTCAAGAACGGTGACCTAAGCACAAGCCCCTCCAACGCCTTGAAATTGATAGGGGATTCTACACATTCAAAGGATAAAGACTCAAGATGCGTTTCACCCTCGGGAAAACAAGAAATCCAATCCACCTCGTCATCGGTGACTTCTGACTCGATCAGATCAAGGACTTTTAGCTGTCTGCAACAACAAATTCGCATTTCATAAGCTCTTGACAATAACAAAAAAACTCACTTTTCTAGAATTCAAGACAAGATAGAATAGAAACTCCATAGAGAAAGCGATGAAATTACCTGCACTTGTTAGCAAAAAGAGCAATACCACTGGTCCCAAAACCTTCACAACAGCGCAATATAAGCTCCTTGAACCCAGGAAAGGACTCAGCGAGAAGCGCTAAATCATCATCCGTGACAAACATCCGCTTCAAATTGACCTTCTCGAGCCAAGGGTAAGCCATGGCTGTTGCAGCAACCCAAGGCGCGAATTGAGCTCCCCAATCGGGAGGCATGAGATTGAAATCAGCAAACCTAGGTTTCCCTTTGAGCAACAGTGACCTAACGCCCTTGAACCGGCGAGTGAGCCGAGACGGAGAGAGCGAGTAACAGTTGCCGATAAAGACCTCGAATCGGGTCTGAGCCTCGACCCGATACCACGATCTGCACACCAGCGACACGGCGTTGCGATCGCGTCTACAGGTGAGGAACTGGAGCACGTTCTCCAGGACGTTCTCGAGGACATGGCCTGGACACGGCGGCTGAGTGACCGGCAAAGAAGATTTGCAGCTCCGGGACTTGTTTCCGGCAGATACGACGGCGTTGAATGCAGCGGGAGAGGAAGAAGAGGAGGAAAGTGGTTCAGAAATAGCGGCGGAGCGTGGATCCAGCTCAACATCCTTGGCGGCCATTTCCGAGCGATCTTCCTTCATCAAAGTAAAATGATCAAAACAACAATTCTCCAAAAAGCTCTACTCCTCTTATCACCTACTGTACACTCGGATTCGGATTTAATAACATATATCAAAAAAAAAAAAAAGAGAGAGACTGGCCTTAAGCGTTTGGACTCTCTCTCTCTTTACTTCTCCTCCATTATTTGAGTGACTATTTCAGCATTTAAAAAACGATATAATACTTTTGTGGCTTTCTAAATTTATTTTTAATTCACCACCAGTTGATGAATGAAAAGAGCAAGAACAAGATTTTATGCATATGGTCTAGAAGGGGCAAACATTTCTGATTTAAGCTGTGATGGGCAACGTTAATAGAGTTTTAGTCGTAATCATGGAACTTGCTTGTATGAGTGGTATCTGACCAGAATTAGAATAGTTTAAACTGTTTTGTAGAGCTTCATATATTTACATTCGCTTTTGTTTTTTTCTTTTGAAAGCATGATTGTTGATCCTTTCAGATGTGATTTAAAGCTTGTATTATTCACAGATATTCCAAAAAGCGCCGGACTGATCAATTTATATGTCCCAATCTAATTTTTTAAATATGCCATTTCATATTTTTTAAAATATTAAAAAAATAAAAATAAAAGTAAAATTTCAAACTCCACAAACAGTTTATAAGAAAAAAAACCCAGTAAAACATATAATTTATTACTGAAATATAGTTACTTTTGCATTTTTCCATTCAAAATCATTTATTAAACTTTTGTAATCGAATTTTTCAACCGCTATCTTAATTGATAACAAAACTAACACATTCAATGGCTCTTGTGACATAGTAGAAAACAAATAATTCTTTATCAGTTTCAACTTCGAGAAAACTTCTTTCAGCAGTGGCAACCGATACCGGAATGGTCAACAATATTCGAGAAGCAACTTCTGTATTTTAACAAAAATCTTCTATTTTTAACAACAAGAACTTAATTATTATAATGATTATATAAACATTTAAACCCAAAAAATAATATTTTATTTTTAAAAACTGATAATAGGTTTTACTAATAATAATAATATCAAAAATTTTTATACATCATAGGTTTATATAAATAAATAACATATATCCTTAATAAGAAAATTTTAACAAAAATATGTCCTTTTAAATTAAATGCCTGCGGGGTCGCCTACCTCTACCTTCAAGGCCAGGCCTTTGTAAGTGTGTCATACCTGGTCATTTGATCTAATTTATTATCTTAAAAAAAAAAACACTTCAAAAAAATTATATACCGTTCGAGTAGATTAGTGATTTTTGAGTGTTTGGACTTGCAGAAACCAGAAAGTAGGTAAGGCTCTTCTATATACCTAACCAAAGTCGATCTTTAGCCGGAGTTTGGGGAGCAAACATGCATGTGCGTATCAGTAAAAATCTGTAACAATATGGAATACTAGTGTTGTGTTTTTGAGACCAAAAGCCTAGGAAGTGTTACAAAAAAAAATTTCTTATGGGATATGGTTAGAGTCTCCTTCTTCTGTTTCATTTTGCTTCTTCTTATTGTACATGCTATAAACATAAAATAGTGTGAAAAGGGCTGTTTGAGACTATGCTATAGAGTTTTACTTTAAAACTAGATGAGTGCCCGCACTACGTGTGCATAGTTTTCATAATAATTATTTGTTTTTCTTTTTTTGTTGTTTTAAAATTTTGATAAATAATACAGATTTTTGTTGATGTAGATCTGAAATTTTTTTATTGTTATTATTTAATTAGAATGAAATAAGTGAAATAACTTATGATACAAAGTATACGTATTTTATAATAAAACAGATGGAGACAGACAGTTAACGTGTTAAACTAATCAGTACATTGAACTTATTGTCAACAAAATATTCTTCATAGTTTTCACTTTTCATTTTTGATAATGTATTTATCATACCTCATACACAGATTTAACAGATTTCTAGCCCAACAATGTCTTATTGATAATTGGCAAAAGCTATTGACATCCAACAATTAGATTATTGTAGTAGGAGACCAGTCCTCCCAATGATCAGGATGAAGACATTGTTGTAACTGTTTTGTCTTGTTGGTAGTGCCAAAGAGACACAACGATCTCGATTAAGTGAATCACTGAACAAAAACACACATATTAGTCAGACGAGAGAGAGAGAGAGAGAGAGAGAGAGAGAGAGAGAGAGAGAGAGAGAGAGGATGCATACCACCAAGCGAGAAGGACCTCCTTCTCATATAAGACTAACGATAGAACAGGTCTGACTCTGGATCATAGAAGATAATGATAGCTTTGAGTGGGAGAGACTGAAACAGAAGGACATTGACCCATGAGTGTCTAATATAACTTCATGTATAGCTTCTACTACTCGCAAGGACATTCATATCTAAGTAGTACTCCTTCACTCCATCTTAAAGAGTTTCTGCAGCCAAAACAGAAACAAAATGAACTTTACATATTATACATGTCATACAAAAAATATAGCACCAATGACGTAAGAAAAAATTGACAAGCCACTCCAATGGAATATTGACTTGCAAACAATCCTCTTCAAATACTGGATCTTTTTATTGCGTTTTCAATTGCCATCTTCACTCTGCAGATATCACTATGCGCCTTCTTGCAAGCTGGTATATAATATTTTTTTGGGGTAAGTAAACTTTTTTGAGAACACATTGTTAGTTGAAACTTAAAAACTCAACTGAAATTTTATATACATGATTTTTCTTTTTAATAATTGGGCGTAGGACGTCATTTTAATCCCCAATAAATGATTCAAACCCCAGTTCTTCTGCATTTCCAATTTCTCAAATATTCCTCTCAAGAATCAGACATAATCTAATCTAAATAAACGAAATATAACTAACTTATAAATGGTTCAGGTAAATAAAATTATAGTTAAAAGGTATAAACACTTATAATGGCCATGAGTAGTGTATGTAATCTTGTATCCCACGGCACAAACAAATAAAGATTCATCCTTTTTTTTCCCATTTTTGGCGTTGTATAAAAATTCATCTTTCTCCTACTAAAACCATTTCTTGACAACAAGTGGATACAATCAAAATTGAAAACTCAGACGTAAACCATAAAGACGAATACACAGAGGACAACGAAACATCATAGCATAAGATATTTTCATGCTTTCTAAAGCTATAAAGCTCTCACTCAGACTGAAGAACAGTAATGTAATAAGGATAGCCTTGGCATGTCCCTGACGACGATGCATTTTCATGCGCAGAAAGCTCCCAGTTAAGTTTATACGAAGCGAGATTATAGATACCTGGCGAGAAACCGATATCTGAAGCAGGATATCAGTTGTGGACAATGGCTGGATTTGGACCTTTGTGGAACTTAAAGCAGACCATATGAAAGGAGGTGAACTTTCCATGGAGGATGGAGGTTTTCCCAGACGGCTTCCCATGACATCTGAAGTTAATTTCATTTCCTCTGTTACAGTTGGCACGTAGCGCCACTCAGATTGATTTACCATAGGAGGAGATGGTGCAGCTGCGTCTGGTAGAGAATCAATGGTGTTAATCCTCACAGAAGCTAATCCATCAGACGTGTTTCTTATTATCATCTTTAGTTTTATTTCACACAAGGAGCTCGAAAAGTTGTGGTATATGGTTTGGGGACCGTCGAGAAAACAAAATCGAAGAGAGGGAAAAGAGACGAAAATTTGGATTCGATTTTTCACAACTCAAATAAAGATGCTGAATCAAAGAAAAACGAAATTAAAATCACCTGCAAAAATGGGAAGAAATGCTTATAGAATGTACGGAAATGATTTCCGTTTTTGGTCCCTGATTAGAAGCAGTAAATCGGGAGGAGCTTCGGTTGCTCCAGGGAAGTTTTCTGAGGCAGATCGAAATCTCTTCAAAAGATTTTCGTGAAAATCAATCAAACATCGTGTGAGAAAAAGTCCATGGCCGTCGACCAAAACCTTTTTGGGGAGACTCGCAAGGAAGAGGAAGAGATTGACGTTAGGTTTTTCAAGAATATTTTTTTTATTAATTAAGATTTGTATGGGACATGTGTCAACCTCTCCAGTGATGACATGTCAATCAGCTGGAGAGAGTTGAGCACTCTTTATATATAAGATTTGGTGACTGCATTAAATTTGGCTGTACTGAGAATTTCTGTTTTTACAAAAAAATGGATTACTGGCTTCAATAAGTTTTTTTTTAAGACTATCTCCAATGCATATATTTATTTTTTCTTCTAAAATAAAGATTTAAAAATAGAGATGTATTTATATCTAATGTTTACCTCTATTTTTTTTCTCTAAAACTGAATATTCTAAATATATTATTTTTTATTTTGTTATTAACACTTTTAATTTACAAAATTCATAAATTAACCCTATTTATTTTATATTTTACAAAAGTTTCTACATATTATAATTATAAACATAAATATTTGATTTTTTTTTTGTAATTCAATTTACAATGACTGGAGAAGTTTCATATGAAATAATATTATATGTTTTAAAAGTTCGAACTATAATCAAAGTTTATACATTTATATTTTCAACAAATTTTTCATAATTGTTACATAAATAGAAAGATTTGAAACTTAAATGACTACTTTACATACAAAAAAAGTTTTCTCAAAAATCTATTTTCACTTCTAAAATCGAAAATGTCTGCTTCAGAGTTTACATGGACAAAAGTGTAAAAGGAAACAGATTTGGGCTTTGTGTTACTGCATTCATCGAGATCATAGAGCAGCATCTGGTGATGGAGGAAGACAAGAATGGTGAAGATAACAATTGTAAGCCAAAATAGAACAGCATTCAATGTAATGTTATGACAGAATGATTATTTAGAAAATAATCGTGAAATGGCTGTAAATAAATCTGGTAATGTTTGTGGAAAAACCATGATTACCACACAATCAACAACAATAGACGTTTCATTCTTTCAATTTCATAACCTTTTCTTCCCAAAAGAGAGGGGGAAAAAACACATCAAATGCTTTGTGTATCTGAAGCATTTACAGTTACAAACACAGTCTCTTCTGATTTGGTAGCTTTCTCCACGAATGGCATCATTTGCATTTGCAGCAATCAGCCTCAGATACACACCAAGGTTTTTCTTCATAAAATTGTTACAAACTTTGGTGCATCCTTCCTTGCGCCATCAAGGGACCGATACATGTACAATGTCTCAACATAATCCGCATTGTCGTCGTCATCATCAACATCTGATCCAAAGACTTCCGCCACTACACTAGGCAGAGCATGAGCAATATCCCTGCAGCCTCCCCTGGTTAACCTACAATACGACATCCAAACAAACCTCATATTGTGATACCGATGCATACCAGAGCGCAATCCAACATCTCCAAAGGGACAGTCCCTGATTTCAAGCTTTTGTAGTTTAGGACAACCCTCGAGAATATATCTCAGAGCCATGTCACTGTCCCCAGCGAAAGCTACAGATAACGTACGGATCAATTTCCCATGCTCTCCTATAATGCTAAAAGCTTCATCTGTGAGCAATCCTGATACTGCAAGTCGGGTCAGCTTCTTGCAGTTCTTAACAATGGCACCAAATCCATCGTCCATTGGCTTTCCTGTCACGTGGTCAGGCCTATAACGACCCATTATGCAAAGCCTGAACACGGTAAGCTGGGGACAGTTCTCAGACATGGCTATCACAGCTCCATTAGTCATCCGCTGGCAAAAGTAGAGGATAGATTCTAGTTTCCTACAACCCTCTGAAATCGCTTGGAGGCCTAATGCAGAGACAGGGCTTTCGCTGTCTTCAAGAGGATCAGAAGGGAAAACTCGAAGCTCACGCAGTTCCTTGCATGTTGCAGCCACTGCCTGAAGTCCTTCATCGCATATCGAGTCAAGAGCCTGCATTGTAAAAGTTCCAAGATACGCATGTAACTCAAATTACTCAGTTATCAAACTATATGATCACAGTATATGTTAGAAAACCATGTAGTTATATAGACCAAAAAGGTTATATACCCAGAAGACTCGGATATTGTGGCAGTTGCGTATGATGGGCTTGAGGATGTCAGGAGATATGTTAGCATAACTCAAGTTAAGAGAGGTGAGATTAGCACACACTGGAGAGATAGCTGGGAGGTATTCTGGTGTCAATTCCCTGAATCCTGAGAGACAAACTATGGATTTAGAAGCACGAAATGCAGATGCATAATCCGGCTCTTGTTCACCCTGAGGGACATCATTTGGACTGAACGAACCCGTCCCGAGACTCGTTAACTGCGATGCTTGAACCATGAGTCGATGCAGCTCTTCAAGGGAAACAAACCTGCTCGTTCTAAGCTTCTTCAAGAACGGTGACCTAAGCACAAGCCCCTCCAACGCCTTGAAATTGATAGGGGATTCTACACATTCAAAGGATAAAGACTCAAGATGCGTTTCACCCTCGGGAAAACAAGAAATCCAATCCACCTCGTCATCGGTGACTTCTGACTCGATCAGATCAAGGACTTTTAGCTGTCTGCAACAACAAATTCGCATTTCATAAGCTCTTGACAATAACAAAAAAACTCACTTTTCTAGAATTCAAGACAAGATAGAATAGAAACTCCATAGAGAAAGCGATGAAATTACCTGCACTTGTTAGCAAAAAGAGCAATACCACTGGTCCCAAAACCTTCACAACAGCGCAATATAAGCTCCTTGAACCCAGGAAAGGACTCAGCGAGAAGCGCTAAATCATCATCCGTGACAAACATCCGCTTCAAATTGACCTTCTCGAGCCAAGGGTAAGCCATGGCTGTTGCAGCAACCCAAGGCGCGAATTGAGCTCCCCAATCGGGAGGCATGAGATTGAAATCAGCAAACCTAGGTTTCCCTTTGAGCAACAGTGACCTAACGCCCTTGAACCGGCGAGTGAGCCGAGACGGAGAGAGCGAGTAACAGTTGCCGATAAAGACCTCGAATCGGGTCTGAGCCTCGACCCGATACCACGATCTGCACACCAGCGACACGGCGTTGCGATCGCGTCTACAGGTGAGGAACTGGAGCACGTTCTCCAGGACGTTCTCGAGGACATGGCCTGGACACGGCGGCTGAGTGACCGGCAAAGTAGATTCGCAGCTCCGGGACTTGTTCGCGGCAGATACGACGGCGTTGAATGCAGCGGGAGAGGAAGAAGAGGAGGAAAGTGGTTCAGAAATAGCGGCGGAGCGTGGATCCAGCTGCACATCCTTGGCCGCCATTTTCGAGCGATCTTCCTTCATCAAAGTAAAATGATCAAAACAACAATTTATCCAAAAGCTCTACTCCTCTTATCACCTACTGTGCTCTGCTCTCTCGCTCACTCTACCTCATCTAAACTCGGATTCGGATTTAATAACAGATATATTATTAAAAAAAAGGAGAGAGACTGGTCTTAAGCGTTTGGACTCCCTCTCTCTCTTTACTTCTCCTCCATTATCGATCGATATAATACTTTTTGTGGCTTTCTAAATTTATTTTTAATTCACCAGTTGATGAATGAAAAGAGCAAACTTGGGCTTTGTGTTTGGGCCTGATATTTGGTCTAGCACTACAGTATGTATATGGTTTTTCACTTTTTTCTTCATTTAAAGGGGGTTGAAATTTGAAATATAATTTCAAATACGCTTTCTAAAATTTCCAAAAGACAATTTTCAAAAAGAAATGTAATTATGCTTTTTAAAGTTTTCAAAAGGCAAATCCTTAGAATATGGATCCTTTAAAATATGCTTCCTGAAATACATCAAGACAATTTGTTATTTTGTTATAATATGAATCATAAGTCATATTCATAACGACGTTTGATTAGTAGTAATCCAAAATCGACGAGTCGTAAGTGTGCGAATTAAAGGTATATAACTATATATATGTTGACCTTAAATGGGATGACGTGTAAAAAAAGATAGTGGGAACTAGTCGCCAAACACGTCTCTTCGTCAAAGTCTCACTCTCTGACTTCTCTTTAGCCATTTTTTTGTTGTTTTTTTTCTTTAGAGTTTGGTGGTGGTGGTGTGTGTGGGTCGTTCGGGTCGTTGACACGAGCAACCACGAGCCACTCGCAACCACGAGCCACTCGCAACAAGCACGCCTAAGCCATTTGACCCTTAATTTTCGCTTCTTTTTTTTTGTTTTGATATTTTTTTCCGAATTTTGAAATAAAGAGAATTTAATAAACGTTTTCTCTTTCCCAAAATTGGGACATTCCAATTGAGAGAATACAGCTTCTTAATTAATTTCCATGTTCATCTATCTACTCTCTATTTAATTTGTCGTCATAATTTTAATTCCAAATTCGAAAGGCATCTCATCAACACTCCCTTTTCTGCCTTCTTTCTTCTTCTTCTTCTCTCTCTATATCTCAAGTAAAGTAGAAATGCAGTGAAATTGATTTTCTGAAGAGTTGTAGCAGCAGAGATGGTGGTAAGGAAGGTGGGTAAGTATGAATTAGGTAGAACAATCGGTGAAGGTACCTTTGCCAAAGTGAAGTTCGCTCAGAACACGGAGACCGGTGAGAGCGTCGCCATGAAAATTGTGGATCGCAGCACCATCCTCAAGCGCAAGATGGTCGATCAGGTTCTCTTCTATCTCCCTCTTTCTCTCTTCTTACTTGATTTGATTGTGTCTGAGATATTATTATTAAATTTGTTATCACCGTTTGCGTTTGAAGATTAAGAGGGAGATCTCGATTATGAAGCTTGTTCGCCATCCTTGCGTTGTTCGTCTCTACGAGGCAAGTGTCTTTTTTTTTTCGCTCTCTTGTTACTGAAATATCTTAGCTTTTTATGGAATTTGATCTTTCCCTCTTTAGGTTCTAGCAAGCCGCACAAAGATTTACATAATATTGGAGTATATTACAGGTGGTGAATTGTTTGACAAAATTGTGAGTAGCTCTCAAACTCTCTCAATTACTTCCGGTGATGGTTTGTCTCTGCAAGACATTGTTATCAGTTGTGTCATGCTACAGGTTCGTAATGGACGACTTAGTGAAGCAGAAGCTAGGAAGTACTTTCATCAGCTTATTGATGGAGTTGATTACTGCCACAGTAAAGGGGTCTACCACAGAGATCTAAAGGTGCTTTCTTGCTGACAATCAACCAAGCCTTTGCAAAATGATCTGACTGATTTTATCTTGTGTCATTTGCAGCCCGAAAATCTTCTGCTAGATTCTCAAGGAAATCTCAAGATATCTGATTTTGGCCTCAGTGCATTACCCGAGCAAGTAATGGGAGCTCTCAGTTTCATGTTCTTTCAAATTTGTTTTCTTTTTATTGATATAGAACCATTATCAACTAAATTATCTTCCTTTGATCTCAAGGGAGTTACCCTCCTAAAGACAACATGTGGAACTCCCAATTACGTTGCTCCTGAGGTAAGTCAACTATCATAAAATGTTTTGAAATCATAATGATTTGGAGCTCATGTGATCTTCTTTGTTTTGGTTTAGGTTCTCGGTCACAAGGGTTACAATGGTGCTGTGGCAGATGTATGGTCCTGTGGGGTCATCCTTTATGTTCTTATGGCAGGATATCTCCCATTTGATGAACTTGATCTCCCAACTTTATACAGTAAGGCATGAGCTCTGTTGTTGCTTTGTGATTATTTACTTTTTGTCTTCTTCTATCTGGTTACTTATTTTAAGTGACATCTTTCTGCCAAGTTTAGGTTGTCTAGTTCAATTTTCCTCTTGATAACAACTCAATTTAACAGTGAAGCATTAGGATTAAACAGGAGATTTTCAACAGACCTTGTTAATTGTAATGATTAGATTATGTGTTCACACTAGTCAGATTATTTGTCTGTTAATCTTTACATGTTATGTGCTTGTAAGTGATATCTCTACTTTCTTTCTGATATGGTTTCCTTTTCTTCTTCTTTTTCTTTTCAAAATTTTGCAGATCGACAAAGCGGAGTTTGCTTGCCCCTCATATTTTGCCTTGGGAGCAAAGTCCTTGATTCGTAGAATTTTGGATCCAAATCCTGAAAGTGTAAGTTTTGGATTCCCTTGCAGAAAGCTTTGCTTTAATAATTTTTCAACCACAACTGCTGTATTTGAGGGATGTATTACATGTTAAAAGAGCAGTAGCTTGAAAGAAGAGATATCTAGATTACTTATAATATTTGACTAGGTCCGGTTAAATCATATCATTCTTTTCTACACTCAAATAGACTCTAAAAGCCTAAGCATGTTTTTCCATCACTGTCCTGGATCATTTGGAAGGTCTATACAACATGGATAATCTGTAAATTGAAAGCCTTGCATCACATAGTTGTCAATTAAAATTGTTCATGGTTACTCTTTTATCTCAAGCTGCAAACTCTGACAATTGTAGCCTTGCTCTCTCTCTTTTTTTTTGTTGCAGCGAGTTACAATTGCCGAAATCAGGAAAGATGAGTGGTTCGTAAAGGATTACACTCCTGTGCAACTTATTGATTACGAACATGTAAACCTGGATGATGTATATGCTGCTTTTGATGATCCAGAGGTAGGAGTCAGTTGACACATTTCTTTGTCCCCCATTTGGTTGCCTGCTTTTGAGCATTGTGTATAGTACAAGCATGCTTATGATGTTCTATGTAATATAATACGTTGCAGGAACAAAAAGGCGCACAGGATGAAACAGGAGACACGGGTCCACTGACTCTAAATGCGTTTGACCTAATTATTTTATCTCAAGGCCTGAACCTCGCAACTCTTTTTGACCGTGGAAAGGTAAAATACTGGGCATTATGAGCTGTGTGCATTCCTCTTCCTTATTCTGTTGTTCTTTTTATCATTTCTCTATGTTATATACAATTACTGCGTTAAGTTTTCAAGTGTGTTGACAGGACTCCATGAAGCATCAGACAAGGTTCATCTCACACAAGCCAGCAAACGTAGTTCTTTCAAGCATGGAAGTTGTGTCGCAGTCCATGGGCTTTAAGACGCACATCCGCAATTACAAGGTAAGAAAGTAGAGAAAAATTGGTTAGACATTCTCATTGTCTTTGGTGATTCGTATCTATTTCATTTCATTATCAAAACCGTTTTTTTTTTTTGGCTCCTCAAGCACCCAAGCAACTGCTGCTAACCCATTTCAATTTTCAGATGAGAGTAGAAGGATTATCTGCAAATAAGACGTCTCATTTCTCCGTCATTCTAGAAGTAACTTTTCATCATCTACCTACTCTAACATCTCTTAAAACCAATCCATCCTTTTTACTTTGGTCTCTCTATGTTTCACGAATCATTTTCAAATCTGCAGGTCTTCAAAGTGGCACCAACATTTCTCATGGTAGATATTCAAAATGCAGCAGGAGACGCAGAAGAATACCTTAAGGTTAGTTGCAAAAGTATATATCGTAAGGTTAAAAAGCTCAACTTGAGTTTTGTGTGACTCATCTCAGAACAATAAAGCCAATTTTATGTTTCGCAGTTCTACAAGACATTTTGTGGTAAGCTTGATGATATCATCTGGAAGCCACCAGATGCATCTGTGAGAAATCGAGCCACCAAACCCAAGAGTAAAAGACGTTGAATCCATGTCTTAGTCAAGCAGAGCTCGCTTTGTTCTTTAACTGCTCTAGTCGAATGAATACGTAAAAGCTTGTTTGATTTGGGCTTACTTTATGAATACATAGAAGATTGTACTAAACTCATGCGATTGTTAGATGATGAGAAACTATGTTTTGTACCATTTAGTCGAATGAAAATTGATGTATGCATAGTTCTACAAGACATTGTGTGTTAAGCTTGATAATTTCGTCGTATATGATGCATAATTAGTATCTTGAATTAGTATAGAGATCATTCGTGCCAAGTTTAGTCGTATAATATTAGATAATTGAATCGAATAGAGTAAATAGTATGAGTTGACAAAAAAAAGAGAGATAAATAGTATGGAATTAGATTGTAATATTTTCTTGTCGGTGTGTGTGATTATAACCATAAATGCATTGGCCTAAAGAATTATTTGGACACATATAGCATCGTTTGAAATTGTTATTGAAATCGAATGGTAAGAAAATGGGAAATCGTATCATGTAGAATCCGTATGGAATTCGTGAGTCGTATCAAGTTGGAATTCGTAGAGCATAGTAATGTATACACTTTGTATCATGTAGAAGGATTTTGGTTGCATGATAATAATCTAGAAATAGATTGTGCACCTTTTTTTGTCAACAAACAAGTCTCTCAAGTTTTCGGGAATTACAGAAGACCGCCTTTTTGTTTTTTTGTTTTTAGGTGATTACTTGAGTTATAAAACCTCTCTTACCTTTTATCACCCTAAAAGCATGCAAGCACATGAAAAACCACGGCAAAATATCATTACGTCTCCTTAAATCTATTAATTAAGTGCATTTTGGACTAGGATCAACTGATCATTGATCAAGTATTCTTCCTTAATGTGAGAACAATTATATTCAGTTTGACATTCGAATCAAATATTTTACTGTTTAACTTGCCGAGCAGATGCTCATCAGATGCAAACCAAATATATCGTAGTCCGAAAATTTATTATTATTTTGACTGGAAATTTTAGAATCCTTGACCTAGAAATATGTTTATAGATTTAAAACTAGCATTTTATTGACTTGAGTTGATTGGCCAAAGTCCATAGTATGACTATATTCGAACTCCCAAAAAAGAGTGAAAAATGTTGTTTGAAAACCACAAAACTAGAAGACAAATTAAATACTTCAAAAAAACTAGCATCATTTTAGTATTCATTGACATTTATTAATGTATATTAATATTTTCATCTCTCTTCAACTGGGATACGATCTTAGAAACATAACTCAACTTCCACCAAAGTTATCCTTGCTCAACCAAGTAAAGTATCCATCTTAAAAGTTTTACTACAATGTCTTTAAAATTAAATTGAAAATCTCATTTAAGTAGTGCACAAATCAATTCACAAATGCGATATAAAAACATGAACAAACACTCCATAAAACTAACGAATTTTTGAATGATTTATATGAATATATATTTATTTGTTATTTTTGGCGCACGACTAATATGGGTGACAGATTCATTTCAAAAGTGTTTTATCACCCTAAATAACTACAAAATTTGTTTATAAATCTCATATAACCATCATAATACCATCATCATGATCCCCATTAATCATCGTCGTCGTTATTTTTCTTATATTATTTTATTGCAACATAAAGTGGTGGTGGCTCTTCCGGCTTCGCAAATCTAAAGTTATTAATGACTTAGGGTTGGGCAAAAAGACGAGTACAAGTTGGTCCATGACACCATTAACATATAACCAAGCAGCTACAACTTGGTATTTCATGCCTAGTATTATATATCTATATATATATTTATACATTTGTTTTTCTCTTGATAGTGACGAAGAAATTCGATATCAGTAACAATTTGGAATTTTTTTCATTACTTAAACTAGTGCAAGTTACAACACATCTTTCTATGATTCGGTTCATGTAACTAAAGTTTCCATTAATTTTATTTTTATTTTTGACAGCTAAAGTTTTCATATGCTTTTGAAATGTAAGTAGTACTGTAATATAAGAATTATTAACAATGATATATATATATTCCAACAACTGATGAACTATATGTATATGTGTTTCTTACAAATTGATATATATGGCAAGTTGTTTCTTCGGTGCCACACTTGTGTTGTGCCACATTCGGTTTAATAGTGGAAAATAAATCCCGCCTACTCAGTTGCCGAAAAGTCACCCACATGAACCATTATCGCAAAAGATTGTGGTACTTAAGTCACTGTGCAAAAAACAATATGAAAAAACATAGGAGGTAGAAGATAAAAGAAACAAGACTAGATTCAGTTACATATAGCATATTTTAATGTACCTGCGAGCCCTGTGAGCTGGCGAGCTCGATTCTTGGATCGTTAATGGGAAACTTCTCACTATTTATCACTTTGATGATAATGGATTTTTCGAACAAGATTCAAGTGTGAGATGAGGTCCGACACCAACAAAAATCTTCGTGAAAAAGATTAGTTAGACCAAAAGTTATAGTTTCTTGCTCACTAAACACTCAAAGTACTGTATTATGGTCTCTCTAAAAATTTATTATCGTGTAAAATCACATCGATTATAAAAGTGTATATCTCATCATAACAGGAGAGTTGTTAAGTACTCGATTTCAAATTCAAGTTTTTCGTCTAAGAAAACAAGCTATAAAACATATTTTATGCAAAAACATTAATTGGGATAAATATGCACTCCTACATGTAATCTTTTTCTGCTTTTGCTTCGATTTAGAACAGATTTTTGAGATATCTGAATTTAAGTTTTTCAATTTAAAATTCCTTCAAAAGAAATAAATATTCTTAATCTGATTCTAGAAGTAATATATGTGGTCCAACAAAAAGAGAAACCAGCGAAATCTGTATTGGTCCTTTATAGTAGAATAAATACATCGAAATATACAAAAAAATATGGTACACACACTGACACACATACACACACACAAAAAAAAAAGACTAAAGAAATGAGGAGGCTGACAGATCCGGAAAGAGCTAGAGAAGAAACGTGACCAAATTTGTATTCATTCGAGGAGACAACTAATAAAAGCATTTAACTGTATCTGGTCAACTTGAGCTGGACATGTGTCTATTCCACTTTTTCTTCTTGCTTCGCGACACTTCTTTTCCTTTCTTTTTGTCCCTTTCTTTACAGTTTTTAGGTTCACATTGATATGTACAAATTCACTGTCACGGCAAGCCTCCGCCCGGCTTGGCCGACATACCTTAAACATCTTTCTTTTTTTTTCATTTTTTTTTTTCACGTAGATCTATTTTTCTTCTAAAGAACTTAAAGCACACAAAATGTCAAGTAGGCGAGGATAAGAAAATAATACTAATAGTTTCGGAGAGACCGAAGACAAAAAAAAAGAGAGGGGGATGTGAAAAAAGGAACACAGAAAATGAGGGAGAAGTAGGAGAAAAAGAATGGATGAATTTGTCGGATAATTAGAAAAAAAAAACTAAAATTAAGCGTATACTATTTTTTTTTGTAACAAGCATACAGTATCTTCAACGATAGGAAAGTAACAATGATTTATTATTGAGTCTTTATTATTTGACTAAAAAATAGACGAACTAGTCTTATTTGTCCTTAAAAATGAGTATATATACTTATGAGTTAAGAAAACGTATGAGTTCAGATTCATTCATCTATTTCAAGAAAATTGGTATATGTTCTTAAACATTCAATCAAAACATATGCAATATAATTGTTATTTGACTAAAAAAGTAGACGAACTACTCTTATTTTTCCTTAAAAATGAGTACATATACTTATGAGTTAAGAAAACTTATGAGTTTAGATTCATTCATCTATTTCAAGAAAATTGGTATATGTTCTTAAACATTCAATCAAAACATATGCAAATGATTTATAATTCGACTAAAAAATAGACGAACTAGTCTTATTTTTCCTTAAAAATGAGTACATATACCTATAAGAAAACTTATGAGTTTAGATTCATTCATCTATTTCAAGAAAAATTGTATATGATTTTAAACATTCAATCAAAACGTATGCAAATAATCGCATACACATTGCTGTGTAATTTGAATAACAAACATAATAAACAATGATTTGAGTTTAAATATGTATGTATTCTCCTTTTCTTTCCGTGACCAATAATATGTATTATTATTATATAAAAGTATAGAACAATGCATTCTTATTTATTTGTTTGAAAAAATTGTGTGTCTGATAAAATTCAAATGATGATATGTGCAGATTTTTTTTTATATATTTCTTAGTTAGATACGTAAGTTTTTAAAAGAGATCATGAAAGGGATCACGTAAACAGAAAAGACACATGTTTTAATATATTCCAGGAAAATGATATCGAAGCCGAGTGTAGCCACTGATAAAGTGTACAGTTACTACTCCGTAGAGAATGGAAGCCTGAGCTGCGGCTTTATGCGAGAATTTTTGAAGCCCGACATGTCTCAATTAAATTAAGTATAATTTTATACTATTTGAAATCTGATTAACCCACTAATCAATGAATTATTAAGTTTTTAAACTAAGCTCATTCACATCACTTATATAATTACCCTCTCGCCTCCTTAGTATTCTCCGTGCTCTCTCCTCCTTTCCCTCTCTCTCTCTCTCCCTTGCCCTAGCTTCTCCTTCTTCTTCTTCTTCTTCTCAATCCGCTACATATCATGAATCCTTACGGTCCAGATTATGGCTTTTTATTTTTCCCGATGGTTTCACATCAGTGAGATCTCGTGACTTGGGAATCGCCATTTTCGAAAGCTCATGCGTCTTCTTCACAAGCTTCGACTACTTCGTCGGTAAGTCTGATTCCGCGTATCTCGTGTCTTTAGATACTCTTGTAGTTTAATTTAACATGCGGTTTATTTTTGTTAAATCGTTTTATTGAATCCGTGAGAAATTAGTTTGAGAAGTCGAACTTAAATAGTTTTTGCTAAAATGGGGTTTATCATTGATAGACCAGCTGCATGAGCTTTAAATACCCGAATAATGAAATGCATATGTTTCAAGAGTTTTTGCTAGATTCATATGTTTCAAGAAAATCTTCCCACCCTTGATCCTACTTCTTTTGTGTTGATTTTGGGTATAAAATATCGACATTTTTTGTTTTCTGTATTGATTTTGGGTATAATCATGCATTGTGATTGTCATTTGCTGATTGTAATCACTAGTTAGTGTCTATGTTCCTTTTGCTTATGAACAGTTTAATTATTAGTTATGACTTATGAGCATAAAATCAAAGCAAAGTAAAGACTCTTTATCTTCTCTTGACCAACGATAATAACACAGAAAACAGATTCACTCTCTTGTGTCTTTTTATGTTTTTTCATTTTTCTTGCATCTTGTACCTAAAAAGAGTTTGAAAGCATTGTTAAATTCATAGAAAATGGTTCATAGAAAGTCTATGAAACGTACGAAACATCTTTGTTTCTTTTTTTTTTTTTTTATAAACAGTTTAACATGGCTATTAAGTTGAACACTCACTATGGCTCTCGATGTGGCGATGATCTATTTGGAAGCTTCTGAGAATCAAAGCTTTGATCTTTCTGTTCCTTGTCAATAAATGTTGGTTGTTCCTAAATAATACTTTTCAAACAACTATATGATAAGAGAATAGGCCAAATCAACCCAATAAAGCTCAAGGGTGAGAGTTGAAAACACCTACGGAGTGATACAGCCTCCTTTTGACAACAATATAGGATAGTTTCATCTGTGTTCAAAAATGAAATGTAACTTCTTTAATTGAGAAAGCAATGTCTTGAATAGAAAAAGCATTTGATAAAGAAAGTTGAGTGCTTAGATTAAGAAGGAAGTGAATGAAACTTGTTTTACTGAAGGTAAATCAAGAATTCTATTGATTGGATAATAAGCAATTCAATACTTCATAAACGATTCAAATAAATAGGAGACTTTGCTGTTTCATAAACTAGCAATACATGATCAGGTTCATATCACATATGTTTTTAACATAATTTATCTGCCTTTCCTTTGTTTATGCAGTGGCAAACCGTTCCACTTAATTGAGATTAGATTCTCACAGTCCAGCTGAAATACTGTGCATCAACCGTTTTAGCATGAGGCTGCTCTGGTTGACTAAACCGAAGACTTGCAGGTTCGCTTGAGTTGTCTCTCATGTCTAGACCATTTGTGAGAAGGGATTTTTATTTTATTTGCACCGTTCACACCACCAATTTCTAAATCTGCCATAAGTATTATATATGCCCAAGTTAGGAAAATAGCTTGTTCAACATATCACACAACCCTTTTAATTAAAAACAATTCCATATATCAGATGCCTCTACGGCTTGAAATATATTGTTTTCTTATGTAGTTATGTATACTCTTGGAGTAGTTTCTTGTGTATCTTTAGATATTCGCTAGCCGCCTAGGATTTTTAAGCTACCAAAACGTTAAGAAATTAGTGAAATGTTCCCAAACCGCATTTTTTAAAAAGGTCAGTTTATAGGTCACAGCCATTAGAGTCGCACTCACCTCCTTTTTAAGTTGTTTGATTTCTTCCATGGTCCATGAAAATCTGATACTTTAGAAGTTAGGTATAAAGGTAAGTACTTAAGGTGCATTTCATGACTTTTCTTGATGCTGCGTACATAACTTTTTTCATTCGTATCAGCCGGGTTTAGTTCAAGCTGAGAACTCCAAATCATATAGAATTTGACACTTTGGACATGCATTTTGCCTAGTAGATCTCAAAGTTCTGTCTGGAGTGTCCGAGGTTTTTCCATGATAGCTAAGAATTTTTTATCTTACACAATAAACTATACTAGTTTTCCTAAGAAAAAAAAATGGGGAATGGGGAGGTGTTGGGTAAATTCCCTTCTCATCGATGGTCTAGATTTGCGAGGTGACTCTCATGGAGGTAAAGAGAAATAGTGATTTTGAGAAGCATCCAACATAATGGTAATCTCTAAAAAAAGGTTAGAAGATTTTCAGCTTGTGAAATTGTTATTGCTAGATTTGTAGACCAGTGATCTGCTAATGCAAGACGTGAGATGCGTCCAAGTAAAGGTTGTGTGAGCTTTTTTTTCAGGTTGAGTAACAACAAGCCATTGTTGAAACTGACGTAGATGATGGATGTAGAGAAGCGAGTAGCAGTGATTCTGTTGCAAGGTCCTTTGCAAGAACAAAAGAAGTAAGAATGCTGAACTTAAAGGAAAGGAAAGAAGGTGTGTTTATCGATGAAAGAGCAAAGTGAACGAAAGGTTTACCTTCTGACTTGTTGCCACCGAATTCTCCCATTTATCTATTTCATGCTGCAACAGAAAACACCAAAGGGGAATGGGTGTGTTTACATGACGTTAACGCCAAGAAATTAAGAGATTACTTGTAAAATTGATAAGTTCCCTTACTCTGTTGATTCTGACTACTAATGAAAGATGTATCTATCTACCTAGCCAATGCTCAATATTTATACAATTATTTCTGTATTGATTATATTAGCACTAAATAATAAATTAATTTAATGTGGCATTCAGTGGGACCCATGGTTCACAACAGACGTGTATAATTAAAAGAAGCTCGAAGCTTAAAGATACCACTTGTTTAGTCTTGAAGAAGAATCAAAAACATCTTTACTCGTTGAAGATAATGAATCAAAGTTATTAACAGATTGTTTTTCTACAAAAGCTTCGACATTATATCTCTCACAACACATAAGAAAGAAAGAGAGCGAGAGAAAGTGATGTCGGACCAAGGTTCTGTTCGTTTGGATGTCAAAGAAAACCATGTAATTAATCTCCCCGTCCTTCCTTACATATATATAGCTTTATCTCTCTCTCTCTCTCTCTCTATCTCTATTTGTCCTTATATATATGAATATGGCCAAAGCAGGTGGTGATGAACAATGGTATAGTCGAAGTGACCATATCAAAACCAGATGGTTTTGTCACTGGAATCTCTTACCACGGTGTCAACAATCTACTAGAAAGTCACAATGAAGATTATGATCGAGGGTACGTAGAATGTAATTTCTGCAGATACATTACATAGTTGCATGAATCAATCTTCTTACCTATACAACATATGATATGTTGTGACTAAACTAAGGTACTGGGACCTTGTTTGGAGTGAAGAAGGGACGCCTGGAACTACAGGGAAATCTGAGCGGTAAGTATTCCATCGATCGAGCATATTATAGAGCCTTGCTACATATTTATTTAGAAAATGTGGTTGAGGCAGGATCAAAGGTAAAAGTTTTGAAGTAGTAGTGGAAAATGAGGAAATGGTAGAAATTTCCTTCACCAGGAGGTGGGATTCTTCTCTCCAAGACAAGATTGCTCCCATCAATGTCGACAAGAGGTATCTCATATATACACATGGTCATGGACATATATGTGTGACAGTGACATAGACATTAATTTTTTTTTTGCATGGTTCAGGTTCATAATGCGTAAAAATGTAACTGGATTCTACTCATATGCAATATTCGAGCATCTAGCAGAATGGCCAGCTTTTAACTTGCCTCAGACAAGGATTGTTTACAAGCTTCGTAAAGACAAGTAAGTAACTAATGTTTGAATTAAATAAAAAAATTATTCCTTAAAATTGATATTAGTGAACTTAAAGTTGTTTTGTGGATTTTAACAATTGTAGGTTTCGATATATGGCGATTGCTGATAACAGGCAGAGGAAAATGCCGCTCCCAGAAGATAGATTGGGTAAAAGAGGAAGACCTTTGGCATATCCTGAAGCTGTTCTTCTTGTTCATCCTGTTGAAGAAGAGTTCAAAGGAGAGGTTGATGACAAGTACGAGTATTCTTGCGAGAACAAAGATCTTAAAGTGCACGGATGGATCTCAAATAGCCTGGATTTGGGTTGCTGGCAAATCATTCCTAGCAATGAGTTTAGATCAGGTGGCCTGTCGAAACAGAACCTTACCTCTCATGTTGGTCCAATCAGTCTTGCTGTATGTTCTTTTTCTTTCTTCCTCCTGAAAACTAGCTAGAACCAATCTCTCTACTTATCATCTATGATGATAGGTTCTTGCTTAGCCTTTTGAACAACACAATGATTGTGTAAACAAACAGATGTTTATAAGTGCTCACTATGCGGGTGAGGACATGGTGATGAAGGTAAAAGCAGGGGAGTCATGGAAGAAAGTGTTTGGTCCTGTTTTCACTTACCTCAATTGTTTACCTGACCAAACTTCTGATCCTCTCTCGTTATGGCAAGACGCTAAAAACCAGGTTTATTTGTTAGCATACCTTCTACGTTTGTGCATATGAAAACTTATAAAGAAGATGAAGTCTAAACTTGTAAGAAAATGGTGTTTAATTAGATGTTAATCGAAGTCCAAAGCTGGCCTTATGATTTCCCTGCTTCAGAAGACTTTGCACTGTCCAATAAGCGTGGTTGCATCAGCGGTAGGTTACTCGTACGCGACAAGTAAGTCTAACATTCCATAATCACCACAACATGTGCTCTGCTTTTCCTCATTTTGTTATCATTTTCTCATTTTTGTTTTCTTTCTTTTTCATGTGTTGTACTTCCTTCAGAAGCCTTAGTGATGAACTTTTACCGGCAAATGGTGCTTTCGTAGGTTTGGCACCACCAGGAGAGGTTGGATCCTGGCAAACAGAATCTAAGGTTAGCCTAAAAATGATATTCTTGGGCCATATAGTAATATCTATTTAAGCAATGTACTAATCATTACTTTAACAAAAAAAAAAAGGCAATGAACTTATGCTTGTATCAATTTTCCATCTATAAAGGGATATCAATTCTGGACAGAAGCAGATGCAGATGGTTATTTCGAGATAAATAACATCCGAGAAGGTGAATATAATCTCAATGCTTATGTGACAGAATGGATTGGAGACTATCAATATGAGAAATTGATTAACATTACAGCAGGTTAATTTCTCTTAAACTTACATTATAACCAAGCTCATGTATAACACAATGTGTCAAGAAATGCAAGTTGGAATAACATTTAGTCACACTCTGCACCACAAAACCAGGCTGCGACATTGACGTTGGCAATATCGTGTATGAACCGCCCCGAGATGGGCCAACGGTGTGGGAAATTGGAATCCCTGACAGGTCCGCAGCTGAGTTCTTTGTTCCAGACCCAAATCCTAAGTACATCAACAAACTATATATTGATCATCCTGATAGGTAATCATTCCATGACCATAAAGATCTCAATCATTGTGTTAGAATTGGTTATATAAGGCTGATATCCTTTAAAACGCATCCAAATGTAGAAACAAACACAATTAAGACCTAAGTATGGTTACACTTATGTAGGTTTAGGCAATACGGGCTATGGGAAAGATACACAGAACTATATCCTAAGGAGGATTTGGTGTTCACTATTGGCGTCAGTGACTACAAAAAAGACTGGTTCTTTGCACACGTTACCAGGTAATATATATTTTGAGCCCATTTCACATATTCTAAGAAAAGTAAAAACAGAGAAAAAACCTCACATCTCTTAACTGATTATATAGGAAACTAAACGATGACACATATCAAAAAACGACATGGCAAATCAAGTTCAAGCTCGAGAAGGTGCAGAAAAACAGCACATACAAACTCCGGATCGCACTAGCAACCGCAAATGTAGCAGAACTACAAGTGAGGATGAATGAGGAAGACAGTGAAAAGAGCTGCCTTTTCACAACAGGTGTAATCGGACACGATAACACGATTGCAAGACATGGGATACATGGAATCTATAGACTCTATAATGTGGATGTACCAAGTGAGAAGCTTGTCGAAGGAGACAACACTTTGTTCTTGACACAAGCCATCACCACCACTGGAGCTTTTAATGGTCTCATGTACGACTATATCCGCCTCGAAGAACCTTTTTTAGATTCAAACTTTCACTAATTCCATTGCTTTTTGTCTGTAACTTCTCATTTTATATTACGCAAGATGTATGTATATCTCTGTTACTAATAATAAAAAAAAAGCATTAATGGGCTTTGTGTTGGGCCTTCTTTTAATCTCAGATTTGACTTTAGTAGAAATGCAAGGGTAAAATCGTAATTTCAAGTCTCCCTGATCTATCGCTGCCTATATATACAGTTGCCTGCAAAATCTAGGGTATAAAAGCCCCAAAAAATTTCTCCGCTCAAGAGACAAATCCCTCGCAATCGACCAACGGTAGCTCCTTCATTTACCGTTCATCTCTCTTCTCACGTCGCCGGCGATCGGTAAACCGTCTCTATTTGTCATCTTCGTCTCCAATTGAGGTCTTTTATTTGTCAAGCTCCTTTCTTTTTTGATCGAAACTCTCCAAAATAAAAACTTTTCAGATTCTCGATTTGTTGTTATTAGTTCCGAATTTGATTCGATGACTTGTTGCTCGAATTTGTATGGCGCAGATCGTTGGGCAGTAGATAATGGCGACGTTTGAGCTATACAGGAGATCGACGATCGGGATGTGTCTTACGGAGACTTTGGACGAGATGGTTCAGAGCGGTACGCTGAGCCCTGAGCTAGCCATCCAAGTCCTTGTTCAATTTGACAAGGTTTCATTTTTAACTCTTCTTTGACTGATCTTGGCGTTTCGGTTTGCGTCTGCGATTCTTTTGTTCTTTCTGATATCTGCGTTCTTGTAGTCCATGACTGAAGCTCTGGAGAGTCAAGTGAAGACCAAGGTCTCAATTAAGGTGATCTTCAGTATTGTTTTCACTTTTAATATATTTTTGTATAACTTGTTGTGAAATATTGATTCTTAGTCAACGTAATTGGTTAAAAGAAATTATCCAGTTTCTGTTTTTGGCTGCCATATATGTATGTTCATTCATTTACTTGTAGGAAGACGATTAATAGTTCTAGACTATCTTGCTAGAGTTCGTTTGTTTTGGTTTTTCAGTTTGAACCTGATGCCAAAAACCATATTTCATGGATACTGAATATTTTAGAGTACAAAGTTTGAGTCTCTTTAACATTAGAGTGCAAAATATTACTGTCCCTCAAGTATGGAGTTTCTTTGGGTGTGAAAATCAATAGGCTGAAGCTGACCCTCAAATGATTGCTTTGAGTTAAAGAAAATTCATCTGTATGGATTCTGTTATTTGAATCTCAAGATAAGAGAAAATTACGGCAGGTGAAACAGCTAAGATACTTAAGCTGGTTTCTTCTTTCTTTTCTCTCTCGTACAGGGGCACCTGCACACTTACAGGTTCTGTGACAACGTCTGGACCTTCATATTACAGGACGCAATGTTCAAGAGTGATGACCGTCAAGAGAATGTCAGCAGGGTGAAGATAGTTGCATGTGATTCTAAGCTGCTCACACAGTGAGATGTAAAATTCTCAGCAGAGAATATGCACACTCCCTTTGTAATAGATTTTGAGTTTCTTTTTTTTCCCTTTGTAAACTCAGCACTTGTTATATGTTGAGCTCCATTTGCAGCCATCATTTTAACCTTATATGTAAATTCTCGGCCCAAAGACATATGGGACATTCTGTTGCTATGAGAACGTACATTTAATCTTGAGATTAACCTTTGTTTATACTATCTAACCCTTCCAAATCTCACATACTGATACAGTGGCTTTTGACCCAAAAAAAAAAAAAAAAAAAAAAAAATCCCAATTGAATTGATTTGTGTCAAAGCCATTGCTTACTCTTAATTCTTAAACTCTTTCTTTCTCTCCACTCTCTTCACTACCCGATTTTCTTTTTTCTTTTTTGTTCTTTTTGTTTTTTGTGGGAGTGTGAAGGTGTTATATGTATGTCTGTCACACTTTTGCCTTTACAGATGTATTTCTTCACCAAAGTAGAGAATAGGATTCCTGTAACTTTGAAGCATAGCGGTTAATGTTCCTTCTAATCTCCTTTGTTTTAAATCCACACGGCAATTTTGGTACCTTTATGGGGCCATGTCAGTGCCAAGTGAATGGGATCCTTCGGTATATATCAAGGAACAGTCTTTGCTTTTCTAAAATTCTCTCTTGTGTTGTACCTGAGTAATTGATACTTCTTTACAAAATATGCCTTTTTGATGCAGGAAGCTAGTTTGTGTATTTCTTGAAGTGCTTTTAGAGATCTTGTTACGTTTCCTTCGTGAATAGCTCTGCCATGGCAACATCTAAATCCCATCAATTCCAGCTAGTCGAAGGGATGGAGCTTCAGGTCTGTTGTTTCCTCTGTCTTCCTGGAATTTACAATATCGGATTTTGGACTTAAACCTTGGTGTCGATTTAGATCACTGTCACTGGGTTGCCAAATGGGAGCAGTGTAAGGGCTGAGTTTCACCTCAAGAATTGCACTCGAATATGGATTCTTCATTGGGGTTGTATTTACCAAGGAAATAAGTGAGTGATGATCTTTAAGATATAGAAACAATAATACTTCAAAGATCTTTATGTTTTTGACTTGTGTTATCTGCTGCAGCTACTGGTTTGTCCCATCCGAACATTCCCCGAAGCAAGGTGCATTGCAGACTCCCTTTGTGAAGGTCTACACAACACTTTCGTCTCTTGTTTATCTATAAGTTTTTTCTACAAGTCAGTTTTTTTCTGAAGCGTGCTTGTTCACAATTGCAGAGTGGGAATGATTATGTAGTGATCCTTGAGTTGCGTGATCCGAGAGTACGTGCAGTTGAATTTGTGCTGAAAGATGGTAACCGTAACAGATGGTGCGTACCTTCTTTCCTTACTTTCTTTGAGCCATACTTGCGAGAAATGAACGGGGGCCTTGAATCCTAATGGATATTTACAGGTTGAAACAGCACACTGGAAATTTCCGTGTTGAGATTCCTTGGAACGAGCTGCATGCTATTCATCGGATACCAAAGAATCTGATAGAAAGCAGAGCATATAAGATATGGGACCGGAAAGGCCGACCACAAAACTCTGCACGAGAACAACAGGTGAAATGTGGTCCATCTAATATCCACTGATCTGCTCATTACTCATCTCTGTGTTCTATGAGTTATAAATGCGGTTATGTCTCACTTTTCTTGCATGTGTTTCATTATAGATAGACTATGACAATGCAATAAGAGAGCTCCAAGCTGAGTTGGCTAGAGGAATGTCTTTAGACGAACTTCAGGCTAACTCTACGTTAAGAGTTGAGAAAGAAGTAACCAGTGAGCCTAATCAAACAATGAAGTTGCATCCACCATCACATCGCCGGAAGCATGATGTTCAGAAATGGTTACAGAAATATGCAGAACCAACCACCAAAACTGGAAGTGTGAAAAGTTCAGCACTTGTAAATCTCTTGAAGAGATCTGTAGGCCAAGAAAATATAGTTTCAGAGAGAAGCTTTCATATCAGAAATTACGAAATCGCGGTTTGCAATACAATTAGTTGATACAGCCATTTTCATTATTGGTAGTTTTTGAATAACCTCTCGATAATAAATGGGTCTATGTGTTTTGTTTATTAGGTTCTCCAGATATATGTTAAGGGCGATTGTCGCTTATGGGTTGCCACAAACATGGCAGGTCCAACAGTTCTTCACTGGGGAGTGGCAAAGTCTTCTGCAGGAGAGTGGTTGGTAAGATGTTCGTGCTTCTGTATTAAATATTCCTTATCACAATATTTTCAATAAGAGACTGATTTTTATATAACTCTAAATTAGACGCCACCACCTGATGTGTTGCCTGAGAAGTCAAAAATTGTTCACGGAGCATGTCAAACACATTTTACTGATATGTCAAGCAGAGAACACTCTTATCAGGTGCAGTGAATATTTTTACAGAGACCACCGTATTTTGTTATGATGTACTTGTATTCTAAGATGTCTTTATTTCTACTAACACATTCATATTTTTATTTTGGAAAAGTTTGTTGATATAAATTTCAAACGAAGCGGTTTTGTTGGTATCCAATTTGTGATATGGTCTGGAGGCTACTGGGTAAACAATAATGGAGCCAACTTCGCTGTAAACCTGAAATCATCAGACAGTACCAGTGGTAAAGTGAGTTCAGTGTGTGTAGTCCTTACACCATCAGTGTTTATCAATATGTTTCACTTTTAAACATGTTTATTCTCCTCAGCTTGACGTGGATGGAAAGTATATTCTCAAATGGTTGCTTGATGAAATATCTGAGCGAGAGAAAGAAGCTGAGAAATCATTGATGCACAGGTAAGTCAAAATATACTCTGCAAGGTTAAGTGAATGTTTCAATGCAACCTAAGTCTCCGCTCTTAGTAATGTTAGTGAAGTTACTTATAAGCATAGCTTGGCAGGTTCAATATCGCAACAGAGTTGACAGAGCGTTGTAAGGATGAAGGAGAAGGTGGATGTATTGGTATAATGGTCTGGATGAAATTCATGGCCACTAGATATCTCACCTGGAACAAGAACTATAACGTTAAACCCAGGTTGATCTATTGTTTCTTTGGTTACTATAATCTTTTTACTTTTTCTTTCTTCTTTTGATCAGACCTTTTATATATGCCTTCAAAAAAATTTCCGCAGGGAAATTAGTGAAGCACTAGAAAGATTCACCAATTTGATGGAGAAAATATATCTGCAGCAACCAAATAAGAGAGAAATTGTGAGACTAATAATGGCACTTGTGGGTCGTGGAGGTCAAGGTGATGTTGGGCAGAGAATCCGTGATGAAATCCTTGTGATTCAGGTATATAGTTCAACATCTTTATGCAGAATATATAAAATTTTAGTAATCTCGTTAAGAGCAGTTTCTTTTCACCTTTTTGTTATATAATTTGTTAGAGAAACAACCACTGCAAATCTGGAATGATGGAAGAGTGGCACCAAAAGTTGCACAACAACAGTAGCGCAGATGATGTGATAATTTGCGAGGTATATATATGACTAAAGATCCTTCCATTTGATGATTAGTAAATCAGAAATAACAACTCGGATATAGTTTAGACTCCATCCTACTATATTCAAAAAGCAACTAACTAGTTCAACAGTTTTAGTTTTTACCTGCATCTGATGAGTATTATTCTTCTGCCATAGGCTCTCTTAAACTATGTGAGATCTGACTTTAGGATCGATGCCTACTGGCAAACACTAAAGGCCAATGGTCTCACAAAAGAAAGGCTTGCAAGTTATGACCGCCCCATTTTATCAGAGCCTCGTTTCAGAAGTGATGCTAAAGAAGGACTCATCCGTGACCTTACAATGTACTTGAAAACATTAAAGGTACCTATAGTAATCCCACCTCTACTTTCTTCTGCTACAACTTGCAGACTTTTTCTTTGCCTGATCCATCTGGCCTCTATACGATTATGATTGCTTCGCAATTTACATTCTCGACTTGCTCTATCCTGAGTTTCTAACTAAACAAACTATTTGTACCTTTCTCTGCAGGTAGTTCATTCAGGTGCAGACCTTGAGTCTGCTATTGATATGTTCCTTTCTCCATCTCAGGTAATATAGCTCATGTTTAAAACGTTCAGTTTCATTTTCTGGGACATGGTATCATCAATAACCATAGCTTCGTTAATAGTAATACCTCATTCTTTCATTTTCCTTTTTCAGGGTCATAATGTCTTTGCTGCCAATGGTTTATCTCCGAAATTGCAGGCACACTTTCCTCATGATATCTTGTCAGTACATATATTTGTCACTGTGTTATAAAAAAAATGCCTAACAGATCGGCCATTTCTATGGTTTGGTAGGATCTACTGAATTTGGTTAAGAGGCTTGCTCGCGAAGAGAACGCTGACCCCCTAATAGAGGTTCTAATAGCTTATCTTCTTTCTGTAGCTTAGTGTTGGACCTTATGCTTGTTTTCCAAAATTTATTTTACTTCTGCAGAAGTTAGTAGATGCTCGCATTGAGCTACACCCTGCACTAAGAGCACCTCGTACAAGAGCAAAAGATTTACTGTTTCTGGACATTGCACTGGAGTCGTGCTTCAAAACAACAATAGAGAAGAGACTCATCTCTTTAAACTTCAATAACCCACCGGTGATTTTTTTTTTCTCTCTCTCTCTCTCTAATTTGAAAGTATTAGTCTTTACACCTACGAGTGTAGTATGATTTGATCTGCTTTTGGCACTTCTTGGAACAGGATATTATATTTGTCATCAGCGTGGTGCTTGAGAATCTGTGTTTATCTACATTTAACAATGCGGAAATTATCTTCTGTACAAAGGCATGTTTATATCTCTCCCCACTCTTTCGCTTCATTTCTCTTTCAAAGTTTTAGTGTCAGTACTCTTATACGAATATCTCGTTTTGTGCTTCTCTTTCGCGTTCAGGATTGGTACCGTGTCAGCGAGACTTACAGAGCTCCTGATGTTCAGTGGGCATTACAAACAAAAGCGGTTCTTGACCGTTTACAACTAGTTCTTGCTGATAGATGTCAGCATTATTTAAGATTGATACAGCCTAGTGCAAGATATCTTGGTCAACTGTTACGTGTTGACAAGCATGGGGTATTTTACAATTTAACTGCAGCCTCTTCTTTATGCAATAAGTTTTGAGATTTGATATGTTTATTCATTTGGGTTTCTTGTTATTTTTTCAGATTGATGTTTTCACTGAAGAGGTTGTAAGAGCAGGACCAGGAGCTGTTCTATCAACTCTTGTTAACAGATTTGATCCTTGTCTCAGGAAAATCGCGAATTTAGGCTGGTAAGATACGTTTTACCATGAGTTTGAGCTAAAAAAATCTCAGCTATGATTCAGAGTTATTCCATGTAGAAGGTGATTACTGAATCATATATTGTTTTTTTCTGCTCAAAACCAAAATGGTTTATGGTTGAGCAGTTGGCAGGTTATCAGCTCGGCTGATGCATATGGGTTTTTGGTTTGTGTGAATGAGTTAATTTTAGTTCAGAATAAAGTCTACACGAAGCCAACTGTAATTATTGCAAGTAAAGTCACAGGAGAAGAGGAGATCCCTGATGGTGTTGTTGCTGTTCTGACTCCTTGTATGATTGATGTCTTGTCTCATGTCTCTATTAGAGCAAGAAACAGCAAGGCATGTAGTTATTGTCTGCTTCAGTATATATATATCATCAAACTATTCTGCAGAAAGAAAATAAAAACCGCTTCTCATCCTAAGTATTTTCTGATGCAGATATGCTTTGCTACATGCTTCGATCAGAATGTTCTCAGGAATCTGAAGTCCAAGGAAGGGAGAGCAATATCTATTCATACAAAGTCCACTGGTTTAGTTATCAGGTAATCAAACTCTTATGTTTTTCACTGTTCTTGACGGTAAGAGAATGATTTTCTAAAATACCTATGACATTATATCACTAGCAGCGATTGCAGCAACTCTGATGTCCCTGTTCGTCATATTTATATTTCTTCTGTTCCACGGGGAGTGATCTCCAAGGGGAAGAAGTTTTTTGGCAACTATATGATTTCATCTAAGGAATTCACTGATGAAAGGGTACGTAAAAACAAGTTTCCAATTTTCAGAATACCATTTGGATTTTCTTTTCACTGAGATTTTATTTTTTTCAGGTTGGTTCAAAATCATGTAATATAAAATTTCTACGAGAGAGAGTTCCATCATGGATCAAGATACCTACCTCCGTCGCACTTCCGTTTGGAACATTTGAGTATGCACTTTCAGATGATTCCAATAAGGTATATGGTTAAAAAAAAAAAATCATATATATTGCCTTATCTTTGCCTCTTTTCCGAAAGTATTTCAAAACAACCGATATATATCATATGATCAAAGATACAACTCCTCATTGAGTTTCTTAAATCTCTTTGATGGATCCATCTCTTTTCAGGATGTAGCACGCAAGATTTCTGTCCTTAAAGATTCTCTTAACAGAGGAGAAATGACCAAACTCAAGGCGATTCAAGAAGCTGTTTTACAAATGAGCGCTCCAATGGCTCTGGTAATAACTGTGCGTATAATTGTTTTTTCTTTCTCTCTGTTCGTGTTTTATTTGTATCACATGTTTTGAACTCTTTTGGTAGAGAAATGAACTGATCCACAAATTGAGAAGTGAAAGATTGCCGTATCTCGGAGATGAAGCAGGCTGGAACAAATCTTGGACTGCAATCAAGAAGGTAAAGAAAATCTCTTTGAATTAAGATTTGTGTTTGTGAAAGGAACCAAATGCTTTCCTGATCTTCATAGGTCTGGGCTTCAAAGTGGAACGAGAGAGCTTATGTAAGTTGCAAAAAAACTAAGCTTGATCATGATGCCGTCTGCATGGCGGTGCTGATTCAAGAAGTCATATGTGGCGATTATGCTTTCGTCATTCACACAAACAATCCTGTCTCTGGTGACTCCTCTGAAATATACACAGAGGTAAATTAAGAAACTTGTTCGAGTTTTCTGTTGCTAATTCGAGTATTGCGTCCAAGTTTATCACAAGAAACTGCGTCTCTCAGATTGTGAAAGGTTTGGGAGAGACCTTGGTTGGAGCATATCCGGGACGAGCAATGAGCTTCATCACCAAGAAAACAAACCTCAAATCTCCAATCGTAAGAAACAAAACAGATTGTATCTTATCTCTTTAACTTCAGTTATAAGTTAAAATAGACTTTGAACAGAGTGAGTTGTAATTTGGGATGTGCAGGTGATCAACTACCCAAGTAAGAGGATAGGTCTGTATTCTAAACTCTCAATCATATTCCGATCAGATTCAAACAACGAGGATCTTGAAGGCTACGCAGGCGCTGGACTTTACGACAGGTTAGGTTCTGTTTTCCTCTGTTTCTTGTCTTTTCTTTTTGCTTTGGAATTGGTTTTTCACTTAAAAAAATTGAAACGTTTATAAAAGTGCAGTGTGATGATGGATGAAGCGGAGGAAGTAGTGGTGGATTACTCAAGGGAACAGTTAATAGTGGACAAAGCCTTTCAAGTGCGTCTCTTCTCGGCCATTGCAGAAGCTGGAAATGTGATTGAAACACTCTATGGTTGTCCTCAGGACATCGAAGGTGTTGTCAAAGGTGGCAATATTTACGTTGTTCAAGCTAGACCCCAACTTTAAGCTCATACTATCTCTTCTTTTCTTCTTGTTTTCCCCATTTTCACCCTATCTATTTCTATACCATTCCCTAGTTTTCAAACAAATCTTATAATACAGAGTTTATGTTGCTTATTACAGAGTTTCCTCGAAGTGTTTTCGAGGAGATTTTTTTACGACTTCCTCACCAGTACATGGTTCGAATACCATATCAATTCAGTGTAGTTTTGTTACCAAACCGTATCGCAGTATATCGAATGAATCTTGAATCTTGAAAAAAAAACTAAGGACCTACAATTGCAAAGTAAACAAGTTATTACCAAAGATATATATAAAACAGTAGTATGTTTTGTTTCAATAGTATGTCTTCGTATTCGGGAGGATATGAATCCAATTTGAAGGTTTAAAGTGTTAAATTTTCTAAATTGAAGGTTTAAAGTGTTAAGTTTTCTAATTTGAAGGTTTAAAGTGTAAGTGAAATACTCTGAAGGGTTTAGTTGCCACTTTAAAGGTTTTTTTTATGCGACTTTTCCGAAGTATATTCAGTAGCTAATGGATTCCGTTCTCATGGCTACACGAATCAGATGCCTTCATGCGTCGACATCGTCCTCCGCTGTTCCCGCGGAATTCCGTTCGCCGGCGATACACCATTTCTGTTGCATTCGCGCACGGTTGTTTTCCTACCGATCGGCGACTATGACCATGTCCGGGAGACGGTCCGATTTGAAATCCCGCTTCCCGGTGACTCGGAAAATCACTTCTCCGATGAGACGTGTCTTTTCCGTCAGTGCTTCGACGGAGCATTCCTCTTTCCCTTCTAATCGGAAACTTATCGTGGTTAACTCCGTCGTCGTCATATCCTTAGCTCTAGCTAATCGCGTGCTGTACAAACTCGCTTTGGTTCCCATGAAACAGTACCCTTTTTTCCTAGCTCAGCTCAACACTTTCGGGTACTTTAAACGAATTTGGTTTCGACGAAAAATTGGGAAGTGAATGAGCTCAGCTTAATATTAATTGAATGGTTTTTTCTTTGTGGCAGCTACGTCTTGATTTATTTCTCAATTCTCTATACGAGGTGTCGTCTAGGCATTGTGACCGGTGAAATGATGAGTATACCCAAATGGAGATTCGCAATCATCGGTTTTCTGGAAGCTCTTGGAGTTGCCACTGGCATGGCTGCTGCAGGTATCTCTTTATGGATGGAAAACTTTTACATATTTGTAAGGTTACATATTATCAACTATTATCAAGTGATTGGTCTCTCTGTTGCAGCAATGCTTCCTGGACCAGTTATACCGATTTTGAATCAGGTCTTTTTGGTTTAATTCTCATAGCGGGTGTTGAACGCTTTCAATGTCTACTATTACTTTGAACCACATGCCTGCTTACAGTTTTGAATCCCACAATGTTTGGCAGACATATTTGGTGTGGCAGCTGCTTTTTGCTACTCTTATTCTGGGCAGGAGGTTTTTGCTCAGCCAAATTGCTGGTTGCTTGCTTGTGTCTGTGGGCGTTGTGGTCGCCGTTTCAAGGTACTGTTCTCTTCTTCCAAAGTTGTTACTTTTATTCTTCTGGAAGCTTGATCTTGCGGTACAGAAATGTGCGTGTAACCGTGGCATGTGATAGTGTTAATTTTCATTTTCTGCAAATGCTGACTGTAACTCATCTGCAGTGGATCTGGTGCAGATCATACGCTATCTGGAATCGGTTTGCTATGGCCTGCTGTAATGGTTGCATCTGCTGCTTTTCAAGCTGGTGCATCTATCATAAAGGTAAAGGCCGCTTCTTTCTCTTGCGAGTTGTGAACTTTTGTTTTGTATTTTTCTTTTGCAGTCCTGCCAGGAACCTAAGTTGATAAGTGCTTTGTCTGTTAACAGGAATTTGTTTTCAATGATGCTGCAAAGCGTCTTAAGGTATCTAGCGCATAGTCATATTCATCTTCCTTCTGAAAGCGTATCCCCTGCATCAAAATGGAATGCTTTTCGTTCGTAACTTTGCTGATCTCTGGGCATAATGCAACAATGCAGGGAAAGTCACTGGATATATTTGTGGTGAATTCATTTGGATCTGGATTTCAGGTATCAACTACAATATGGCAGCTAAAAAAATCATTACGCTAACGTAAAACAATGCATATCCATTACCTGAAGACTTTGTGCAGAACATTTGAAAGCTTCTTGTTGCACCTTTCCTCTGTTTTTCTGTTATTCTATCTATTTCCTACTTGAGACTAGTTCTTGTGCTTGTGCAGGCTCTTTTTGTGTTCCTGTTGTTGCCTTTTCTCTCAAACTTGAAAGGCATTCCATTTGCCAGCCTCCTTTCGTATCTAAAAGATGGTGCCGGCTGTTTCTTCAACACTGGAGCTAAGATTTCTGGTTAGAGACCGTTCTTTCCTCTCTAAAACTTGTGTGTTTTGTTTATACGCTGCACAATCTGTTTGTGATCAATTTGAGCATTTCAGGCTGCGATGGTGCCCCTATCCTCCCACTGCTCTATATAGCTACCAATCTCGCTTTCAATATCTCATTGCTCCATCTGGTGAAAATTTCTTCAGCCATTGTTTCCTCTCTGACCATGATGCTCGCAGGTCCTTTTTTCTATCTCTACATGAAAAGCCTCTTCAGTGTTACCAAATATCTTAAACCCACAATCAGTTTATGAGATACTTTTGGTGTTGCAGTGCCATTATCGGTGTACATAATGTCAAAACCATTGCCATATCTACCGGGAGGTACAAGCTTGAGCTCAAATTTCGTGATGGGATGTATTGTACTAGTTCTAGGTCTTCTTCTCTACAACATTCCCACCACTCCAACTAAGCAAGACACTAAGACCTAATACACACACACACACTTTCTATCTCTGTCCATTGACCAATTCTCTTTCCACAAATATGCATATCAGATACCTCTGATTTTAAAACCGCGTGAGAACTGGTTCTTACAAGAAGGAAAAATGAATGTGAAAATTAACACAAATTTCATATTCCAGTAGTCATTTGCTACTCTTAACTCGTTCCACTATTATTATTGGAAAAAGAACAAATAGTTACAAGAGCAAGAATCTGTCATACTACACGTCTCAACTAAAATAAAATGTTTTGTATGCCACCAACAAAGAAACGGTAATTCATTATGGCAATATATACAAAAGAATTCTTCACAAAAACATACACTAAAAAAAAATTATAGTACAAACTACAGCTAAGTTTTCGAGTTTTGCTAACCATGTGGTCGAACATGGTGAAATTTACAGTTGGACTTAAACTTGAGTTTCGGTCAGGTTAGAATGTTGAGTTTGGATCAAGTTTGTTTTTTGGATTTGGTTTAGTTCTACATTTCATTTTAGTTACTCTGATAACAATTAACAATTTAACACTGATATACAGTTCGAATCATGTAATTTGAACCATATTTTTGCCTTTTTTCCAAAAAAAAGGAGAAAAAAATTCAGGATCTTTTAGAATATAATTAAGGAATTCTGCCGACAAAACAAAGAAAAAAGGAATTTCCTTTGAATAAAAATAAATAGATGAGCCGTATTGGGGCTTTATGAGTAATCGAACGGGCCTAAAGGTAAACTGGTAAATCCCAGTGAGCAGAGTCGTCGGGTCGTCTCGGAAGCTGCTGCGATTTTTTACCAAAAGTCACCGTTTTTACCGCCGGTGAATTTCCACGACGGCCAATCTCCCACCTCCACAAGCGCCGATCACCATCTCTCTCCCTCTCTCCTCTGTATTGCACTTGTTCATTGTCAACTATTTCCTTCCTCTCTTGCACTTAGGGTTTCGGCTTCCTTTGTTCTCTCCATCTCTTTGCTCTTTTGTCATTCAATCAATGTGAAAAGCTGTCCTCTTTTTGGCAGTTTCCGATGTTTAGTCGCCATTCCCAACCGGAGATTATCCCCAATCAGATTGGTAGCAGCTCTGCTCCCGCTGCAGAAGACCATGTCTCTGCCTCCGCTACCTCCGGTCACATTCCTTACGACGATATGGACGAAATCCCTCATCCCAACTCCGTCTATGCTGCCTCCGATTTGCTTCCCGATGGTTCTCAATTGGTGCCTCACCACCGATCCGAGGGCTCCGAATTACTTGGTTGCCGCCCGCCGGAGAGAGCCAATCAGCTTACGATCTCGTTTCGTGGTCAGGTTTACGTTTTCGATGCTGTTGGTCCTGACAAGGTACTCTTAACTTTGACCCCTTTTGTTGCTTCTTCAAAATTCTCGAGGATACTAAGCACTTTTGGTGAAATCGATTCCGTAGGTCGATGCTGTGTTGTCGCTATTGGGTGCTTCTACTGAGCTGTCTTCTGGGCAGCAGGTGATGGAAGTAGCTCAGCAGAATCATTTGGTAAATTTTGCTTGTTGTTCTTCGTTCAAATTCTTGCCCTTTTTGGTCTTTCGATTCCATCTTTTTTACAATTTGGTTCTTGTTTTTAGCCTGCTGTAGAATACCAGAACCGCTGTAGCCATCCGCAACGGGCACAATCCTTGGATAGGTTTCGGAAGAAGAGGAATGCTAGATGTTTCGAGAAGAAAGTTAGATATGGTGTTCGCCAAGAAGTGGCGTTAAGGTCAGGGGATTTAATTCGCTTGTTTTACTTGTTATCATCATTCTAGATTGTGGTGCTATACCTCCGAATAGCTCTTGAGTTTTTTACCAATTTGATGCCCAAGGCTGTTTACATTCCCACATTGGTTAGCAGAGAAACTTAGTATTATGCTAGCTTTTGTTGTAATTTGGGATCTTCACAAATTCTAGCTTGACTAGTGTTTATAAATGTCACATTTGTCTGTCAGGAAATTTGGATTATATAATGGTTACTCCTTTGAAGAAGCTGGACGTATTTCGTTCACCTTTTCTGGGATCAATAACGTAGTATTCTTATATAGCTAAGCTGGAAAGTTTCTTTTTTTTTGCTCTCAATGCTCCGGTTTGTTAGATACTTCCTCATATTTGTGTGCTATGGGTTAAAAGAAAGCCTGCTCCTATTCAGGTGTCCATGGTTTAATATAATGTATGAGAATATGTTTGTAGCTGAGCAGGATAGAACTGAGCTGTGTTTAGTACGATAATTAGCTTTAAAGGGAGTAATGAACATGTCTATATCATCAACAAGAGTGATAGGATTTGTCACCTTTTCTACAATGCAGAATGGCACGTAACAAAGGTCAATTCACCTCTGCAAAGATGACCGATGGGGCCTACAACTCGGGCACAGACCAAGATTCTGCACAAGAAGAGAGCCATCCAGAAATATCGTGCGTTTTTGCCTCTGCCACTTAACTGCTTCTGCGATTCCTGTTCTACACTAATCTGCAAAATATTTCTTGCTCTGGCTTAAAACGTGAGTGTATCTTATGTAGGTGTACTCATTGCGGCATTAGTTCCAAATGTACACCAATGATGCGGCGTGGCCCTTCAGGCCCCAGAACTCTCTGCAATGCGTGTGGACTCTTTTGGACTAACAGGGTGCGTATGAATCTCTACCAAATAAATGTGTTTTGGACTACTCATTCTTTTTCCACATAGATTGATATTTTCACTGTTCTGGTATAGTCAAGTGTTTGACGTTTCAAAGTTGTCCAATTCTTGTAGGGTACATTGAGGGATCTCTCCAAGAAAACAGAAGAGAATCAGATGCTAATAACAAAACCTGTAAGTTCTTATCCCTGTGTGTTTCTGGTTGGTTTACACGTAAAGGCAAAGCTTCATCCATTGCTTAATGTAGGGCGAAGGTGGGAATGATGCCGATGCTAACAACTCGAAATCTGAACCTGCAACTGTCGAAGAGCACACTGCCTTGGTCTCTCTTGCTAATGGAGATGGATCTAATCTGTTAGGTAATCACTAAATACTGTGATAAGAATCAGAAGATAGAAATCCTTGTAGAATCAGTTGCTTTTCTCTATGTATTATAGAAACCATCTGTAACCGAACCTCAAATCAAATACCATATCAGATGTCTTATGGTTTCAAAAGTCTGATAATAGGAATAGTGTGCACTGTGTTTATAACCATATCCAAGAATTTTCAAAGTGGACGCCTTTAATTTATGGCCAAACTTGAAGCTCAAGAAGAGGAAAAGTTAAAAATGAAAAAAATTCATCGTATATATAGTTTCAATTAAAAAAAATAAAAAAGAGCCCTGAGAAAAATTGATATGCCGGTTATGAAGAGTTAAACGCAACAAAAGAGATGAAAACATTTTGCGTCTGTCTTATTCAGTATGAATATGATACCTTGCAAAGGATCAAGGCATTTAGGCATCTTTACAACAAGTTTGGGGATTGCTCCCGCTGTTCAATATACTAGTTACATCACTGTCTATGATTTTGGGGAAGATAACCAAAAATGCGGTTTAATCAAGATGTGCTTGGAGATTCAGAGGAAGTATATTTGAGAATAGAAGCGTCAATCCTCTCCTTGTCTCTAGTTGCAAATGCTTCCAAGAGAAGTCCGTTTTTGTAGAAGTGGAAGAGAGGAACCGACTGTAGATAGACGACTGTATTAAAATCAAAGTCTTCTTCGTTATATCGCAAAAAATTGCAAAGAGGGATTTGATTACCTTGACACGGAGCCTTTCAGCGACTTCAGATTGTTCATCATATTCATCTATCACCTGCAAAATCAGTTGGTGAAATCTTAACCAAGAAGATAGATAATGTAACAATATCAACAATGTCAAAGATCATAACTACAAGGAATGTTTGTATCATAATAACTAACATTATGCTTAAGGAAGATAACGGGAGCTTCTTGGTCACCAGATTGCTTGCAGAGCTTTGAGAAGCCCTGCTCAATGTATTTACAGCTCCCACAAGAAGGACGATAAAAATCAACCACAACCAAAGAATTAGTTTCTTTCGCTTTCTCAAGGACTCTAAGGAGTTCATCATCTGTCTTGAACTCAGTGACACACTCAACCGGACATACATCTTCTTCTTCTTCTTCATTTTCGCCACTTAAACCCGCTTGGATTTCCTGACCTAAGCATTTCGCTGTTTCATGTTGAAGCCTGCAACTAATTTTGTTTATACTCATGGATGATGTAGAAGAAGAAGCAGCTCTTAGAAACGACAATCTGACGACTCCATTGCTGCGCAAGATCCATCTAGGAATTGCACTCGATTTAACCAATCCGTTGCCAAATCTTAGGTACTCCGAGTGAAGAATGTTCTGCTTCTGCATTGAGCAATGGATGGATTTGATTCTCCTCGCCACAGAAAAACTAAAAGAAGAAGCATATTAGAGATAACAGAATCCAGAGAGAAAAATGTGTTCTGTTTTTACTTTTGAGAATGTAAAGGAGTTTGTAAACAAAGTCACTAAATAAGAGTAATCAGGAATTCGCAAGTACATACATTGAACCGGACATAACTGGTGACTAAACCAGTTCTATAACTCAATACACATGTTAATAAACAACACACATTGATTGGATATCTCGCATTGTATTGTGAAATAATATTCCAAGTTTCTACAACAGTTAAAAGAAAGGACATAGAAAAGAGATAAAGAAATCTGGAAACTTAAACAGTGATTGGATCAGTTAGTGGGCGTCCCATAGAGATGATGAAACAATTAGGCAACCCAAAAAACAAAACAAAAAAGAACACAGAAGCTCTGAAGATACCTGGATTGTGGGCATTTCATATTAGAGATGAGAAAGAAATATTTATGTTGGATTCGTACCTGTGTCAGAGTTCAGAGAAGAACTGGCTTTGAGATTCAGAGAAGCAAAGTAAGTCAAGGACGGGGAAACACTTTGGACATGGGAAAACTAGAATCGTCGTCATCCGCACAATCTGGCATCTTTCTTTCTATCCACACAGACAAGGACAAGAGAACCCAGCGATTATGGTCGTCATGGGCCTTTTCCTTAGTGGGTTTGGGTTACACTCAACAAGTCCTAGTACTTATCCAACATGAATGTAAAAAGCATTTTACTTTCTTGATGCATTGCCTTAATTAATAAAATTTTACTCTTAAATCGATCGTTAATCCTCTACGCTTGGTCGTCGAACATTTTAGCCAAACGATGAATTTGGTGAATTAATGGTCTGATGAATCTGAACTGGTTCAGTGTATATATAGTTTCGATTCATCATGATCAGATCGCATAACGGCTTTTGCTTTTCATCACTTGCGTAGCTGCTGCAAAACCTGAGGCGTAAAGGAAAACTCCTCTCATCAAAGTTGATACTTAATTTTGAATGTATGCATATGCATATGCATTGTCCAATTCAAATTCCGTTAATACTTAATTGAGAATGTGTTCATGATCATATGCATGCACCATATACCAAAACCACGTGCAATACAAAGCTCGGCCGGGGACCACTAATTAGATTATCCTACTAATAACAGTAATATGAAACATAACAAATCTCTATATTATTAATACACAAACCAGAAACCACACAAAAAATTGTATCGAATAAAGAGAACCGTCCAACCAGCTATGGTAATTAAAATATGATAGCTTTTTTTGGGGCCAATAATATAGACCTTATAGTTATAATAAAATTTATTAGATAGTTTATGATAGAATTTAAGATGAGATTATTCGAGAAGGTGTCGCTTTAAGTGCCTCGATCCCTCGTGACGACTCCTTGCCTTTTAAATTTCTTCTTTTTAGTTTGTTCAACCAATGTAAACGATCGAGAGACCACGAATAAATTAATGGTTTATCTGTTTCAGTATCGAAGAGGTCCATGCATGTATTATTATTTTGAAAGGATAAAAAAATGTATGTATTATACTATTAGTTATCCTTTTATGTAGTTGTTATATATATTTTGTTCAACTGAGATTAGTGTCTGAGTCACGAGTTAAATCTGAAGGCTTCACCAAACCTAAGACTAAAGGTATCAAAACGGATACACAATCTTGTGAATCAAGACCTGTCTTATTATTATTAGTGTATAAAATTGTTGTGCTAGCGTTTTACAAGTTAAAAGTAAGTCTACTAATAGTAAAATGATTATTTTCAAAATGTGTTTGATGTTGAGTTTTATTTTTTCTGTAATAGAAAGATATATTTTAACGTAGGTACTTTATACAATTTGCAACTTTGTGTCACAAACAAAATTGAAGCTTTTTAAAAAAAAATTAAGATTCAGAAAAAGAGATTGATATGATATCTTTGTAATTTAAGTAAGAAATTAAAAAGAACTTAATTAAAAAACCTCATATATTACACAGTTTCTTATCTTACAGTACATATATACATATTTTTTTGGGGTTAGAAGGACACTGGAATCCCATGCATTTTCAGTACTTACAGGAAACAAATAAATATATAAATTTCTTAAATAATTTTTTCTTCCTGATTTGTGTTTTTTTCTCGTTACTCAATTCATTTTAGTCATTACTACGTAGCTTTGACCAAAAAAGGAAGTCATCCATACCCCCATGGCCATGGTCCATACCTTATAAAGTAAAAAAAACCGCGCATCATGAGAGCAAACATTGCATGAGTAGGATGATAGTCCATGTGTCATCATCTTATTGCAGGAAGAGTATACGTGTAAGCTCGTCACATTAAAGTTTCTCCTTCCTTCTTCTTCCCTCGATCCAATGTCTTTTACAGACTTTTTTTTAATTGGCCATTTCATTTTATTTTTCTATAATAAAAATTCAAATATTTTATTCCCTATTTGCTTCCTTCTTTTCCTTCTTCTTCCTTCTTTTCCTCTTCTTGCAATCTCAACACCTGTGACACTTGTTGATCCTAAACAAAACCCTCCTTCTTATTATCAATACCGAATCCACCGTAAATTTTCATTTTCTCCATTGATTTGTTTAGTCAACTCTCTCCGTTCCTTTCTTCTTCTTCTATTTCCGGTGGTTGATGATTGATAATCTAAACGAAAGAGGAAGATAACGGAGCAAACACTCTCTCTCTCCAATCTCTGACGACGAATTCAAACTTGAGACTTTTCCTCTTGATCATCATCTCTGTTTGTTTTATTTTTTTTCCTGGATTCAATGACGGGATATGGTTAAACGACTCATTTCCGGTTCTTTCGATCTGTAGATTTTGCAAAAGTTTGAGTTTTTCAACAAAAAATGCCTCACCGGACCACATACTTCTTTCCCCGGCAGTTCCCGGATCGTGGGTTCGATCCGTTTTCGCATAAAAATGACCACGACAAGAAATCGGCGTCCAACGTCGTCGTCGGAGAGAGTTTTGGGTTTGAGAGTAATAAACCCAATGGCGTCGAAGATCCGAACAAGGATAAGGATCAGATTGTGTTCTCGTCTTCTTCTATGCTCTCTAAAAGCTCCGCCGTCTCAGATCTCTTGACCGGCGTTGATGATCGGAAGTCGTCATCGGAGAAGAAGCATCAGCAGCAGCTTGCGGCTTTCTACGAGTGGCTGGCGGAGAAGAAAGCCACTCTCTCTCGGTCTTCGTCTACGACCGGACGCGTGAGACCCACGCGCCTCTCTATCTCCAGCGACGCCGATGAGGAGAGGGAGCTTCTGTTGTCGCCGGCTGATCCTCCTCCTGCTTCGCCGTGTTCCGTAATCGCGGCGTCGTCTTCTTCTTCCGCACGGGCGGTCAACATGAACGAGCGGAACATTGACCGCAGCTTCGACAGGGAGGTCTCGCTTCCACGAATGTCGAGCGAGAGCAGCTTCGCCGGAAGTTTCTTCTCCGGGACGACGGTGGACGGAAATTTCTCTAATTTCTCTAGTCATACAGAAGCAAGGGAGACCTCGACCACCACACGTGTCTCCGTGACCAAGGAGGAACGAGAAGTTGAGGCTAGGGAAGAGGGCAAAGAGCAAAGCTTAGCGCAAAAGTCAAGAGAAGGCTATTACTTGCAGGTCACGTTAGCGAGGAGGCTAACTTCTCAAGCAAACCAAGCCGGTGATTCTGTTCATATACAGAGCACAGACACTGTCTCCTACCGTTTCTGGGTGTGAATTTTTATATTCCTTATAACTTTTGACTCAATTCTATAGGTTAGAGATTAAGGTCGAATATTGATTTTTTTTTCAGGTAAGCGGTTGTTTATCATACAGTGACAAGATATCAGATGGGTTTTACAGCATATTAGGGATGGATCCATATCTTTGGTTGATGTGTAACGATTCTGAGGAAGGAAAACGACTTCCATCTCTTTTGTTACTAAAGGAGACTGAGCCGAGGGATACATCAATGGAAGTGGTTTTGATAGACAGACGTGAGGACTCTCGTCTTAAAGAAATGGAGGACAAGGCACATGAGCTGTATTGTGCTTCAGACAACATGTTAGTGCTTGTGGAGCAACTTGGCAGACTTGTTGCTGTTTCTATGGGGTATACAACTTTTTGTTCTTTTTTCTATTTTCTATGTGATTTAGTTTCGCAACACCAACTTCATAGTTGTGCATGTATATATATGTGTGTGTGCTGAGGTTGTGGAGCTTTTAGGGGGAATTTCCAGGTCGAGCGTGGTGATCTCCAGAAGCGATGGAAACTTATTAGCAATAGACTCAAGGAGTTTCGGAAATGTATTATTCTTCCTATAGGTAGTCTAACGATGGGGCTCTGCAGGCATCGTGCCATTCTGTTCAAGGTGAGCCATGAACTTACATAGGAGTAGAGAAAGCTAGACATATATTTGTTATAATACATCTATTAAGGTTAAGCCGTATATATTTGTCAATGGTATTGGATACTGACTGACTTGCTCGTCTTGAATATGCAGAAATTGGCTGATTACATAGGTTTACCATGTCGGATAGCTAGAGGTTGCAGGTACTGTAAAGAGAACCACCAATCTTCTTGCCTTGTCAAGATCGACGATGACAGGAAGCTTTCAAGGTTTAAGCCTCCCCATTGCCTTTTTTTGTTTCCCTTTCTATCTACTTAACTACAGCTAGATTAGATTGCTCAGTTGGTTTTAGATAAGTAGACTCTCTGGACGTTAGCAAAACACTTTTTAGTGCCTCCACTTGTGCACTTTCAGTTATGGTTTCTAGGAAGCTCTTACTGCTTCTACTGAAAACAGTTAAGAATTCTTTATGTTTTTACTAACAGATGAGTCTTCTTGTGTATGAACTGTGATTCTGTGCTTACAAATAGTTTCTAGCTTAAGAGTATATATATCAATGCTGAAATTTAGTTGTTCTGAGCTTATTTTCCACAATCTTGAACATCAGTTGAATACCGTTTCTCAACAGGGAATATGTGGTCGACCTTATCAGGGAACCAGGAAATGTCCATGATCCAGATTCCTCTATCAACGGTAGTATACAATGTCAGATTCCTTCACCTCTTCGGATGAGTCATCTTAAAAGTTTTTCCAGGCCTTGCGTGCGTACTACATCTCCTTGTCAGACTGTAGGGTCAAAGGCTTCTTGCGCTCTTTCTGAAAACATTCAACGTTCAGGTAGGAATAGCTAGCAGAATATGTAATACAATTATATTATACAAAATATGGAAGAAGATTGTCATACACATTGATTTCTTGTAGGGAGTCAAGGCCATGTACACAAAGCAATTGAGTTGCCTGATATTGCAGCGACGATATGTTGTGCTCATGTTGATCAAACCTGCTTCGCTAAGGCATCCTCAATGGTTTCGACCGAATCTGTTCTTCGAGCTCTACCACTTGATGTACCAAAACTTAGTGAAGACAAGATTGCCTCACAAGAAACTTGCAAAGAGGAGACCTTTCTATTAAAAGATCCAATTGACAACAGTGTTATCAAGCAGCCGAAGGGAGATTTATCAGCTGAACCAGAGATAGTCGAATCTGAGACTCGTAAAGATATAAACGTCAGGTTACCTGTTGACGCCATCTCACCATACTTGACTATTGAGCCTTCTTTGGCATCAGATTGGCTGGAGATCTCATGGAATGAATTGCATATCAAAGAGCGTGTGGGTGCTGGTACGTCTTTTCTCTTCCATTATTTTTTTTTTTTGGGTACAAACGTTTTTCAGATGCAAGTAACATAATCTCTTGCAAAATCTTTTCTGTGCTTTTCAGGATCATTTGGAACTGTTCATCGTGCTGAGTGGCATGGATCAGTAGGTTTCAATTTTCTAAAAAAGCTCATCATTTACTGTGTTTTCTTCTTGGAGTAGCTCTCACTCCTCACGTCCTTTGTAATAGTTTTATCAGCCAAGATTCTAATTTCGTTCTTGTATATGGTGAAGGATGTCGCTGTCAAAATTTTGTCTATTCAAGATTTCCATGATGACCAATTCAGAGAATTTCTCAGAGAGGTATGTAAGCAAGCGGATGTATCTCTTTTGAATAAATAACTAACTCCATGTGATAACTTTGAAGCCTCTCTGAATCTCTCATCTCTGTGATTTCAATTAAAGGTTGCAATAATGAAACGTGTGCGTCACCCAAATGTTGTTCTATTCATGGGTGCTGTGACAGAACGACCCCGCTTATCGATAGTAACAGAGTATTTGCCAAGGTAAACCCATGCACATAGTTTTTGTCTTGCTCGGATCAAAGTTTCATAGTTGAGTTACATGATGTTTCATCTTTAAAGGTCTGCATTATCGAGTAGCTTGTGATTCTATCTTCTTTCCTTGAGACAGGGGCAGTCTTTTTCGCCTCATCCATAGGCCAGCTTCAGGGGAGTTGCTAGATCAGAGGAGGAGGCTACGTATGGCATTAGATGTGGTTTGTGGTTTTTCAACTTATGTTAATCCCTTAATATGTCTTTCTGAGTTAAACTTGAAACAACATCTGTGTTTTACTGGAACAGGCCAAGGGGCTCAACTATCTACACTGTCTTAATCCTCCTGTAGTGCATTGGGACCTGAAATCTCCAAATCTACTGGTTGATAAGAACTGGACAGTGAAGGTAATGATCTTCATTAACACAATAAAACTTTTACTAATATGAAGCATCCTGTCGTCTGTTTCTGTAACGTATCAAGCTCGACCTTGCTTCCCTGTCTCAGGTTTGCGATTTTGGACTATCCAGATTCAAGGCAAACACTTTCATACCATCAAAATCTGTTGCAGGAACAGTAAGCTCTTTTAAGATTTAATTACTGCCGACATGTTCTTGTGGACAAAAGTGTTTTAACAAGTGAAACTTCTTCTCTTTGGTCGTCTGTTTTAACAGCCTGAGTGGATGGCTCCAGAGTTTCTTAGAGGGGAGCCCACAAACGAGAAATCAGATGTTTACAGTTTTGGAGTAGTCCTATGGGAGCTGATTACTTTGCAACAGCCTTGGAATGGACTCAGTCCTGCTCAAGTAATTAACACTCTCTCCCTCTCCTTAAAATAACATATGGTTTTCAAAACGTTTTGGTATATATTTTGAGTCTTGGTATGTTGATCAGGTGGTTGGAGCGGTTGCGTTCCAGAACAGGCGGCTTGTAATCCCTCCCAATACATCTCCGGTTTTGGTATCTCTAATGGAAGCTTGCTGGTCAGATGAGCCGGCTCAGCGGCCAGCATTTGGTGGCATAGTGGACACATTGAAGAAGCTACTAAAGTCTCCAGTGCAGCTGATTCAAATGGGTGGAGACAAAGGGGTAATTCCGACTTAATCACTCCCATTCTTTAGTTAAGTTACTTTACTTTTACGGTACTAACAGACACAATGTAGGTGCGAGATGCTTTGAATTAGCTCATGAATTTGATTTTAAAATAGAAAAATCAGTTGAGACGATGCCTTGCCTGGAAGAATGGAAGGCTTTTTTTTTTTTTTCTTTTTGTTTTGCTTTGTATAGTTTATATATATACTTTTGACTTTCAGCATAAAGTTGCAAGACAATGAATAAAATTATGAGATTTGGTTTCTTGCGGTTAGAGATGGTTGCATCTGTTGCAAATTGCAAACCTTCTAAGTTGTATGTCATCAAAAGTTTCTATCGATTTTAAAAAAAAAATGAATGCTGACAAAGGAACAAAGAAAAGAGTGTGTGCTCCCAATTTCCATACAATTCAGTATAAAATCGTTTCATAGAAAATATCGACCCCAGAAGTTAAAATAAAAAAGAAAAAAAAAAATACCAACCCAAACTTGGTAAATTGAGGGTGCAAAGTCATTATACAATCTCATAAACAAGATTGTTGACCAGAAACATATCACAACAACAAAAATCATCAAGAGAATCCAAATTGTTTTTTTTAAGGATTTGATGATCTATAAATAGAGGAAAAAATTTTATCTCCTAAGTTTCTGGCCATCAAGCCATACAAGCTTTGGCACAACCTGGATGACAAAAGAGCTGAACTCGTCCCCTGCAATTACGTTTCCTGCTATATCTAACTGTTTCAGATTCAAATCTCTAAACACGAAATACGCATCCCAGTATTTCGTGACCAAAGTAGGCATCTGTCTTCCAACTTCATCCTGAGTCCACTCTGAATTAGAGAGCGGTGAAGAACAGAGGTACCTTGTTGTGTCCACTGAGTGCTTGCCAATGTGGTTGTGTGAAACATCCAACACCCTCAGCTGTTTCAGATGTCTTAGTGAGTCCAGCGCTGAAAAACTCCGGATTCTGTTGTGACTCAGATTTATGCAAGAGAGAAGTTGCATTGCCTCCAATCCTGTGACGCACATACACCACCATTTAATCACATCTACCACACAGATGCAACAACTGAAACGAGGACATAAGCTTGGAAAACACAGGACATTTTGAGCAACTTACCTTCAGTTGAATGAAGCTCATTGTGACTGAGGTCTAACATTTGGACAAACAGCAACTTCTCGACAGAGCCTATCCGAGATAGTGATAAGTTATTTAGCCGTAGACATACAGCATTGTTCATATCCTTGTATTGAAAGAGGTATCTTGACAAGGATTCAGTGCTTGAAGTCACCTGCATGAACATTATCTTTATGAGTAGTGTGAATGGTGAAATATAACTAAAAAAATCCTATAATACTGTAAATGCGAATACGGAAAAAATTATACAGCTATTCTTAAGAACAGAAGCTCAACTTGTGATTCATAGCTCGAAAGCGGAGTAAGTACCTTGTGGAGTAAAGCTACGCTGTGCTCATCCTTGTAGTACTGATAGTGTGGAGAATCTAGCGCCATCAGATCATTATACAGATCGACGATTTTTTCATAGTGAACACCCTTAACAGCATCACCCGATATCATAGCTTCAGCCTTCAAAAGCCTTGCAAGAGTGAGCTTTCCAATTTTGCTAAAAAGGAAAAAAGAACACAAATTTCAACACTACAATTTCTCTTTCCCATCAAAGCAAGAAAGTAAATAGGATACCTGTCGGACAATGCATGAAATAAGTCAATCTCTTCCGCTAAAGCTTCCTGACGCCATTTTAAATCCATCTGAGTGTTTAATTGATCCAAGGTGACAAGAGAGTTCAAATCCTTCGACTGTGCATCCCAAATATCAAAACCATCCGTCCATGAAACAATGCTTTCTTGGGACTCTTCGACGGTGTCATGAACATGTGCTGTAAAGACGAACTCATAAGGAGCGTTGAAGTTAAATCCTCTGGAAGAAACAATTCCTGGAGAGTTCCCAATTCTGACATTCACTTTGTATTCCTTGCGGAAGGAAGGTTCTGAACTCATATATTTAAGACGAGCAACCCATACACAAGACACTTGAGAGTTTTTTTTTGAAACTGGTTCCCAAACAAGGTCCTCATTTCCTTTTAGTTCAGAATCAATCTTAACAGTAGAAGAGCTTACTCCACCAACATCTTGGTCAAAGTAAAGAATCAGTGGAAAAGAACCCGACTCAAAACAAAAAGTAGGGAGCTTAGACGAAGAGTCATTTAAGCACCCAGCTCCAGACAGATTGATACGGGAACCATGTGAAGGCCATGAAGAAATGAGAAGAGGAGTCTCCACATTAACAGTTTGATCAAGAAGCCAAAGATGATAAAACCACCCACTTTGGTCATCTTCGTCCGTAAAAATAGCATCATGTACAAGTTTATATTCTTCAGGAATCTTTTCATTTGGCATAAACCCGTCAGCCCTTCTAGCAAGCAAACTTGAAAGAAGTACACTGCAGAATTTGAAACAATAAAAAGAGATATATTTTTAGTTGATGGAGCTACTGATTGAGACATGCAAATATGCTCATTTACAGAAAATGTCCTTGGCCATGTTTACTGAATCGAGAAGCTATAGTGTAAGTAGACCTTAGATATTGTCAATAGCCCATAGATTATGGTGGTAGTATCAACTTAATATTTAAGAGGCCAAGTAACCCAGAAGTAATTGTTCCACCAAAGGAAACTTCATATAGTTCATGAGAAAATTATATTCCTCCAATGGATGAACTTCATCTTTGTTCTATTAATTACTTTGATTGAGTCATTTGACTATCAAACTAGTCCACAAAAGCCTCCATTTCTTTAAATACAAACAAAGAAAAGAAAAATTGAAGATGTAAGTCAGCATAGTTGCCGACATCAGATAATTACTAAATAATATGCATACCTACGATTATGCCATGCAGAATAGTTGCTGAAATCGGTACTGATCATATTCTCTGTATACTGCAACTCATCCTGCTCTGATCTATTGGTTAGCTCCACAACAAACCTGAAAAGGAACAACACATGAATATGCAAGCTTGATGGACATGAGCACTGTGCCTCAAAAGAATGTTGCCATTCCATAAATTTCACCTGCGATAGTTCCACGCATGAAAGTTCCTGGAATCCAGCCTCTGGAATTTATCCAAAAGCCGCAACTCATTCCCTATGGAGGAATTCCCTTTACTCAAAACCCACTTTCGATGATGCCAAGCACCATAGGATTTGAAATTCTGCCTCAAAGCACTTTCTACCTGAAAGTAGAACAGAATTCACAGCAATCAATGTGAAACCACTTCCACAAAGAGAAAATCTGACACATATAGCAATCATTTTTCTATGTGAATCAACCCATCTAGTAGTTTAGAATAAGAAATACAAATTTCATATCTCGGAATAGTTGCGGGAAGTCAATCTAGTAAACTCGTGGTAAATGGATGTATGGTTAATGCACAGAAGTATACAACTTGGAACATATAAATTTCCAGATACATTACCATCTACATATAGTCACCGCAGATTTTTTGCTTTCGTTTAATTAGCAGGAAAACTCACCACTACTAGTTCTTCATCGAGAATTGACTTGACCAAGTCTGGATCAGACTCGATTCGGGAAAGTCTATCCTCCACGGCGAGCTTCCGATAGTTCCACGCCGTATACGCCTCCGGATTGATTTCTAAGAGCTTCGTGCTCAATTCAATAGCTTCCTTGGTATAACTAGAAACCAAAAAAAAAAAAAAATCTCAGAACGAACAGATGATTAGTAGACGAACAGCAACTGACCCGATCAGTAAGATTCGGTGAGAAGTGAGAAAAAAAGGAGAAAGTTATACATTTTGTTATGGTGATTGGACATGAACTGAGACTGGAGAGACCGGGGCTTAACGGCTTTAGCAGCGGAGGCTGCTTCCTCCTCTGGTTTGTAAGCTTTCCTTGGACGACCGTGCATTTTTCTCCGATGATAAGAGACGAATGTGAGATAGGCGAGAGTGGGATTCAGCTCAATCTGACAAGAAATTCATAATACAACTAGAAAGCTAAGAAAAACAGACGATCTGGAAAAAAATCGTGATCAAACTCAAGAAATGAACAGAGATGCAGAAAAGGAGAAGAAGAAACAGATCACCTGCGAGGAGCAAGAAGCTGCGATCGATCGAGAACGAAGAATGCGAGACTATATTTTTCGTGCAATTGAGAAAAGGGACGGGTTATATCGGGAATTTTCCGGTCCGGTTTCATAAATTCAAGCACCGTTAACCGGTAAACCGGAGTTAATTGAAAATTACTGTAGAACACGAACTATCTCGTCTGTATTTGTGATTTGTGGCGGCTTTGTCATAATCGTTAATTCAGTTCAGGGTTTTCATTCAACGGCCTCTACTTTTTTGGCGACGAGCAAGGTGAAGATTTTTGGAAAATCGTACCTTTTAAAGGTTCGCTTAACTCTCGATTTCGTAGAAAGGTTGAGAATTTAGGGGTTTAGGGTTACATTGTTGTTGTTGTGTTGATCTTCTTTCCAATTCATAAACTAACTCGAATTTAGCATTTAGGGATTTTGATGGATGATTGCTGAAACTTCCTTATTCTTGTAGTTGATTTGCTTTGAAGGTGCTGAGCCACAATGGAAGATTCAGAGAAGAGAAAACAAATGTTAAAAGCAATGCGCATGGAAGCTGCTGCACAGGACGATGGTTCTACAGGGCCTGAAACCTCTATGAACACAAGTCACCTTTCAAATCCGTTGGCTGAGACATCCACTCACCAGCAAGAATCATATGAAACGCCAAGGTTTGATTATTACACCGACCCGATGTCTGCTTATTCTAGCTTCAAGAGAAACAAGACTCCTAAGCAACAACACATCTCATCTCCTAGTTGTCAAATCAGCCCTCCAGTACCGCCGTTTCCACCGTCTGTTCCAGGTGCTTGTTGTTCTCATATTGTCAGCTTGTTTTTGCTGCAATTTAATGATTCTGTCTTGATTATCATTTTCCCTAGTCCACTGATAAGTCTTCATAAATAAGATAGTCTTCATAAATAAGATAGTCTTCATAAATAAGAATCCATAATACCACATTAACTTAAGTAACTGTGTGTTAGCATGTTAGCTGGTCCTTGGTGAGTATACGTATAGGAATTGAACAGATTCAGGAATAGTCTTTGGTAATTGGTATATCTGTGTTTTGGGAATCCTCTTGGTCTTGGCTTTGGGAGAGTTGGGTAATCTCTTCAAAAAATTTACAGGATATTTTTGTTCTTTGTTAGGCTTTAGTCATGTGTTCTTGATTGTAATTGACAATTCAAGATCAGCTAAGGAAATTTTTTGACACTGCACCTATTAGCTTCAGCTAGCTTAGTTTGATATATCCCTTCATGTTTTCACTTTCTATGAATTGACTGTATTATTATCACTTCACCTGCGGAATTCATTTATCTTCTTGTTGTCTGTCTTGTTACGAATTGTAATCCAGTTCTGATCCTTGCACTATAACTATGAACAGGATCGTTGGGCTGTGACTATCAGGCACATGCCAATCATGCCGGTTTTCAAGGACCTCAGTATGAAGGTGATAATCTGCATACGGTACCTAGAGGAATGGCACCCTCACACAGAGGTTCACCCGTCGCTTGGAATAACAACTTTAGGCCTCCACCAGTTAACCATTTAGGCCCACCTCAATGGGTTCCTCGCCCTTTTCCATTCTCTCAAGAAAGTCCTGATATGGGGAATAATAGATTTAATGGTCGAGGCAGCTACAACTATACCGCCCCACAATATCCCAATTACGGACGACAAAATTCTAACTGGGTTGGAAACACATATCCTAGCTCAGGAAGAGGCAGAGGCCGAGGAGGACGCGGTATAAACACAAGCTTTGGGAGAGATGGAGGAAGAAGACCCATGGAACTAGGTGCAGAACGATTTTACTCCAACTCCATGGCTGAAGATCCATGGAAGTATCTTAAGCCAGTCTTATGGAAGAGCTGCTCAGATGGTGCTAGCAGCAACTCAACAGGTCAAGCCAATTCTGTAGCACCAAAGAAACCTATGATCTCAGAAGCTTCCCACACGCCTAGCAAAAATCAACAGAGCCTTGCTGAGTACCTTGCTGCTTCTCTAGATGAGGCTACGTGCGATGAGCCAAGCAATTGATCAGGAAAATTTGTGCTATAATAGAAAACACCAAATCCAAGCATCTGGAGTACCATCGAATAAATATATACATTTTTTTTTGGCTCCCTTCAGATTCGGTTAAAAAATGACTTTGACCATATTAAGATTCGGTTTACTTTTCTGTTCGGTTATTTCGATTTGGTCATGGATCGAGTTGAATACGTTTGGCTATAAAACAGGTGCACATATTAACTGAAGCAATGGGACATGGACATGTAGCGTGGATGTAATAAAGGGTGTTAGTTGTTGGATCTGATGACTCAACTGTCCAAGCAGAGCTCTTCGTCCAACTACAATTATTTGATCAAAATTGTTCACTTGCCTATTATACTATACTGTACAATCGTTAACACCACATTTAATATCCACCGAAGCGTTTGTTCCAACTGTCCAAAACATTACATTACATATGAGAAGGAGATGCTTATAACACATCTCATTTAGGCCTAAACCTACTACTACAGTTCTCTCTCTCTTTCTCTCTCTAGAAATGAAGGCAAGCCCAGTGACAGATGTCAAGGTCTCCTCGGTTGTACCTGCTTCTGTGACAGGCGAGAACAAGCCACGACACCTCACGGCCATGGACTTGGCCATGAAGCTCCACTACGTCCGAGCCGTTTACTTCTTCAAGGGTACACGTGACTTCACCCTCACTGACTTGAAGGACAACATGTTTCCTCTGCTACAGCTCCAATGTTATGGCCACGTGGCGGGTCGGATCCGGATGCCCGACAACGACTCTTCTGCTCCAGCCTTACCTTTCATTCGCTGCAACGACAGTGGCACACGCGTCGTTGAAGCCAAAGTCGATGGGTTCACGGTCGAGGAGTGGCTTGACTTGGAAGACCGTTCCATCGATCACCAGTATCTTGTATACGATCACGTTCTTGGTGATCCTGATCTTATCTTCTCTCCACTCGTTTTCCTCCAGGTACTACATAGTACATAATGGGTCTCTTTTAAGTCTTAAGTTCATATAGTTAATAAATAAATAATCACTATTCTAGTGGTCTCAGGCTAAAACCCAACATAATTTAATTCAAACTTTCTTGTTTTATAGCATTTCTTTAGTAATTAGTTAGTTACTATCAAACATCCATCCAAAATTCTTTCCTAATTTTACCTTTATTATGAACTGAACACATAATAAAGTTGTGGACCTTGAGTTCACATGGCTAGTCAGACTATATTAAATTCAAAAACTCTCAAATCTTCACCATAGCGATTTGTTTCTTACTAGATCACCAAGAACCATTAGATCAGCACTCTGAGCCAGTTAAATGACTTGTCTTAGTTAGGCGTCTAATAAGATTAGCGATTAGGTATGCACAGTACGTCCATAGTAATTATATTATTGGTTGTTCGTTGAAAGTCCTTTTTTTTGGTGCAGATAACACAGTTCAAATGTGGCGGGTTCTCTATTGGGTTGAGTTGGGCCCATGTTTTAGGAGATGTGCTTTCAGCATCAACTTTCATGAAAACAATGGGACAACTATTGTCGAGCTATGGTCCACCCAAACTCGTGTACCCAACAAAGTCGGTACTGACCTCTCATGCTATTGGTCAAGGTCATGATGATAATGATGATGATGAAGCGATTTCCATCAAAAAGATAGAATCAGTTGGGGAGTATTGGTTACCTACCAATAAATGGAATATGAGGAGATTTGTTTTTAACTTTAGCCACGACCAAACTGACCGTTTAATGGCCAAGTACGCAGGGCCAAACCAACCTTTTTCGGAGGTTGATGTTCTGTATGCATTGATGTGGAAGTCGCTACTGAATATCCGTGGCGATAAAGAGACCAATGTTATAACAATTTGTGACCGTAAAATGTCTTCAACATGTTGGAATGATGACTTGGTAATAAGCGTAGTGGAAAGAAAAGACGAGGCCGTCGAAATATCTGAGCTAGCTGCACTGATTGCTGGCAAAAAAATAGAAGAAAATGGTGTGATCAAACGGATGATAGAACAAGATAAAGGGTCTTCAGATTTTATCACTTACGGTGCGAATTTAACGTTTGTGAATCTTGACATGGTAGATATGTGCCACGACTTTGAAATCAAAGGAGCGAAGCCGGATTTCGTAAACTACACGATTCACGGTGTTGGAGACAAAGGAGTTGTTTTGGTTTTCCCCAAGGGAAAGCTTGCTAGGATTGTAAGTGTGGTGATGCTTGAAGAAGACCTTGCAAAGCTCAAGGTTGAGGTTAATAATTTGATTATGTAACTTTGTGTATTTCTTGAATTTCTTGCTTTGTTCTTCTGTGTGGTGCAACTGATTTTCGCTGTTATTTACACTAGGTCAATTTATTTTATTCGCATATTCGATGATTTTCTATGTCCCTTCTTGTATTGTATCAGTGATTACTTTGATTATCCAATTGCTGTAATAAAATGTTGTTTGTCTTTTCATTACGTACTTTCGTCATTACATTTGCTCACGTGACTTCTATAAAAGGCCAAAAAAAAAAAATTGTAAATATATGACAAATTCTGATAAAACATATCCTTATCGTAGTAAATAAATATACTTGGGACTTGGGAATGGACATCTAATCATAATGTCTACATACTCTTGGCGCAATAGGTTCGGCAATACAAAGCTAAACTCTCCCGAATATGAATTTATTTGACAGCATAGTCGTTCGTCCCTTTTTATACTTTGTTTTTTTAAAAACAAAAACAAAAAAAGACAACTTTGACAAACCCTTTATGATTTGACTATAATAAACAAGAAAATGAGGGAGAAGAAAGAAAACAAACAAATAAATAACTAAACGGTACCAAGAAAACTTGAAAAGGCAGAGAATCCTATTTAGTCATCATCAATCACCAGACATCTCTGAGGTATCTTCCTTCAGTTTGAAGTTTCTTTACTACAGCCTCTGCCTCTGACGAACTCACGCCTTCCTGGAAATTTGTAAGATAAAATAGTTGGTATCAAATTTTACAAGGGGATTAAACCAAAGTTAACCAAGCGAAAACCCAAATTCTACCACTTGTTTCACAATGCTCATTCATACCTGCTCCTGAACAATGGTATGTAGCGTCCGGTGGACATCTCTCGCCATGCCCTTAGCATCACCACATACATAGAGATATCCTTCTTCCTTTATTAGATTCCATACTTGTGCTGCCTGAAACACAAAATGAAACGCAAAAGACAGGAGGTTAATCTACAATTCCTTTTCCCAAAGCCTGATTCTGATGCATCCCAGGATACGCTTACCTTCTCTATCATCTTATGTTGAACATACTCTTTTTGTGCTCCCTCACGAGAAAATGCCACGATGAGCTCAGATATTACGCCTTGATCAACAAAATTATTGAGTTCATCCTCGTAAATAAAATCCTGCAAGTCATTCATATAGCGGAAACTTAATTAACATATGATGACACACTGCAGATGAAGAAGGTGCATCGATTGTAATAAGTCTCACCATCCGTCGGTTTCTACACCCAAAGAAGAGCAAGGAAGAGCCTAGGTCTACTCCATCTTCTTTTAGTGCCATCCTTTCCTGCAGAAATCCTCTAAAAGGTGCCAAGCCAGTCCCAGGTCCCACCATAACGATTGGAGTTAAAGGGTTGGTTGGTAACTTGAAATTAGATGCTCGTATAAAGATTGGGGCTCCACTACATTCACGACTTTTCTCCGCAGGAACTGCATTCTGAGGTTCTCAAAACTTTTACCATACAAATATTACACCGAATTGACAGATGGTAAAGACCAAAAAAAGGTAAGAATTACCTTCATCCACGTCGAACACAACCCTTTGTGAATTCTTCCAGTAGGAGTTGGACCGTATACTAGTGCGCATGTAACATGAACTCTGTTTGGCGCCAATCTGTATATATATATAAAAAAAGGTAGTAAAGAGACATTTTGGATGACAGGAGAAGCTCAGGACTAGATTTCCTTCTGCCAACAACTGGTATCTCAAAAGATTATTAAATCACCTCGGCGAGGATGAGATGGAGTAGTAACGAGGTTGTAGACGAGGAGCTATTGCAGCAAAAAACACACCTAGTGGGGGTTTTGCAGATGGAAATGCAGCCATCACCTCTAAAAGACTTCTCTGACTTGCAACAATCCATTGTGAGTATTCATCCTGCAGCAAAAAGAAAAGAAACCGAGGATGTTAACTCATGAAAACTTAGAATCAAGAGAGCAGAAGATACACCAGCGATTCAGAACCTTTCCATCAGGTGATGTCAGGTGTTTAAGTTTCTCCGCTTCGCTTGGTTCAGTGGCATAGGCCGCCAAGGCAACTAACGCAGACTGAAACCAAAAGAACAATTTTTATATTTGGGAACATGCAAAAACCGAAGCCACCAGACAAACCTCTGTGAGGCTAGTCCAAAAAAAAAAAACACAAGTTAGTTAACCTTTCGAGGAGGATTCAAAAGGTCTGCGTATCTTGCCAAACCAGTACCAAGTGTGCATGGACCTGGGAAGGGAGGCGGCAACGTGCTTCCCAATGGTGAGCCATCTTCTTTATCAGCATGTATGGAAAATACTATATCTAGAGAGTGGCCAAGCAATTTCCCAGCTTCTTCAACTATTTCAACATGATTTTCAGCATATACACCTACATGGTCTCCTGTTTCATATCTGCAAAGAAATGCCATTCATTTTTTACATAAACACGGTTTATAAAGGTGAAATTTTTAAAAATCTTTACAGGACGATCTGCTGTTGACGAAAACATCAATATAGACATGTAATATCCCAGAAACCAATCCTGAAGATATTCAATGTGAAGGCCTTTTTATTCTTCCCATGACCTAATATGACTGACTTTAAAAACCTCTAATCCCGAAGAGAAACACAAAGAACTACTAGGTGAAAAAAAATTAAATAAAAGAAACTATTGAATTTATAGCAAAATCCCAGTTCACACAAATAATGATATGGAAACATAGAGTCTATGCAAGTAGAGATAATTGTACAGCCTTGTAACTAATCCAAGGTTGGAGGCAATGTATACATGTTAGAGTTGGATGCTTACGTAATATCAGTCCCGGATATGTCAAACTCGAGATGAATACATGACCGATCAGATTCAGGTGTGTGAAGCTCCCTCTGCACAGCAACATCAACTCTGTTTTGAAAAAAAAAGAAACAAATTTCAGGATGCAGCCGAAACAGTAATAGTCTAGTATTTATTACACGCAACTTCACATACCTGCAGGGATGATGAATGTCAGCAGCATTTCCGTTGGCCACATTTGAGTCAGTTGGTTTCTCAGATGTAACACTAGGATCATGAATCACCAGCCGGTATTCAGGAATAACAGCTGTATAAGGAGTTACGACACTTGTATCATCCTCGTCTCTGAGGAGCTTGTCTAGCTCAGGCCATATCAAATCTTTCCTGCAAACCACCCAAAAATAAAAATGAATAATGAGAGTCTTTCAAAGGAGCAAACAAAAGAAGGGAGAATCAGAACCAAACCAGGCATTAAAATCATCCTCAATGCTCTGATCATCATCTCCTAGACCAACTTCAACAAGACGCTTTGCACCTGCATTGAATATGACGATAACAATTACGTTTTCCCTCATGCACCAAAGAGACTAGGAAATGGACCTCCCCAAGTAACCAGCCAGGAAAAGAGAAAACATGCCGCATCATAACAGCAGGTAAACATCAGACTAATATCTACAACGGTTTCTATCCAATATCTAGCATTATATGTAAACATACTCATGTACCTTTCTTACAGAGCTCTTCATCAAGAACTATCCCTATCTGCTCCAAGAAATTAAATAACTATCAGTTAAGGTCAGAAAAAAATCTAGAAGCAGACATACTTTGTTACCACAATACCTTATTAAAATGCTCATATTGGCGATTACCAAGAGCAAACACACCATACGCCAGTTGTTGAAGCCTTATATCCAATTCATTTCCCTGGAATCATAAAACACAGAGTTTTGAGACGATCTGTAAACAAGCTACACAGAGAGCATATCAATCTGAGGAAAGTAAAACTTGGATTGAATTTGTTGAATTGAGACTACTAACCTCCGTAAACCATTTGTAAAATCTCGCAGCATTGTCAGTAGGTTCTCCATCTCCATAACTGATCAAGTTAAAAAAAAAATGAAACAAACCCTTGAAGGGCATATAGCAAAAGAAATCAGAATCGATTAAAAATGTCTTACGTAGCAACACAAAAGAATGCCAAAGTTTCCTTCTTCAATTTCTCGTGATATTGGTCGTCATCAGCAGCATAGTCATCCTAATAATACCAGCAGAGGAACAATTCAAATCAAGTGCTTGAAACCAGTGTCTCACAGGAAGTGAGTAGAATCATAGTGTAACTAAATCATACCAAGTCAATGACTTTGACTGCGGCTTTTTCATATCTCGCTCTGATTTCTTCTGCTAATGCCTACGGAAAAATCGAAAACGATTCTCATAAAAACCACAAAATCATATAAAAACCACAGCTTTTACTAGCCATAGCCAATCACCGTGAAACGCGTCACAGTACCTTAGCAAACCCCTCGGCAGTTCCAGTCTGCGTACCGAAGAAGATAGAGACTCTGGTCTTCCCGGATATTAAATCAACATCATCGTCCTCGTCCTTAGCCATAAGAGACTTGGGGATCACCAATGGCTTCAGCTCCCGGCTCCGATCCGATGCCGATTTCTTCCATAGCAACACGGCGAACCCAACTGCGAGCGCCAAAGACGTGGTTGCGATCGCAAGGACGACGTCGTCAGACAACGAATCGCCTAGAAAGGTCGTCAGGGTTGACTTGAGCTGCTTAAATAAATCGGAATCATACAAAGTAGAGCTCATCTTCTACTAATTATGAGGCGATTGAATCTTCCCGTCGCTCTCTCTCTGGGAAGGAAAATTCGAGAGAGATCGAAGAAATGACGGTAGAGAAATGAGAGTTACACCGATGGTGGATAGTTGAATCTGAGTGGGCCTTAGTCTCTTTCTTATGACTTTGAATCTTCTCACTTTCTTCCTTCTTCTTCTTATTTACATGTCAAAACTAAAACCGAAAAGGCCCCAAGAAAATGTTTTTTTTCCATAAAGTATAACTTTTTCTAAATTTGTTAAGTGTATATAACATCTTGCATAAGTGGAATCAACAAAAAATGTATTTGATCTGGATGGTTTGGCTTTGGCTTTGGCTTTAGCATCACTTTCTGGAAAAGTTATATTCTCTTTAGAGTTTAGAAGCTGTGGTAGCATCACAAATCCTCTAAACTGGTGGGATGACTGAGAATTCAGTGATAAAGACAAATCGCCAAAGGGCATATATATGTGACATAAGAACCTCAAACTTTAAATTTACTGAATCGAGTATGACAAGGAAAACAAAGAATCAGTAATTATTGGGGACAATCAGGGGGAAAGTTTTAACTTTTAAGCTACTTTACACATGCAATCAGGAGCTGGATAAGTGTAAATTGACTGCTTCTGCTTGCGTAGACGAAGCTGGCCTTGCCTATTCTTGTGTCCATTCAAAACTCTTCCTTCAAACTCAGACCACTCTAAGCTCTTGTTCACTAAAACCTGTCCTAACAGTATCATGTTGGGGTTTATGGTCTTCAGATTCAAGTATGCTCTATGGGCAAGCAACGCGTTGTGCATATTCCCGGGAGATGCAGAGATGAAGATATCACTCTTCATACTCACGTAATAATCGACTGCAGCCATTAGAGAAGCTCTCCCTTCTACGCCAGCCAGTTCCTCCGCAGAGGCTAGGCTTTTCTTGTTTTCCATTACAGGGAACAGTTTACGCAGTGTCGAGATTCTTGCTTCTCCTCCATAGACCTGGTGTGAAGCTAGATATATGCGGGTGTTGTTACTGAAACCCAAAGCTGAAAGCAGCAAACCAATCTCTTCCGGTGTCAACGGGCAACGCCCTTTGTTTCTTAGCTCTTCATCTGTGAACTGTGAGTTTAAGACCCTTCCTTGCCAAATCACCTCGCGGTATTTTGCCAGCGCCAGTTTTTCTGCTTTACCACCTCCAAAGTCACAGCCTGAGTGAGCAGCCATATCCTGGGAAAAGTTCAAGTTTTACATCAGAACCAAGAAATCACGGCCAAGAAAATGGGCACGTTCTGAGGATCAAGATCACACTTTATCGAAACGAAGATGCAGCACGGCGAACTTTCCAGCTCCAGCTTTTACAATGGTGTTTATTCTGTCTGTTGGATCCATAGTTCCTGATGTTTGAGAGCTGGAAGGAGGATTTCTGAGTCGATGCACAAGAGCGTCACCTAGCTCCCGAATATGAGGAACAAAGTTTAACGCTTCGAAATTCACTTTACAGCGTAACCGTTGTATACTTTCAGGCAAATTGTCAAATGCCAAACGGTGAGAGAATGGGGCAACAGCAGCGATGCCATAACTGCAGAAAAGAGTGGATGATTCATATTGATAACAATGCACTTAACTACAGCAAAATCTAGTTCCTCAGATAGCAAAAACAAAACGGTGGTCAAACATCATATGTAGTAGTATCATATTTTCCAAATTTAACAATGCTTTCTTCATCAGAAAAGATTACTTGTTTAAGAAAGCCACAAACCTTTGAATAACAGGCAAGACATTCTCCACATACCACTCTGCAGAAGCATGAACAGGCGCAGTCTTAATCCTAGTAGCTCGAATACCTGTAGCGTAATAATCACGGGTGCTCCAGGAGTACTGTGTTGGCAGCTCTCTAACAATCCGCACCTCGTCTTTAAGGAAAGCTATAAAGTGATCCACATCAAATATATCTGCGAACGAACTGCAAAGAAAGGCCACAAGCATGAATCATCAAATCCATCGTTAAGTTTCATAGAAGATTTTACAAATAGAGTAGTACCTTGAATCTTGCCAAACAGGATTGACTTCAAGGCGTGGAATCACAAGTGTCACATTCAATATCTTGGCAACAGCAACCGCATCACATATCTTCAGAAGCAACAGAAAACCAAATTGAATGATTCAGACACCATAAAACTCTATTAAACATTGACTGAGACTAGAAATAATCTCTCTGCGTCATAACAAACCAGATCCTACTCACCCCCATTCTTTGTTGGTTTAGTCCGCCGTCAAGGAATACCTGAAGAAACCCCTGAGACTTTTCCGGCAAGGCTGTAAAAGAGTGACAAAACCGTCAATCCCAAATTGTCACTATGCCAAAACGCAATAATCTAGCTCAGGGGACGTGAATGTAAACGATGACAGAAGATGAACAAGAAAGTTGTTTCTTTAGGAAACTTACGAGACACTCTATAAGATTCAGTGCAAGGCTTCCAACCTTGATCTGCCAAGGGAGACCATAACTCCACTTGTTGTCTGATGGACTACACATTTGGTTCAAGGAAGAAGCAAAAAGGTTGAGAGGAACAAACATACAAACATCTATTATCCAATAAACTGAGCAAACCCACTTACGATTTGTCGATCAAGAGCGCCATGGAGTAGGCGCAAATGTCTAGGCCTTGGGGCATTCCATTCCTGCAAAATGCCACACTTATTCTTCAGCTTCACATCTCAGTATATGAAATCGAAGACACGTAAGATTGATTCGGATATAGAGAGAAGAGCGAGAGAGAGATATGACTGACGGAGAAGAGAGAAGGAAAGGTGCGACCAAGAGGGCTGAAGAGATTCGGGGAGAAAATCGGAAGAAGGAGCACGAAAACCCCAGCGAGGGCTGTCCTCTGCGATTGATTAAGGTTCTGCAATGGCTGAAATTGCTTCATTTTGGAGCATTGATTTAACAACAGAGTCGAACGATGACGACGATTAAGTCGATCCAACAGAACATATTTGTTTGATCCGAAAGTTGAGGAAATCCAATTTTGTCGAAATCTGATGGGGAACGACACGAGAAAGAAATTAAAAAAAAAAAAAAATAACGAAGAGAGATCCAAACTTTAGGACACGAAGCCACAGGTGATATACTTCCGGGAGGAGGATAGACGCAAGTATTCGATCTCTGAGTCTGTTGAGCAGACGCAAGTATTACGAGAAAACCTCAGTAGCTTAAGTGCTTTAAAAAAATGCGCAAAAAAAACGAATGATAAAACCTTTTAAAACGAATGATAAATAAAACCTCTGGGTCCTCGTTACCCACCCAAAAAAAATTCATTAAAAGTAAGAAATTTCTGCAAAATATAATTATAAAACATTTGTCGTGAAAGTAAAAGAGAATACCAAACTTATTAAAACATTGCCAAAAGAAATAGCATCAACAGTGTTAATAGTGATTTTTTTACGAATCACATTTTTAATGGTGTTCCAAACGAATATGATGAAAAACAATTCCAAACATAAAACAAAAAAAAAATTTGTAACGAATCTTAAATAGGCTGAATATAATCTAAAATCTTTTTTGGCCGGAAGATAATCTATTTGGGGTTAACATAATCTATTTAGGTTTAAATAACATTAGGGCAAGAGAATGAAATGAAAAATATGAAGAGATACTGTCGAGAAAGTGAGCATGCAACGAGAGAAGAGGATGTATCATCTTTTATGTCACCTTTACTCCGAATGGGCTGTGGCGAGAATGGTTGAGTTTTCTATTCAATAACACAGAATTGATCTTTTACCAAAAAAAACTAAGGGCTTGAGAAGTAATATTTTGAGTTAATGGAGATATATCATAGATAAAAGACATGCAAAAGGATGATATATATTTACCTCTGGTTTCATTCTTTATAGACTAAAGATAAAAAAAATATATATATTCCTCTAACATACTTAAAATTAAGTAACATGCAAAACTTATACATAAAAACATGAAAAAACTTGCATTTATTATTCGCTGAAATCATAGAGAAAAACTAAAATTTTCAAAATTAAGGCTAGACAATATTTTTTCTAATCGTAAATATAACACCGAGAAGATACTTGTTTTTTTTTATCTATGAATCAAACTACTCCTTGAAACTTCTTTCCACATGTTGGATTCCAGACAAAAGGCGGCGATTAATTTGAAGTTGGCAATTTCAGGTATTTCAACAGGTGAATATCAAATAATATTTTTTTGAACTTAAGCCTAATTTAGTGGTTTTTTTAAACCTTACAAAAAGGGGAAAGATTCATTTTATGTTTGTTATAGTATTAGAACTACACAAAAATTAAGGCTATTTTCACATTGTAAGATCTATGACTCAATCCAAAAACAACGAAAATTTGAAAATTTTAGCGCGTTTACACGAAGTGTTCATAATAAATCAAGATCTATTTTATATTTAGGGAGGCTTAATTATTTTATGTTTCACAAATTAGTGTTGATGCTGTGAATCATGTTTATTTATGAATGATTGCATAGACATTTTATCTGTTGAACCAAAAAAAAAGGAAGATATTTTATCTATCTACTACTTGGTAGTGGCCATCTGATCATCATGTATATATGTTCTTGGCGCAATAGGTTCGGGAAATATAAAGCATGATGCTAAACTCTTCTCGAATATTAATTTATTTGATAGCATACTCGTTTCTAGGGCTGGAATTATTATCCGGTATCCGTTATCCGATCTGGTATCCGGTCCTATCCGATCCGTAAAAACCGGATATTCGTGTAGTTCGGATCTGGATCCGGATAGTGAAATTAAGTATTCGGTTATTTCGGATACGGATACGGATAATAGAAAATTTTTAAATCGGATATCCGTTATCCGTTTATTAAGATTTTGAAAATTTTGAAATCTTTGGATATGCATTTAATTTTTTGTTTTAATTATGTTCGAAAATTGTTTTTGGTTTAACTCTTTTACACATGATTGAAATTTATATTGCATGATAATTTTCTATTTCAAATTGTAAGAGAAGAACATGAATATAGATAACACAAGGATATACAGATAAATTAACTTCTCTATTACTATTTTCTCTTTTGTTATGTAAACTTTTAAACTTTGTGTTATTTGAATGCTACTTGAATGCTTTTAAATTTTTGGTATTTGTAATTTTTGCTATGATGATACATTTTAATTATATATGTTATGTCATTATAATTTTAAAAATTGAAGATTTTTTTTTAAACAACGAAACCGGATATCCGGTCGGATATCCGTAAATATTCGGTTCAAACCGGATATTCGGTCCCCGGATATCCGGAGTTTTCGGATCCGGATCCGGATAATAAAATTGATTATCCGTCAAATCCGGAGCCGGATCCGGATATTTTGAAAAGTCCGAATATCCAGCTCCGTTCCAGCCCTATCGTTTCATGCCTTTTTAGACTTTGTTTTTAATAAAAAAAATGACTCTGACAAACCTTTCATGATTTGACTATAATAAGTTTTGACCCCAAAAAAGAAAATGACTATAATAAGCAAGAAAATGAAGGAAAAGAAGGAAAATAAACAAATAAATATCTAAGCGGTACCAAGAAAACTTGAAATCCCAATTCGTCATCATCAATTACCAAACATCTCTGAGGTATTTCTCCTTCAGTTACGTTTCTTTACTACAGCCTCTGACTCTGACGAACTCACGCCTTCCTGAAAATTTGAAAGAAAAAATAGTTGGTATCAAATTTTCCAAGGGATTAAACCAAAGTTGTTTCACAATGCCCATTCATACCTGCTCCTGAACAATGGTATGTAGCGTCCGGTGGACATCTCTCGCCATGCCCTTTATGAGATTCCAAACTTGTGCTGCCTCAAACACAAAATGAAACGCAACAGACAGGAGGTTAATCTACAATCTGAATTTTGAAGTTTTTCAATAGATTTATCTCGATCTCGCTCAGTCCCTCATACTCTCTAAGAGGAAAATGAGAAGAAAATATACTTTGAGTTGCCGATATTGGTCACAAGTGTTGGCAGGTTGTAGCAACAACATATAAGTGTTTTTTTATCCAGCTTCGAAAATCACTTTTTTTTTTTTGACATCCTTTGAAAATGACTTGTGTTTGATACATGACTACACAAACTATAACGGTACAATACAAAGTAGAGAAGACGTCACTCCTTTGTAAAAGTTTATTCCTACGAGTAAATGGTTATCATGGAGTGCATGTAAAACATAGAACAACGGCAAAATTGAAAGGAAAAAACAAATCTCTGTTTGACATTCTGAACTAATTAAGCAACATAAATGGGTGGTTAAAAAAAAGATAAAAGAATGCATACAAGCCCATTGATTTTTCTCTGGGTACAGAATATCTAGTTAAAAAAAACAAGAACACAACGTCAGAAACTTGCTTTAAGTCTCCACAATGCAATGAGAATTTATTCTTCCCATCTCAATTTCTTTCAACACTTAGCTTTATTCAAAGGAAAGAACGTGAAAAGGAGGACTTGGAATTTCTTTCATCCCATCCAAGTCAACTCTGCTGTATCTCTCATTCCCAATATGGAAGCCTAACCCAGAAAAAAAAAACACCGAAATTAGTAACATACATATACACACTAAAAATGTCAGTAATTAACTTTGAAATATCTTCACTAAAAACAATTATACCCAAGCTTCAGGGAAGTGTCGGAGAAGTCATCCTCAAGAGGAGCTTCACTGTCGTAGCTTGACATGTTTGTGGTCGCCGATTCAGTCTCCATAGCCTCCTTAAACGCCATCATTTTAGCCCTTTCCAACGTCACTAGCTGCCCGATATATGCGTTCCCTCATTTTAATTAATTACTTAAAAATAATGATTTTAAGTACTTTATCACTATTCTATATATAGAATGATTTCTATAAAGGGTAAAGAGCCATACTTTCTCCCTCAGTCTCCTATTTTCATCCACCAACTCCGATCCCTGCGTGTCATTACCTCACTAATTACTATGCATAATCACACACATATATATATATAGCCTTAATAATTATGTCATCCATAATACAAAACTGTACGTACTAAGTACTAACCCGTTTCTCAAGTGAAGAAATCTGGCTCATCACACACTCGCCCTAGTTAAAAACAACAACAATGACACATTTTTATTATATAGCTTATTAATATATATCACGTTAAGAAAATATGCATAGTAGTAGTCTATGTATAGTAATAAACCTTCTTTTCAGACACACGGCTAAGTCCGGATTCAAGCAATTTCTCCAACCGCTGTAACTCTTCTAAGTTCAATCCTTCAAGATCCTCCCCTCTCAATTTTCTGTTTTACGTTAGAATTAATACAGCATATATAATAATCACTTATGTATTTATATTTTTCAATTTCATAACATTTAAACCCACATCACAGACATACACTGATACACGTACGTATATACATATACACATACGCATACACTAATAATAATGTTGATGTATATTAAGACAAAAATTCTCACAACGGATAGGAAGAAAACAAACTAATGTCTTAAATTATCTAAGAACGCCCAAACTATATTAAGGTAGCTTTAGTGATGATTTCTACCCAAAGACCTTCGTAGAATCGTATTGGACTCATTCCAATCAGATTAGGCTCATAAAATATTATTCACCTATACTGGATGTTGATATCTAAATTTATTTTAATAAAAATGAGAATAATGATCACACATATATGAAAACTACTAAACTCTTGTAAGACTTCAGAAATAATTCTCAAAATCTATTAAAAACATCGAAGAACCTACACATGATATTATTAAATAAGTTCAATCTTTCATATTTTAATAGATTTTAACACACATAATTAATACCATCCACACATATATTTCAAAACATAAAACCCTCAAATGGAAATAATTATGTCTATATCCCTTATCAGCATAACATATGAATGGAGCCATACCGTAGCTGCTTGGTTTTGTCTTCGATATCCTTACTTAGTCGGGAAAGGTTACAATTCTCAGGCTGCCAGATGCAAAGTCAACATATTCAGGGTACTGTTTTTAATATGTAGAAACAAGTAATTAGATGCTTCAAGATTAATGATGCTAATTATGCTATGTCGCCACTTTCTGTTTCTGTATTTGGACTTGCACCAAACAATTTGAACAGACTCGTATAACAAATGAATATTGGAGGAGACTATTCTAGAGAGAATGGTACTTTGATTAAACAAAAAACAAATAGAAGAGAGTGAGTGACAGTGAAAATACCTGGTGATTGAGAGAAGGTTGGTCCATCAATTTGTCGATGTTACTTGCATGAAGATTATACCTTCCCAATATGTCTCTCATTCTACACGTTTCAACAAACAATTCATCTTTCATATGAAGTTATGAACCTTTCCTTCGTCCGTATACGCAGTTTGTAAAATCCCAATTAATTAACTAAAGAATACACTAGAAGCCTTTCTTTAGTTACAATAAAGAAAACGTAAAATAAAAGTAAATATAAAGTCGAAATACGTGCAGAGGAGTAGATGACTGCATTCCCAATTATGGTTATGTTTCCCACAATAAAATAAACGAGTGGTTAAGACTTAATCCCCAATCATACCAAGTGACAGTGTCAAAGACTTTTGTAATTCATAAAATAAAATATAAATATAAACAAATAAAAAGAAGTTCATTCTAATAGTGGTAAGTACTATGTATACAAATAAGCACAAACACAATATATTATTTCGATTTCTAAGAGTTTAACCATGAGAGTCCAAATGAAAATGATTAATGTAAACGTAAATAACCCATGATGTGTAAGGCAAAAGTCAACATAATTCTTACATGTATTAAGCGCTACTACCTAGTTAGGAAAAGAAAGGGATGAGAGCAAGTGCATTTAGGTCGTCAGAACCTTTTTATTTTATTTTTTCCTACTTTGATATAGGAGTCTCATCTAATTATGCCATGACACTGAGTTGATTTCGTACATTATATCTCCGAGCCCAAGATTTATTAATTTTAGAAAGTAAATTAAAAACAAAAACAAAAACTCATTTAATTACACAAAAACTCATTTAGTTAAATATCTTAACATCTCCCCCACCCATCTTCTCCTATAGCACAAACACAGATTGAACAATTAAAAATAAAGGATAGAAGATTAATAATATGAAAAGCAAGTAGAGAGATACCTTGAGCTAGAGAACTCGAAGAGCTTTCCGGTGGCAGAGAAGATGATGAGAGCAACATCGGCATCGCAAAGAATAGAAAGTTCATCGGCTTTCTTGAAGATTCCCCTTCTTCTCTTGGAGAATGTAACTTGTCTCGCCGTTATGTTATCTATCTTCTTTATCCGTATTTTCTCTCTCGCCATTTTACCGGATCTCCTTCACTACTGATCTTGAATAGTGCCTACCCCTAACAACATTTAGACGAAGAAATAAAGAAGAAAAGGAAGTGGAGAGATGGTTAGCTAAAAAGAGAAGAAATAAAGAAGAAAAGGAAGTGGAGAGATGGTTAGCTAAAAAGAGGGTTTACACAATATTTTCAGGAAACCCTAGATGTGTAGAGAGAGAAGAGAGAAGATAGATAGTTAGAGAGAGAGATCAGATCCAGAAACCCAAAGAAGCAAAATAGAATCCATATATCAAACTCTCTGGTTAAGAAGAAAGAAACAGATTCAAAGCTTTTACCTTTCTTTGAGTGGGAGGATCTTGGATTAGGTTTTGCAATCTTAACACCCACTTTATTAATTTATGAGAAGATAAAAAAGGGTTTTCTTGGTGTGCCTTTTGTTTTCCTATATGAGTGTAAGAGAAAGAGAGAGAGAGAGAAGAGAGAGGGAGATGGTGACTGTGTTTAAGTGTTCAAGATTGGAAAGACGAGTCTGCTTTTTTTAGCTAAACAGTGATCACTTACTAATGGACCATACGTTTTGCTTTCCATCAGTTTCCCAAACTAATAAGCATTAAAATATAGTATAATACACATAAACGCACTTTGTGTCTTGTCTGACTGAGCTGGCAGGCGAGAGAAACTACTACAGTTTATATTCCAGTTGTGATTTTAATAACGACCTAAATTTAATTGGTTTGGCTTCTATTGTGTTTCTAACTCAACTGAATGGCCTTTTGTTGTGTTTCTCAACTAATGGTCTCCTTCTCTTATTTAATGGCTCGTACTAGTTGTTTTCACTGAATGAGTGTATATTTAGTCATGGATTAATCTGGAATGTTAACTTAGCAGTAGCAAGTTTTAGTCTAGTTTAGATTTCCGATCTAAAAGAACAAAATAAATATAAAATGGCGTGAATTTATAAGTTGTGGTAACTATATAAATTATAGGCAAGGATAAATAAAATGATGGCAACTACAATACTCAAGGAACTGCCCATTTCAATTGCAAGGTAGTTCTTTTTGTTACTATTCTTGTAATTCGTTGTTATTAGTAGATATTTTATGTCTACCTTTTTCGTTTTGATTTTCTTTTTTCACATTAATACCGTAAATGGTGTATATTAAATATTTCATCCATTTTTTTCCAATCGTTCACCTACACTAGACGCGACACCTGATAAGATCTCTCTGGTATCCTACTATCATTATCTTTTTTTTTTTACGTAAGCTATTTATTATACTCCTAATAAGTTTAAAATTTTAACCCTAACTAAAAGTTCATCTCCGGTTACTTTGGAGCTATATATTAATCGCGGACAAGTAGTCCTGTATTTTACCCTAAAACGCTTTTGAAAAATTAAATTAATTTTTTTTGAAGATTTGTGGGCTTCCTTTAATATGATACTTTTTCCTAAATTTGAAAGATTTATGAAGAGTTTACTGAGCAGGACTTTGAAATATTATTTTTCAAAATTGAGCTATAACGAAAAATATATATGTGCTTTTTAAAAGTTTGGAATAAAAATAGAGAATTTGGGCCTTGTTGTGTTAATAAATATGGGCCCATTGAAGAACATGAACCGAAAACACAAAACTTCCGACTGGAGAAGAGACTTACTACAAGGACGGCAAATGGTAAAAACGTGAACCACCACCACCACCACCACCAGATACACAGACACGAGACCGATCGGCGATCAGTAGACTCAACCAATTGAACACTCGGAATCGAGCGATAAGGAAGCAATGATGATCTCCCAGTTCTTCGTCTTATCTCAACGAGGAGATAACATCGTCTTCCGTGACTGTATGCTCCCTTTCTCCTTCCCTCTCTCTCTCTTTGTCTCTCCCCGATCTGATTCTCTCTGCCTCTTCCTAGTTTGATCTGTTTCTGCAGAATTGAGACTTATTGTCACTGTTTCATTTGATTTTTTCCCTTGAAGTTGCTCCAAGCTCATTGATCTGTTTGATCTACCTGCAAATTTCCAAATCAGATTGTACGATACAATAGAATTATCCAAATAGTTGGTGAAGCTGGAATTTTTGGCATCCTTCCGATCACTAAATTCTAGAATTCTTCTGTAAACATTAGCATTCTTGGAATTTTCGTGTTTCGTTTTGCCGGAGAAAACCCATTAGATTCTCTACCTTGTTTTGTTTGAGCACATGCGATTTGTTTTGGATTCCACTTGAAATTTGAAGGTGTGTAACGTTTTATTGCTACAGACCGAGCTGAGGTACCGAAAGGCAGTACAGAGACATTCTTCCGTAAAGTCAAGTTCTGGAAGGAAGATGGAAATGCAGAGGCACCACCTATCTTTGTAGGTATCATCGTATTGATAATAGTAATCAATGAGGTCAAATGTGACCAACCATAATGTTTTTAATGAAAATGATGGACTCAGTTAAAATTTTCTCTACCGGTCCCTTGCTATGTCCTGATAATGAAAGTATTCGTGTTGAGCATTCGTTCTGTTTGGTTCTGAGCTCTAATGGTTTTCATCTAACTCTGTTTTTTTTGTGCTTGTAGAATGTCGATGGCGTGAACTACTTCCATGTCAAGGTTGTTGGTCTATATTTTGTTGCGACAAGTAGAGTTAACGTGTCACCGTCTCTTGTTTTGGAGCTTCTGCAAAGGATCGCTCGTGTAATTAAGGACTATCTCGGTGTTCTGAATGAAGATTCATTCAGGAAAAACTTTGTGCTCGTGTATGAGTTGCTCGATGAAGTAATTGTAAGTCTCACTATTATTAGCAAGTATATTTCTGTATAGTAGCATTTATTTGTTTTTATTTTTGTGCCAATCTTGATTTTTACTATGCTCTTTTGATTAGGATTTTGGTTACGTGCAAACTACATCTACCGAGGTTTTAAAATCGTATGTGTTCAACGAGCCAATTGTGATTGCTCCTGCACGCCTTCAACCTATTGATCCTGCTGCCATCTTCACAGTAAGATTAATTTTCTTTTTCCTCCTTCTGGTTTATGTGACTCACCCCTAAAATTAATGTTATGCAGCAAGGAGCCAAAAGAATGCCTGGAACAGCAGTTACAAAATCGGTTGTAGCTAATGAGCCTGGGGGTCGAAGAAGGGAGGAAATTTTTGTTGACATCATCGAGAAAATCAGTGTTACTTTTAGTTCAAGCGTGAGTAATTACTTTTTTCTAGTTTATTGTTTTATCACAAGTTCGGAAGTCCTGGCAGGCTCTCTTCACCTTGTCACATCAAACGATCCATTTTTGCAGATCAACGTTTTGTATTATGTCCTAGTATATATGTAGTTGTGTTTTGATATTAGTTTTATTCCTGGGAATTTTCGTTAATTTTTTCTGATTTCTGAACAGGGATATATACTGACCTCTGAGATTGATGGCACCATTCAAATGAAGAGCTATCTTTCTGGTAATCCAGAAATTCGTTTAGCCCTTAATGAAGACCTAAACATAGGAAGAGGAGGAAGATCAGTATATGGTATTGCTTGTTTCACCCCTTTAAATCAACATTATTTTTTAGGGACAGAATCTAGGTCCTATTCTGTATATTGTTTAACTCTTTGAGATCTCGGTGTCTATTTCTGTGACTTTTGGGCATTGAGAATGTTTATAATGTAAACCGCATGATTCCACTGCCTCCTTCATAACCGATTCTTTAATATATAGCTACTACTGTAGCATTCTTCTGCCTCTTTGAGGCACATCATTATCAACTATATACACAGAAAGCGGGTTTGATCTACTATTACGATCTAATACCTGGTAACATCACAATTTAAATATAACTTCACTCTTTTGCTGCAGATTATAGGAGTTCTTCAGGTTCAGGGGTGATACTGGATGATTGCAACTTTCATGAGTCTGTTCGTCTTGATAGCTTTGATTCAGATAGAACTTTGTCCCTGGTGAGCTTAAAAAAATTAGCAGAAAAAACATCTTGTCGTAAAATGTTTTGCTCTTTAACTTGCGTCCTCTTTTCAGGTCCCACCAGATGGTGAATTTCCTGTAATGAATTACCGTATGACCCAGGAATTCAAGCCTCCTTTTCATGTTAATACCTTGATTGAAGAGGCCGGACGCCTTAAGGTGCAATTTTATATATACACGTCTTCTGAGCCAGATGGAAATCTATCTAAACTTCGTAATTGCCCTATAAATGTTGAATCGAGTGCTTAATTTACGTATCTCTGCTTGCTGAAATGTAGGCTGAAGTGATTATTAAAATACGTGCTGAATTTCCCTCAGACATAATTGCAAACACGATTACTGTTCAGATGCCATTGCCAAATTATACTTCCAGGTACATAACTTTTTGGTTGGTACGTAAAAGTGGATTGCTAAGATACATACAGAAACCGTTAAAAGACATTTTCATAAATGCCAGCCATGGTAAAAAGGAATCACACAAGAGATAGATTCAACGGATTATGTTTGCTGTGACAGGGCTAGTTTTGAGTTAGAACCTGGTGCAGCTGGACAGAAGACAGATTTCAAGGAAACCAGCAAAATGCTTGCATGGAGTTTAAAAAAGGCAAGTGTTAAGTCTCTCACATGGTTTGCTAGTTTACGTATATTGAACTATAGTGTTGTGCTTCCATGAGCTAACTATGGTGCGTGTTCCAGATTGTTGGCGGGGCTGAACATACACTGCGTGCAAAACTGACATTTTCACAGGAATTTCATGGTGATCCCTCTAAGACAAGTTTCTCTGATTTGTTCTCTCAAGAGAGAAAAAGAAAAGCATTACTGATAATATTCTCAACATTGTTTTAGGTAACATCACAAAGGAAGCAGGGCCGGTTAGCATGACCTTCACGATACCGATGTACAATGTATCTAAACTACAGGTAAGTAAAATGCCAATGGTGTCCTTCTTGCGTTACCATTAACTGTCCTCTTCACTCATCTGAAATGAATTGTGTGATGCAGGTCAAATACTTGCAAATAGCAAAGAAATCAAGTAGTTACAATCCATATCGTTGGGTGAGATATGTGACCCAGGCCAATTCATATGTGGCTCGGATATAACCTTCTGTCAGATAATATTTGTCACTTGTATGTCCAAGTACTTTTATCTTTTCTTCTCGATAATGTTTGTTCATTTTCGAATCATACTTGCTTTAAGTTCAAAGAGGATACTTCGCCAGTACGCGTTGAAGGTTGTCTTTTCTATTTGGAATTTCTTTATAGAATTTCTTGGTTTGGTCTTATTATATGCTTTATTTTGTTTCTCCCCTGCAAACAACATATGATCTCTTTTCATGGAATCTGCAGAACTGAAATCATCGGAATTGTTCCGAGTCTGAATATAAGATACTAAGTTAAGCAAATTGCAAAGAAACAAAGGTTGAGGCACCTTCCATTGTGTGCACGATTAGATTAGCTTTATTATAAAATCAAAGGAACTTATCAACAAAAGTAAATTCCGTTCCATTACGGGTGATACATTTTCATGGGCAAAATCTCTCTTCCCCACTGTACACTACTATATATACCACTTGTCAATAACCACTTTCACCAAGCCTAAAAGGTTTGTTAATAAAACCACCCCCCTCTACGTGTAAATCTACTTTCTTCTACTACTTTGACTTAATTGGGCCATTGGACAAAAAAACCATCTTTTCCCTTACCTTTCTCCTCCCAAGGGCAAGTGATGTCTCGAGGCTCCGTGAGTTTCTGGAGAAGAACGACCTAGTGGCGAATGCCTTGTGAAGAGAGGAGAAGACGAGGAAGAAGATGATGTTGGAGAGGGTGCCTCGGAATGTCCATGAGCCCGTCCTTGATGATCTCCAAAAATGAAATCAGCAAAGTCGTCCATGCTTGTACTGTCTGTGCTACAAGAGCATTCATCTGAGTTGCTGTCAAAGAGAGAAGAACTGTCACTCGCCGAGTCATCTTCTAAAATCCTCTGCAGTCTCTGGAAACTGGAATAAAACGACTGTATATTGCCAGATCGACCACCACCGGGTGTGTTGGAAGACAACACAGGACTTGCAGTAGACACAGACCGTGATACAGTAGTCCTAGGTACCGGCACACTGCTTTTTTTATTGGATGCTTCTATTTTATTACACACTACTAATCTTGGAGGCATCGGAGAGCATCTGTAGTCAATTCATTCGAAATATAACATAAGCAACCAGATCGAGCATAATTCACAATCTTAAACAGTGTGGAATATGCATTATAATATCATTTACCTTGAATAGAACAACATATACGCTCCCTTTGTCAAGACCCGTTCAACATCATAAGTTACTACCTGAAAAACATCAATGCACAATAAAGAATTAGGCATTGCATTTCTTTTTTTGAAATGTATGATCAGCAAATGAGTTAGAAGCCAACGCTTTACTATCACAAAACCAATCCTAAGAATTTTCAGACTACAATGAAAAATGCTCTACTAAACCTAATGTAAACAGCTAAAATATCCTATTTAGAATCAAAATTCATCTTTGAACAGGAAAGGAAAACTTATATAGTGAATACTCTATTCAAAAATTAGAATTTCATCATTCAAAAGGAAGAAACAGAACATTGTAAACCTAGAATGTTGTCAGAGAGGTAGGAAACTGGCAGTGACGTCCAAAGTACAACAAATAACAAACTCAAAAGAAATGACAAATAGAGCTTTGTATTGATAATATACGAGCAACCTACCGTGCTATCATCAGCCTTGTACCACTTGTTTAGACTGTTTCTGATATAGCAAACATAGTGACCAGAAAACGCCGCATTCATTATATCCAAGTGAACAATAACTCCATAGAGTTTGTAGTCGTGTGATTTTTCACTTCCTCCGCTGACATACGGAGCCAAATCTAGAGTTTCTGGAAACCTGACCAACTTATTGAGTTTCCCGAATTTCCCTGACTGCAAGAATTAAGTGTCGTGCAATTGTGAGGAAACAAGAAACCACAGATGGAACTCAACAGAAACGAACCGGGACTCCATTATATATTTAAGTTACCTGGAATCGTTTTAGTGCAATTGTAAGGACATTCGGAGGGTCTGTAATTTTCAGTTTCTTTTTGGCTCTCTCATAAGATTTACACCTGCTCACACAAAGAAAAAGTTAGCACCCATCAACCATTTCTTTACTGCCAGAATCGAATGTGATTTTATAACAGTTTACAGTTGACTGGTTAGAACTAAGCAAATAAAAGACCATGATATTATTCCAAATCATTCTGTCTAAGGCCTCGGGAAACTCTATTTCAGCTGGCCGTGGAGTCTAGGTATTGTAATTGAATTACATGAAAGGGATAAATCATTTGGTATCCTACCGACCTCAGAACCATATTTCAAACTACAAGAAGAGAATTGGAAATATCCAATTACTACAAGAAGTTCAACACATGGGTAGGAAATGCTGACCAACCTGCCACATTTGTATTTGTTTTCTCCATCCAATATCTCAGTCCTTGTAAATCGACGCAAAGCATCCTCTAAGGTGCTAATATCCCCATCAATCTCAACTGTTAGATCCATCATTTTCTCACGCCGCTCAGATGTTTCTTGACATTTCATGCATTTAATCTGGTGACATCATAATTATTTCAAAAGCAATGTAAACGACCAGCATTACTACTCCCTCCAAAACAATGTATAATGAGTCAAATAGAAATGTAGTACCTTTGATCGGAGGTATCCCCCAAATGTCAAACCAATTAGAGTTGTATCTTCGAGTTTCCTAGTCTTTTGCATATCATATTCAGATGCCTTAATGCACACAGACTGCATTATGTCGACAACAAACCTGCAAAAAGGCAAGAAAAACATGGAAAGGAAAATGAAATCAAAAGAAGATTCTTCCAGTTGTAATATAAATATGTGCATCAAAATTCATTCGATTGCAGAAATGTCAGTTCACCTGAGAAATTCATGTGCATCTTCTTGCTTGCCATTCCCAAGATAGATTCCATTATTCTGCAGCTGTGATAGCAACCCATTAGGGGACAGTGGAGACTTCCCTTCTTTTGCCAGTAAGACCAGGTTCTCAAACCCACAGGTGAAGCACTGTTCTTTGTTTGGACCTAATAGTTAAACGACCTGTTAAGAGCTTGATATAACAATGATAACAAAGCATGGCCTTCCAAATTAAGCAGCATATATCACATAAAAAAGAAAAAAAAAACACAGGACCATAGACGCACATGCTCTAGAATGGAATTGCTGAAGGAAGTAGGAGGTCAGAGGAGGAGTGAGCATCAGGCATTGGAAGACAACATTAGCAAAGCAGCTGCAAGACACATTATTTTCTTACATCAGCGAGTGTAAGCTACAAATTATTAGTTTTGTTAACAGCACAAACTGAAGATTGTAACAGCCCCAATAGAACATGCACTTCTTCAGAAAGCATAATTTCCAAGGATAGAAAAGACTGGAATTACCTATTACCACAGTTGATGAGGCCACAAGGCTGGAACTCAATTTTATTCGTATACAGCTTAGCAAATAATTCATATGGAAAGAGCCCCTGCATAAACAGATTGATAAGAAAAATTGTATGCAGACAGTAAATGTTGTAGAATGATGATAGCATCCTAGAATTCAGTGATTACCTTATGACCATGTCTTCCTGCCATCTCATTCTCAGCCGATGACTTCGGTCTAGTCCACTGGTCTACAACTTTTAGCACTGATGCCTTCAAACCATTTCTTCCATGTAGAGAATTTATATGGTGAACGGCAACACCATTCTGTTTCTGATGGTCAAGAACTCTTCCAGATTTTGCACCTAGAGGAGAATGTTTCTCAACATCAGCACACTCACTAGTATTTGGGGCCTTAGATGCCAAAATTTGGACTTCCCCAACCTTCAAAGGGGCCAACGTACAACCACTTCCACTACTGGTGCTCTTTAACTTCTGAAGTGTCACAGGGGTCAGAGCAGTAGTGTTCAAAGGTCCCCGCGCATCAGTAGAAGAGGAAGATGGTAATGAGATTTCAGCTGCATCAGATCTGTTAGCAATTCTTTCTTTTACATTCACCTCAACAGAAAAATCACCAGTCCCTAATGCAACCCTAGGAGCTTCGTCCGCTTCGCTACTCCTATGCTGAGAAACTTTAGTAGCTGAGGTGTCTCTGGAGGAGCCAAAGGAGAAATGCAAAGAGGATTTAACAGGTCCACGAGATTTAGAATTATAACAAGTTTCCCTTACAGCTTCTGCTGATCCAAGAGTCGTACCCCAAAAATCAGATGACTTCAGAGGAGACGGGTCCGCTGATCTTCGATGCTTTTCCATAACTAACGACTGTAAGCTACTTGATTGGTTCTGGTTCTGCCCAGTATCACCCCCAGCTTTATTCAGGCTTAATTTGGGCAAGTTAGACTCAACCAAATGCACAAATTTAGGAGTTAACGGTTTGGATGGAGCATCATCAATTGTGCTTAAACAGGTCTCCTCTACAGAAACATGAGCATCAAGGGGGGACTCGGATCTCTCGGAATCAGATGAACTGAAGCTCTCACAAAGAGAACTCTCATCACCAGAGTCATTACGAGGGGAGGAGGAGAAGCCAGAAAACGACGATCCAGATGTATCAGCAACAGAAACAGCTTCTTCCTTATCTATAAGGTCATCTTTGTTATCTGCACTATCTCCATTCTCATCTTCAGGAGATCTAGCAGGATTAGAGAATATTGCTTCCCTGACTGGTATAGGAACTGGTTCTGGATACACCAATAAAGCTTCAGTATTCCCTTTATTTTCTTCACTGAATTTCCAGTCAGTGTCACTTTTCTCATCGTCAGTATTATATATGATAGAAGCAAGACGACATTCATCTTTGTGACCTTGCCGCCAGTGGATGATTTGACATTTCCCGGAACTGGAAAAAAAAAAACGAAATAAGTTCCGATGTAACAAATATCACATATAAAGGAGAAAAGGTTGAGAAATTGATAGAATCTATAGTGCAGTGCTTAAGCTAATATAATTTTCATAAACCCCTAAACAGCAAATTGTTAACTACAGATCAGCCACGATTCAAACTGCACTTCCTCTTAAGGTAATTGATTACCCATAATTATATTGACATTGAAATGAAGTCACTTTTCTTAAATCTCTGGTCCAGCAATATTCCAAGATATCAGATGCACTTTGAGAACTGCTAAAGTCACAAAACTACATCCTATTCTTTCCTTTTCATTACTCCAATCCATCACGTCTCACAAGGGAATGCAGTGCAATCATAACCTTAGCATCATACAACTAGAAATGGAAATCGAAAATGTTAACACAAAGTGATAAGATGGTTGCATACCAATACCGCACGGCTTTGCACCGAGAGCACCGAGTCGTGGCAAGACAAAAGCACACGGGACACTGGAAGTTATTAGAGACGGGCACAGAAGAGAACTCGAAGGAGGCCTCAAGTTCTGCCCTAGCAGCCTCCTCAGAAGCATGAATAAGAAGTCTCTGAATTTCCTGCCTTCTTACGGCCGCTAGCCTCCATTTTCGCCGAACAAAGAAGGCGAACAGAGGAAGAACAAGAGAGATCACAAGGACAAGAGTCGAAATCCCTAGATCCAAAACAAGGAGCATTTATCCTCCACCAGATGCACAAACAATTGGAAATGACACAGAGCTCCAAATCTGACCACCAACCATAGATTTCACCGGCGTATTAGCCGGGAAGGAGGTTACAGTGACAATCACTCCGGCGATTTGGCATGCAGAGAACCCAGGGATCGGCACAGTTGATCCGCCGCTGGTGGGTAAGCTTCCAAATGATGACCCACCAAAATCCAAGATCACACGAAAAAACAAAACCTACGAGAACCCAAGTTGGTTTTTCTATTCTCAGTTCCCTGAAAAAATTAAAAATCTGGTCTTTCTAGTTTAGGGTTTCGAAAGAAGGAAGATGAGAAAAGAGTGGAGAGATTCTTCGGTAGAAGGAGGAAGAAATTAGCAGAATATTACTTTTCTACAACGAAGACGTTTGCTTTCTTTTCTTTTTTATTACCAGGAACCTTTTTTTAATCTATTTTTCAACCAAATTGTTTTATTTTAACTTCGTTCTTTTTTTGTCGTCAATACGAGGAAGTCTTTTATTTAACAAGGTGATGATTTTTCTTTTCTTGCGGCCAAAAAGATAAAGAAAAGCATATGGTATTCTCTTGGTTCTTTCACATTAACGGAAGGTTAGAATTAATTAACCATTTATGCTTGTCCTCTTACCACTTCTAAGCTCTTGAGATCATGGAGAAGACAGTTAATAACAGGAAAGAGTGGTATGAAGCTAATTGGGTAATTAAACACATTATTATAACACGTGCAACCTCCCATATTCTCTGAATTGAAATGTCAACCCTCTAAAACTTAACACATATAATGTTATGCTGATGCTTCTTAGAATATGAATGCACCAGCTTGAGAGATGAGAAAGGAATGGTCAAGAGGTGTGGAGCTAAAACCTTTCTCAAGGTATGGTCGATTCTGGAAGTAGAAGCAAACAAGTTGAGTTTACAAATAATACGTCTTTCCTTGAGGGCTTCATGAGATATTTTTTTAGTCAAAAATCAAACTAGGGATCCAAAACCAACTTTTTTTGGGAAGGACACAATGAAACACTAATAGAACACGATCGACTTTGTCACAAACTATATATATCTGTACCGATGCAATAAATAGGCGTGCTTGTAATTTGTCATGTTATTATGTGGATTTGGAGAATTGTACTTCCAACCGAATGCATCCAACGATGGAGAAGGATATTTGATTTCTCGGTAATCTATTATATAAAGAGTGAGTTGAGTCTCACAAATTTGACACCTAAGCACTCATCCTTTTGACACATCATCTTCTAAACAATTATTAGATTTTTATTATTTAATAATTTTTAAAAATCTTTTCGTAAATAAGCATCAATTTATTACTTAAATCATTGAATTCAGTGATAAACATACATTTATTAAAATAATTCTCCTAAAAAATGTGATTCATTTTCCTTAAATTAACTAATGTATATATCTTTATATACAAGTTATTTTAGTTAGATTACTGAACTAAAAAAAAATAGGAGCAGTCATAAGAGGTCGAAAGAGAGAAAAGGAGAAATAAGAAGAAAAAGAGAGGAGAAAGAGTCGTGAAAGGAGGAAGAAAAGAGTAGAGAGGACAAGCCGTGAGTAGGAGAGGGAGAGAGAGGAGGAGATTAATGACAAAGAAAAAAAAGAAACAGAGAGAGCACATAAACACGAGGAAGGAGAACAAGTGTTAGGAAATCAGAATAGATGACGTCGCAGAGAAAGAATGGACCATCACCACCGCAAAGGAGAAGAATTGAGAAAGGTATATCTGTTTGTGGAAGTAAGTAAAAAAGGAATCAAAGCAAATCAGAATGACTATTAGATACGAAATCAGTTACTAACTCAACAGAGAATCGGCGATGACCTATAAAAGCTTTTGATTTCTTTATTTCAGTAGACATCAAAATATCCATGCGAAGGCTAAGCAGCCACTATACAATGTTCCTTTGCAAGGAGACCGCCAATGGGGGTCTATATTCTATGAGTCTAATTGTGATTATGTGTAGAATATACTAGCTGGGTCAATAAGTAGCAGTGTTATTGTATAGCTTAAGAGTTCTTTAATTATAATTTACCAAAAGTTTATTTATTTGCTTATAATATAAAGTTTATGTAAATGTTTATGAATATGTATGACAGTTTGTTTAGCTAATTAATGGTTAAAATAAAAATTCTACTAATCATTTTAATACATTCCATAGAAATGCTTATAACCTACTAAACAGAGGTAAATATATTTTACCATGTTCAAAAAAAGAAAGATTGTTGAAAGTTTGACTCCAATCATGTAGGAACTAAATGGAACAAAATATGAAGAAATGAGTAGTAAAATATTGTCGTTTAAAGAGTCTATTTGAGTATGTGTGTGTGTGTGTAGTGTTTAGAAAGATTGGATTAGGATTGTGTTTTGGTGACTTCATTGGCAAATGTTATCGTATAATTAGATTTTTTAAAAAAATTACAAATCCAAAATACAAAAAGAATCTTCAAAGTAGATTTAGAGTAATATTTTAATAATGCAACGATAATTTTTAACAATGTGAAATAAATAACAACTATATCACTGTGGTTAAGAGATAGCTCAGAAGTTTTTATAAGAGTTGAGAGAAGTGAGCAAAACGTGATATAGTTTAAAATATATCAGTGTATTCGTGTTAAACTATAGATTTTTAGAACAATTTAATATTTAAAAAAATATTTCTATTTTTAAATATGTACAACAGAAATAATAGATTTTTACGCAGTATTAAGGACACCAATTTGTTGTGAGATTTAAAAAATACATTACAAAAAAGACCCGCGTGTATACGCGGGTATTCAGTGATTGATAAAAAATATGTTTTGAGTTAAAACAACATACAAATAAGATTGTTATCATTTTAATAGAGTGTAAAATCTTTGTTAAATCATTAAACAACAAGTCGCTTTGGCCGAGTGGTTAAGGCGTCCGCCTGCTAAGCGGATGGGCTACGCCCGCGAGAGTTCGAATGTCTCAGGTGACGTTTAATTTCTTTTTCTTAAAACCTTAAAAAGCCTAATTAACCTTTCCTGGAAGCCCATACAGCGAATAATGGGCTTTGTTTGACTCACACACACGTGACCCAATTGTTATATTGACTAGTTCTCTTAATAACCGGCGAGGCGGACTTCAATTTCAACGCAATCGAAAAAAGACCACTCTCACTGCGAAGAAGCAAGCATTCGTCAACATTCAACAGCTATTCCGCCACAACACAAAAACCGCGTCACAAAAAACTCACTACAAATACCTTTCTTTCCCTCTCTTCTTCTTCTTCTTCACACATCTCTCACTTTCTCTCTTCCCTTTTAGCTCAATCCCAAAAATTTTACTAACAATGGGCGTCAAAAGTTTCGTTGAAGGTGGGATTGCCTCTGTAGTCGCCGGTTGCTCAACTCACCCTCTCGATCTCATCAAGGTTCGCCTTCAGCTCCACGGCGAAGCTCCCGCCGTTCCCTCCACCGTCACTCTCCTCCGTCCAGCTCTCGCTTTCCACAATTCTCCTGCAGCTTTCCTCGAGACGACCTCTTCTTCGGTTCCCAAAATCGGACCAATATCCCTCGGAATCAACATCGTCAAGGCGGAAGGCGCCGCCGCTCTATTTTCCGGCGTCTCCGCCACACTTCTCCGGCAATCCCTCTATTCCACCACCAGGATGGGTCTCTACGAGGTGCTCAAGAACAAATGGACAGATCCCGTGTCGGGGAAGCTGAATCTGACTCGGAAAATCGCTGCGGGGCTAATCGCTGGTGGGATCGGAGCCGCCGTCGGAAACCCAGCCGACGTGGCGATGGTGCGTATGCAAGCGGACGGGAGGCTTCCTGTGTCACAGCGTCGTAATTACGCCGGAGTAGGAGACGCAATCAGGAGGATGGCGAAGCAAGAAGGCGTGGTGAGCTTGTGGCGTGGCTCGGCGCTGACGATAAACCGAGCGATGATAGTGTCGGCGGCTCAGCTGGCGTCGTACGATCAGTTCAAGGAAGGGATAGTGGAGAGAGGCGTGATGAAGGATGGGCTCGGGACTCACGTGGTGGCGAGTTTCGCGGCGGGGCTTGTGGCGGCTGTTGCGTCGAATCCGGTGGACGTGATAAAGACGAGAGTGATGAATATGAAGGTGGAGGCGCCTGGTGCGGTGGCTCCGTACAACGGCGCGTGGGATTGTGCGGTGAAGACGGTTAGAGCAGAAGGACCAATGGCTCTTTATAAAGGCTTTGTTCCTACGGTTTGTAGGCAAGGACCATTCACTGTTGTGCTCTTCGTTACCTTGGAGCAAGTCAAGAAGCTGCTTCGTGATTTTTGATGATCCATTCAATGACTACTACTAGCATTGATAGAAAATTTTTGTATTGATTTATTCATTTTGGAATAGCCAACACACACAAGGGAACAGGAATCTCAACATATTTTTGTTCAAAGCATTGTTGTTATAATACAATTCAATTTTTTGTTTCTTCTATACTGATGTGTGAATGTGTCTACCAAAATAACAGATCCAACGCACAGTGAAAACACACAAAGAAAAGAGTTTATTTGGTCTTTGAAGCAAAATAAGAGTGAGAGAGAGAAGAAAGGTGAAAAAAAAGAAAGACTAAAAAGAATGAATCTGTTATTTGTTGTTGGTGGCGAAGAATAAGTATGACCTGGAGTTAAGAGGTGGCTGTACATCTGGGGAAGTAGGGGTTAAGCAGCTCTAATAAAGAGAGATCATCTGGAGAAGGTCCTCGGCGTAGTGTTTGGATGGTTTCCTCCAGATCCTCTGCCTCTGTCTCCTGATCCGTTCTCGGACCTTCCTCTGTCAAGAACATGCGGGCTATGGAGTTTGCTGTTGTCTGAATCCTGGTTCTGGTTCGACCCTGACCCTGTTCCTCTCTCCGTTTCCTGCAAACTTTGGTTTTGCCCTGAGGATGGACTCGATTGCCCTGAGCTTCTTCCTTTGTCCATGTTTAAGAGCTCGTTCGCGATCTGGCTTCGTCTCTCCTTCAGGAAATTGAGCCGCATTGTCAATTTAGAAAGTGCAGAGGTTGTTGTTGTGGTTCCCTGTGTAATTGTACTCAGCTCCTAGTTTTGAATGATATTTGGATGTAATTTTATGGTATGTTTTTGTGTTGTGACAGTATGAAACTTACATCTCCCTTTGTTCCAGTCCTCTTGGACATGCCCGCAAGCTTTGAGCTGCCACGTGGCATTTCTTGTTGCGAGCTTTTGCTCCGTGTATCTTGTTGCTTCTCTGTCTCATTTTCTCTTGCAGCTCCTTGCCCATCCTGCAAAATGTTACGGATCTGATCATAGTGCATAAAGATAGAATGAAGAAGAAACAGACTTGATAGACATATATCAGATATTTAAAGTGTGTTAACTACCTTGAGCGTCGACCTTTCGGAAACGTGAGAAGAGACTGCTTCGGTATCCTTCTGTTTCTCCTTCCTGTGTGACAGCATTGAAAGAAGACTAGTACTGAGCTTTGATATGATTTAAAGCAAAGGTTGTGAGGTTAAATGTGAATCTGTAGATGAATCCTTACATCTTTGCATTGTGCTCTGGAATTCTCCGAGTTTCTTTGCTGGCACCATGCGTCGAACCAGAGGCTTTTACATCTTGTTGACCAAGTCTATTTTCAAGATCATCAACCTTATGTTCCAAATTGGCAATATCAGCCTCAGCCTGAGCTACGTCTTGCAAATCTTTCTTCAACTGTAAACATGTCTTCCCAAGTTAGATATGTACTTTCAACCTAAGAAAAAAATCAACACGTTGCTGGACAAAATTAAGACGAGCAACCTTTTCATCGGTTATTTCTGGAATACGCTGATTCCCTTTTGACATGTTCAGCCCTGCTTCCATAGCTGATTTCCTGTCTCTCTCTTGCTGCAATTGTTCTTGTAGTCTTCCCACCTACAGGAAGGTAAAAGCACATTCATATAACAAAAAAAAAAAAATGAAAACCCTGGATAAGAACAAACTTCATATAGCTAGGGTATGATATTGTTTTACACTTACATCTTTCTCTAGAGCTTGGCGCCGTAGGTACAAAGCCTTCTTTCGTCGCTCCAAACTAGCCTGGAGAACTGCATTGTTTTTAACCTGTTATAGCAAAAATGGAGGTTGTTCCAAGTCACATACTCGTTAAAATCATCACTTTTATAGCGGAATGATTTTGCAAACGCAATAAATACTCAAACGGTTTTGTCGCAACCTCCTCTGTAATTCTATTTTGTAGCTCCAATTTAGTTGACTCAAGTCTTTCAATGTTAGCACTGTAGAATATACACATTGTCAGATGAAGTACCCATGTAGACGTAGTAGACCACACTGATTTAAACATTTAATGCCATACAACCTAAAGAAGCCATGCGGAAGAAATATAAAGATGTCATATCACTTGTAGAGATGATGGTACTTACTCGTCCTCGTCCACCTCTGCTGAGAAATCAATAGATTCCATCGAAAGGTTTTTCTTCCCCTGGGCACATAAAAGACCAAAATTTTGTTAAACGTCTGGATCGCTTAAGAGCTAGGAAAAACACTTCAAGAACTGGCCCTCGGGTTTTTTAGGAAAAAGACAAAGAAACTTACAGGGGTACGGCCCCAGAGCCTTTTACTTCCTCCTGGTGCACTGGATAATGTCGACGGTTTCTTATTGGCAGATGCCACATCTGATGTCGATGAGTTCTTATCCTTAGTTTTCGAGACCTCTACAACAGCCTTTACCTCTGTCTTATCAGCACCTTTAACCAGGATATTTTCATCCTTTTTTGAATCATCATGCCGTGGTAGTGAAGATCGTTTAGAGCCGGATAGAAGTTTCTTAATAACTTGGGGCTCCGTGCTTCCTTTTGGGGTTTTGGATTCAGAGCTTAAATTACTATTTATCTGCAATATTAACAAAACAAATGACTATATTCTTGCAAACACAATCACCAAATAAGATGGACTTGAGGACCAAGGAACTTGTATCATCACTGTAAACTATGTATGGAATCCACATATGTAATTCCCAATAATTAATTAACCATCCTAGTAATCATTCAGTTTTTTTTTGTAGGAGATGGATTAGTTAGTGAAGGTTAGTATAGGACCGTACCTTGTTGTCATCAGAATCAATGTCAGATCCATGATTGCCAGCCGAGGCGGCACTCTCACTATAAGATCCGTTAGATTCATTTTCAAGGTACTCTTCCTCATCTGTGTAGTCATCAGATCCCTGTGTGCCATCATCGTCATCATCATCATACTCTTCGTCATCAGTTCCCTCCTCCGTTTCACTACCACTCTCTTCTGAGTCAGAGTACAAGCCGGGTGACAAGGAACCTTCCTGCAGACATAGACCATTTATTTAGGTAGAAGTCAGTGTCTGGAAATAAGCACACTGGTATACGAACTGAAATTTTCCTTTCACACTGCCTTGAATGTTTTCATCTATGCTACTGCAATAATGATCATCTGACAAAGGAGGCCCTTAATCATAGAAACTTAAGAACTTACTCCAAATATGCTGTCATATTCTTCTAACAATGTTATCACTATAGCCTGGGCATGATTCGCTGCCGCAGCTGCTTGCAGAAGTTGCATAGAACCATCACCGCCGACGTCAAAGTCATTTTCAATTTCACAGTCGCCAGCCAGAAGAGGTCGAAGAAGTAATGGTGCCATACAAGCTGCAACAGCATTCGTGTTCATCCGGTTCACATTTTTGTTAGAGGCCACAATCTGCATCATCATCAGAATTCTGGCAAGAGGACAAACAAAAACAATTAACAACAAATGTTACTTAACTCTATTTGCGTGATACATAGGAGGAAGGCTCTATAGATTTATGGAGTTCAATGACTGGTGGTTTTGCACATATTTTTGGTAGAAACTAAAGTAGAAAGAAGCTGATCTTATTATGTTCTTCATAAACAAGGTTCATATATAAACTTTTGTAAGCACCCACGTTCTAACAGATAAGAGACTACCTTTGCAAAAGGCGCCGATTTGGTTCAGGGAATGATTCACAAATTGCCTCTCGCATAGCATTGACTCTATTGCCACGGTCAGTCCCTGATAATGTTACGCGTCAGAAAACTGGGGAAAATCTATGTTGCAAGAGGCGAACAAAATCCATCTTTATAACATATGTGAACATGTAAAGAGAAGTAGGAAAAGAACAGAGAAAGATTTGTGTAAAGCTACATTCAACTCATGGTCTTGTTTTGAACATTAAAAGCACCCCAGTCAATAGGAACCCCATGGAGAATGATAAACTTACTGCAAGCTTCCAGAAGGGCGTTGCAACAAGATGCAGGCACCGGAGAAGAAGGCAACTCTCTGAGAAAATACTGCGCATTTATGGATACAGTTAGAGAATCTTAAGAGTGAAAGGCTAACATGCATTGTAGTGACGAAGTGGCAGGTACCTTAAGACAATCAGCAATAACATGAGCATCCTCCGTGGGAGTGAACTCATTTCTCCCTGAGCCAAGTGATAACGTATTAGTATTAATTCACAATGCAGGAAATCAAGAAAATTAAAAATAAATCACGTAATCGTGTATATGCAGGAATTCAAACCTTGCTCATATTCACGAATCCGATGTTCAACATCATCAACATCAGCAGCTTGTCTCAAGATTCCTTCTATCCTGACTCCTGCAAGATAAAGTTGTCTTTTTCTGCTCAATATGGCCGAAAGAAAGTAGCAAATCAAGCTGAAAGCCTGAAACAAATACCATGATCTTCAACAAATCTAAGGGCCTTTTCCAAGAAAGATGGAGCTCCATCAACATCTTCTAGAGCAAGTAAAACTGGTCTTCCAAGGACGGTTGATTTTGTTGGTGTCTCATCTTCTGTAAGAAAATCGAAAAATGCATTATTGTCTAAATAAATTGTAAGAGAAACAAATCTCTGGATGTCACAGATTATCTAAATTCTTATAAGCCTTTCAATACTAACTGATCAGCCTTGGTTTTCTAGAGAGACAAACACTTGACATTCTCACAACACTCAAAAAAAAATCTTGTTGTTCTATGTACAAGTAAAAGAAAAAACCATTAAAAGGTCACAAACATACTCTGTTCATCAACACCGACAGGGGCATCTGCATGATCATTCCTGAAGATACCATTTTGACCCATAACATGAGAAGCACTAGGTGCTTGTGTTAAAGCGTTTTCTAGAGCAGATTTCCACTCGTATAGATCCTCCATAGTGTCAGCCTGCAGAAAAAAAAAAAATCAAATCCAATCAAACCTTGAGTGTAAAGGCTCGTCCATCACGATAATAACAAGATTAAGGAGATGAAAAAAAAATAAAAAACAGAAAAGGAAAGAATAATTTTGAAAAAAAACCTTGAGTGTGAAGGCTCGTCCATCACGACCATCGGGGAAGAGAACAGTCAACAGCTTTTTATCTGCCTTAACAACCACACTAAAAAATAGTCCGAAGTTATATGATGTTAGTAACACCGAACCAGATATTAACATAATACATCGGTTAAAGACTAATCTGATTATGATAAGTGAAGATTAATGATTCAAACAATAAGCCAACCTGCCTGAATTGTTGAGATCAATTCCCCCAAGGGTTAAATTGACCTCACTGCCCCTCTGTTGGACCGCACTCTGTAAAACAAAACAGAGAAATGTGAGATACCCATCCTCTGTGATAATAGTTTCATGCCTTGAAAAAAAAATCTCTGATAAAATTATTTTCGCCTATCTCTTCAAAGAAAAATGTGTAGTACGTTTAAACGCATTTATTACTTTTCCACAGATTTATATACTATAAGCTAGAGCGGTCAGAAACGGGCTGGCGCTGGTTACATCCTCCATTATCTAGTACAAATTTCTTGCTCTTATACCTTGGAGCCCTATCCTAATGCCTATGTGAATCAAGTTCAGAAAAAGCTAATCGAAAGTGGTGGATGGCACTCTCATATTCACAGAGAAACAATCGGATTTTTTGAGATTTGGTAATACTGTAGTAGTTATATAAGACCTTTACTCCTTTACTGCTCTAGAAAACACACAAGAAAGTAACATTTCGCAGAACCCTTCATCAGAACATGAATGCTTACCGGGTCACTTCGAAAGAAAACCAGTGAAGTACGCGTCAAAATAAACCATCTTTTCTTCCAAGATGTCCACCCAAGCCCTGGAAAACCTTCTGAATATTATTACACAAAGAAATACGAATTTGCACTATAGTAAGCTTAGCAGTAATCAAGAATCCCCAAGGAAATCTAAGAACTTTTTTAGAGACGGCATTATTGTAAATAATCGAAGTAGACAAGGTTTAAAAGTGAAACAGAAGGCGGTGAGAGACAATTTTAAGAAATAGCCATCACAGTGTGCACAGCCTGCAAAACCCACTGCACATGATACAAGTCCTTACTAGCTTGCCAGTAACAGTGATCCCCAGCCGAAGCTGGACATGCGACACCTTCTTAGAGAGAAGGAAACAAACTCTATACAACAACTCTCATCATAGTATTGCAACACAAAGAAACGCTACACTAAACTAAGTATCTCATCCTAAGAAGTAAAAGATACCTTTTGATGATATATATAGCGGTCCGCTCTTGAATACCTACAAAGGTAGAAAGAAAATCAAATCTCCATCAACAAATTCACTGAGTGTCAGAGACATCTCTAACATACATCCAAAAACATACTAGTTAGGATTCTCTCTTTTCGTTTGCATTTACATATTGTGTTAACATTCAAAGAATACCACAACATTTTAGATTCTTACTAACAAAAGTCCTTTGTAAATTTTACCGCAAACGCAAAACATAAATTTAAGAAGAAGAGGAAGATAATGTCTGCTTTATGTACATAAGCAATTCAAGTATATACGAATCCTCGCAAATCGGAATGTAATTTCCAGCTTAGTGTTCCATTGAGGAGGCGATTGGATCAAATACCAGCTAAATCTCTAATGAGTAGTAAATTAACATCAACGAGAAGTAATTTACCGTGTTGCCACCACGAGAACGCGAGTCTGCGTTTCCAGACTGCGCAGGATGAATACTGCAGGTGTCACCCTGAGATCGGAAGGAAAAACAAAAACAATCAACGGTGAAAAATTGAGCAGCATTGGAGGAGAAGAAGAATAGGGTTTGATCGGAGATGAACATTGATTGAAAATCAGAAAAACGAGAGACGCACGTGATGGTCCTGGTCTTGTTCATGAGCATTCTGCTGCTGATGATGATGTTGTTGTTGTTGTTGCTGTTGTTGTTGTTGCTGTTGTTGCTGCTGCTGCTGTTGTTGTTGTTGTGGTGGCTGAGCCTGAGACGGCTGTGAAGAAGATTCTCCGTTTTTGTTAGCCATAATTTGACAACGCGGGTTCACGCCATTGAAATGCGGCACTGAATCCAGGAAAAAGAGAGAGAGAGAGAGAGAGAGAGAAGAATGTCCGATCAAATTCGAGGAAAACGCAATCGCAATAACTAGTCTCAGATCAAAATGGATTCGAGAAACAAACCTTGATTTTCTGATCTAGAGGATGAAGAAGATAATTATTATTATTATTAAAAATTAAAAATTACTGATTTGGTGTTTTTTATTTTTTAGGGAGGGAGAGAGATTTGATTGGAATGATTTTTGATGTGTTCAACGGTGGAGTTTGAGAGAAGAGGTGAAGCGAAAAATTTGGGCGTAAAGAGAGGAAGCCTTGTTTTATGCGGCAGTTTGTACACGTCATCTTCCCCCTCCCTTCTTGGAGGGAAATTTTCCCTCTTTTCCTCTTTTGACCTCTTCTCCTCCTCTCTCAATTATATTATTTCTCAAAAAAAAAACAAATATAATTAACGAAATTTGTGTAAACGAAATTTGTGTAAATAGATACATGTCCAGTGTTAATATAGTTTACCCTCTAATCTATGGTTTTTGATAAATGAATTAACGCTTCTTTATATGTTTGCTACTTAAACATGTCTCTAGTCTTATAGATTAGTACATTTTGAGACATTCATATTAGCTAATTAAACTATTTTGATTTTTAATAAAGAAATGACAACCTTAGTACACCCTTGCATTGGTTGACCCTATGACCACACTATATATACTGCATCGTGCCGAGCACAACCCTTCACCGCTCTCTCTTATTATTATTATTATTATTTTTAGTAATGATATATTCGGTAATCTGCGTGATACACAATTATTATAAACAACTTGTCTTTTTGGATAATGCTGCTGCGTGCATGGGGACTCGTTCATTCGTCTCGTTTTCAATATAAATTGTTTTTGATTGATGGGTTTTTCAATGTATAAGTACTTTTTTGGGGGGGTCAATATATATCGTATTATATAACTTATGCATTGGCCTGATTTAGATTATTATCACATTGATCTACGTACGTTGTAAGATGTTCGAGCAACATGCGACTTTAAGTGTATGACATGTGCGATTTGGGAATTAATAGAAACTATATATAGTCGTTAGTCGCCGATTGATAATCGCAACAAAACCGAAACACGTTGCCATTCGGACCGTAACTAAAGATGTAATTTGGTAGTGATCTAGCAAATTATACGGCGATTGGGCGAAATGCATGATTTAATAAAGGTTGTGGGTTAATGCAATAATGCACAAATGTAATTGTAAATACAAAAGTGCAATAAGGATAGCCTTAGACGTGATATTAGAGACTCATGAACAACAGTTTGCGAAGTTGACAAGTTGAATGACGTAAATTGGGATTGTTACACGAAGAAAGTGAGAACAACAAATGGGATTTTGTATTTGCAATTTTGCATGCGAATTACATGCAAGAAACGTTATTGACCTATATATATATATATATACATATTGGCCTAGATGGTCCTTTTTTTGAAGCGGAAACCGAAAGGATAAATTCAAATTATTAACTTGTTGGTGAACCGTGGGGTTGAATATAATAGGATATTCTACCCTATAGCATGGGTGAAAAGTGAAAACAACTAGAGCTACTCATGAGAATGGCTTGTTCAAAAGTTCTACAATTATCTTTTCATATTCACATATGATAGGCATAAGTATGGCCATTTATCGTCGGGTTAACTTTTTACATCAAAGATTTGAATACTGATAACTGATGTACTTGGCATCACTATTATCAAACGCAGTTGCACATAACCTCCCGAACGCAGAGCATGGGTTTTGATTAAAGCTTTTTTAGCGTAATTGGATAAAATTTCACAATGATGGTACGTGGAGTATAAACCTTGTTTTATGCAATGCGGCTTATAATTATTTATTTTGGTGAGCCGTGAGTATATATGAGCATATGGAGGAGCTCTGGCTGTTTAACACAGATCAGGCACATGAAGCCTTATTTTATTTTATTTTCTTACCAAAACACCTTATATCGAACAAAATAACATAATCGGTGTGTCGCGCTTGCTTTTTGTTCCCTTCAAATGCAAGATGTGATGATTTATGCTACAAGTTTTATGAGAATTTTTATTTATTTTTTTGGTTAACGAAAAAAAGAAAATAAAAAGTGTATGAGAGTTCCACAATTTGTAAAACGAGCTCGTAAATTTGCAATTTGAGAGTGATCAATATTCTTAAAGAGATTACTAGACAAACTATGATGTGTATTTCTCTTGTCATATACGATTGTAGATATACAAAATTGTGATATATGCAAACTTGGAGAGAGAGTTTTGGGAAAGCCTGTTAACCTTATTCATCACGAAGGTATTCTGTATATACACACTATAAGATAATTTCACTATAACTTATGTTTATCCTAATTACATTTGATAATATAAGATATTTATATTATCATAACTTTATTAAGACTACAACAGAAGATTTTAGAACCTTCCTTAATTAACACTATAGAATTGCCTTTGAATCTGATTTTCGTAGAGCTAAATATATAAAGTAATAATTTATCTAAATCTATTAAATTGCTTTTTTTTCTTTTTTGGTCCTCAAAAGATTCAATAGATTCTCTATTCCAACAATTGTTGTTGCTTGTTGTCTTACTAGTTACGACTCTTAATTCCTTTTTCCTTCCTTATTCCGGGCGGAATTGGATTAAACAAATAGGTCGCAGGAGATAAAGAAGGAAGGGGAAAAGCGTGGACGATAACGATCAATCGTCTTCCTCTTTCAGAATTCTCGGCAGATCTCTGCAATTTTCCCATGCTGTTAGAGTTTCGTCTCAATTAGAAGCAAATCCATGGAAACCGAGGTCTCTTGCTCTACTCATGATACCGAGAGCAAAGTAAATCGCGTCGATTTGGATAGTATTCGTGTCAAGCGGAAGACGTTGCAGAATCTGCTCGAGGATTGCCAGAGAGCTCTTGAGCTGCTAAACCTGGCCGATACTAGTCCTGGCGGCGATGATATCGGAGGTTTCCAAGACGATAACAGCGACCGCGTTGGCCAGCAGAGTGACTCACCGGACAGCGACGAGTTTTCTTCTTCCGATCCTGGAGATCCTGAAGCCGATAAAGTATGCTTAAGTTCATACATACCTCACTCAATTCTGGTGCCTTAGGATTGTGATGATTGATAGCTTGACTAATTTATGCGTTTTAATTGATTGGCAGTAGAATTTGATATCTGAGAGAGGTTATGAGAATTTAAAAGCTTGTGGCTGGATCCATGATTCTGTGACCTGTTTTCTTGCGCAGTTCTATGATCTCATCAAATCTAGAGTTGAATGTCAGGACTTTCGTGAAAAGATAGAATTAGCCCAAGTTTCAGTTTCCCAAGATCTTGCTGGTAAGAAGTTAATTACATACAAGTTTGCTCACCCGATGAGATTGCCAATGTCACTAAAAGTCTATGACTTGCAGAGGATGGTAGCTCTTGGGACGTAGTTAGTGAAGAAGATATATGGGGCGAGGGAACTATGGGTCAAACGGAAGAAGATTATGTGGTTGTTAGGGAAGAAGATATAGCAGACGGTATTGCGTGTTTCATGGCTACATATTTATCATCACTTAAGCAAACAAAGGTACATAAGGCTTATCTCAACCTTGCTCGTTTTGTGTCTCATCAACTTTTCATGTCAACTTATTCTGAGTGATGTCTTTGTGTAGGATATATCACCTGATCAGCTTCAGAAAGGTAAATCATCTTGAACTTCCATGTGTCACAGTTAGAAAAGATGCTTCCTTTATTACTCTCCCCGTACCAAAAGAAAGTAGCATTTAGGATTTTGTTATAGAGAACCCAAATCTCTCTCTGCCATATGCTCCCAAGTCGACCAAATACTTGACAACCAAACTTAGGGTGACTCTTCTTATGTCCTGTTATAATAGACTTTTCTATCAGATACTAAGAGTTTGCACATGAATGGCAATGTAGCACTTAGCACGATGTTTTCAGTGAAGAAGAGAAAGGGGAAGCTTCGAAAAGCGTGGGAGGGAAGTAAAGTTATTTACAACGTAGCATCATGGAGCGCAACTGCGATAGGGTACATTCGAGCAAAAACATCCTCTTTAACACATCCAGTCTTAAGTTTGTGTGTTTGTAGTTCTCACTAATTTAATTTGTCGCTTTAATTCTATTGGTAACAGGATATATCAGAACCCGATGATCCTGAGTATTGCATCCAAAGCCTTCTGGGTGTCTTGCAAGGCTATATCAAAGCTTGTCTGAAGCGAAGACACATCTCACATGGTGCTCATAAGTTACAGCAGCCTCTACTCAGCAATGTTTTGTATCATTTAATTTATATCTGTACAAATGCCATTTGTTGCTTCTTCTCTGTGATGTTATCCTCAACATGCAATCTTAAAAATTAGTTTGATCTCAATTTGATTTTCGTGTTTCTGAAGTATTAGTGTGATTAGATATCTGAAAGAAAGAAAAAAAAACTCTTAAATAATAAAGAACCTAAAATGATTTGTCTCTTGTCTCTAATACGTTTTGGAACATAAGGGACACCCTTAATTGGAGAGACTTTATTAGAATTTTATATAACTCTCTTTCAAATTTCAACATTATATTCGTGACCTTCAAATTATAGTATAATATATGTATTTGAGTAAGCTTATAAAAGTATTTTATTACAATTAGGCCCTAGTCAGTTCGATGCTCAGTAGTAGAAAGACTTGGCTTTATTATCTGCAGTGTCCTTGCAAAGAATTGACCGAACTTCCATGATTGATCTCGGAGGCTCCAAGTCCTGCTCTCTTAACGAATTGCCCAACAGTTGTTGCATCTGTGCTGCAAATGTATCGTCTAATATCTGCAAATATGCACCATTTCATATAACACGTAACATCAGGTAAAGTCTTAACTCATACTATCTAAGTAGCTTGTCTTTTATCGAGACTTACAGAGACAGCAACTCTAGAACCCTTGTACCAAGCTCTGTTCTCTTTCCTATTCTCCAAAAAGCTTAGAACAATCTGTCATGCACAGAAAAAAAAAGAATTCAGCTTTCCAACACCACAAAACAGAAAATCAGGAGAGGGCATTAATATAGTCACCTGCCCCATACGATCCCAATATCCTCGGGACAATGCAATGAAGACATGCGTTTCACAAACCGAGTGTAAATGATTCACTGTGTTGGTGATCTGCTCCTTCAGGTTATGCATTTTGCTTCTGATGTCCGATTCTCCAACACTCTCTTTAGAGTCCTGAAGAATCTTCTTCAACATTGTCGCCTTTTGTAGCTTGCTCTGAAAAAAAAAAATGAAACCGATTACAACAAAAGCAGTTAATAAAAGGAATTAAGATCCCAAGACATGCTAAATCCAACAAGATTACAAACATATGGACAAACGTTGCATAAGAAACATCCAAAAGCAGAAATGGCAAAAAGCAATGCACTATAAAGCTTTCTATTTCTGCTGCTGACAACAAATTTTGATCAGCTTCTAATTTCTTTTTATAACGTTTCAGCCGTGTAACTTGATCTACATACAAATAGCTAGGACACAAAAGAGTTCCTGGAAACTCACATTTTCTACGAGTTTTTCGACCACAGCCTGAAGGTAAGTACGAAACTTGGCTCGGAGCATCACTGTCACCTCCGAAAGGCGATCACCAGGAGCTGCATTACCACCATCCGGTATGCATGAAGACCATGCTTTAAATTTAGACTCTATATTAGGCCGTAGAACATCAAGCATCCTCTTCATGGAGTTTAATAGAATGCCCAGCTGCGACCAGCAAATAAAGAGTCTCTCAGCAAAACAAATCTTCTTTAACGGATATTTAAGGGAAAATGTAGGAACATTATTATGCGCACCTCATCCGGGACTACATATGCAATCACAGATCTTTTGGTCAGCTTTTGGACATACTTGAAGCTTAACTTTTTTGGAGCCAAGTTTTCTTTGAGAGGTGACAGGACATCTGCATACTGCTTATCCAGAGCTTCCACAATAGCCTTCTCAACATCAGCAATGGCCTAAAGAAACACAATTTATGTCAACCTTTACACTTTTATTTCTAAAGATGAAAAAATTATCGCCAATCCCTGATAATAACTGATCCACTTCTAATACGCATAGACCTTTTGTATCAATTTTTTGAAATTTTCTTGAATCCAAATTCACACCATAGATACAAATAAGTAGTAGCTTCTAACATGCAATGGAATATACAAGAACATATTTTTTTTAACAATACCGAAATCAAAAGGCATTGAGGAACAGCTAAACTTACATTCTCCAGAACAAAGATATATTCCGGCCATCTGGAAATGATAACTTGATAGTCCTGAATGGTTTCGTTCAGCCTGGTGTACATTTCATCAACAAATGGGGTTGTTGAATGCTGTGTCCTGACTCCAGACCATTTTACCTGCTTAAATGACACGCTATGTTAGAAGTCAGGTTCTCAATAATGCACCATAAGCTGAGAATAATGAGAAGAATGAGAGACGAGAGAAGTATAGATCGACTTATGTTAGATCGACTTATGTTATAAGAATCCAGAACACAACTCACATCCAGCGAATCACATAAATCATAATTCACACAGAAACAAATCTCCATTTGTACCAAGCTTCCATTTTTTGTAACTTATTAATGTGAATTGCACATCTTGGCGAAAATAGTTTTGTTCTCCATAGCGTTATTTTACACACACACACACACACACAAAAATCTGAAGAAAACCACATAGAGAATCCAGTATACATACCTTATCAAGTTTGCATGACTCAAGTAAGGAAAGGCGTCTATCTTGAATCCAAATCATAATATATAGGTGGAACAACTCTTTTGCATCAACACCGCCTTGGATAGGACTGTAAAATGGAAATGATACCAGTCAAAACAAGTGACAATCAAAAGATCAAATAAACTGAACGACCTACCTAATGTTCCAGCTGGAAAGATCACGTTGAAAGTCTGCAGTTGCAATCACAAGCTCTGCAACTGTTGGTGAAGGGCCAGAGGGCGGACATGCAACAAGGAATGTTCGAAGTCTGTTGCAGAGATCAGTGCTATATATAGACGCTGACAGGTTTGGAAGGTCAAGAAAGCTGCAAAAAAGAATATAACAAACATTGGGCAATCAACACCTGCAGGAAGATGCTCCAATAGGCTTAGGTGCAGTAAACCCGTCTAAAAATTTAAATCACATAAAATTTGATACTATAATGGCACAACAGTGGCTCAAAGATAACAAATAACACATGAATGCAATAGTATGGGTGATGCTAACTAGGTATAACCATAGGTTGCAAGGGAAGCTTACGGAAGGAAAGAAGATTCTACCAAACCTCTGGAAAAGAATTTGGCCATCCAATTAATAAATAAGTTAACAAGTCTGTCTATTGTAAGATGAAATTATTGCCACTACTTCAAAACTCAAGAGCTTGTGACCAACTAGCCGGTAACAGTATCCACTACAGTTGGCTAGGGTAGGTCAGCAAAGAATATTTTGGTAGAAGATCTACTTCGTTGCTTATTTTGGACAACAGTAGCGTTCAATTCTTTTTTTTTTTATATCCATTATTTTTAATAACTTTTTTTTCACTTGCATACTAACCTGGGAAGTATATCTTGATTTTGGATCTCAATATCAGTAAAAATCTCATTCTTTACATTCTTGCAGACCATAGTCATTTTCTGGTAAGCAGCCGACATTGCAGAAGGATCCCAAAAATTGGGTTCACTGTTGTTTGTAACAAACTCATCTGTCTCACCCATGTGCCTTCTAGATCTCTTCTTTGCTGCTGCCTATAAAACCATTGATGCCAAATAGATGAGAAAAACTAATCAAGAGTGAGGAGAGGCAACTGAGAGGCTGTATGCTAGACCTGGAAGTAATGACAAAGATTAGTCTGATCCTCGGGAGACAGGATATCATGCAGAAGCATGTACAATTTAACAGCAGGAGTGAGTGCTGGCGCCGGAACTCCTGTTGCAGAACTGACTACACCAGTCATTCCAGAGAATGAGGACTCGTCAAGAGATTTGTAGTTCTCGAAGACCAACTTGAGAATCTGCTCGATCTGGTCCTTGATTTCATTCAGGATCCGATTCTGTTGAAAGCAAAAAAAAAAAAAAAAAATATAGATTCATAAGCGGTTCGGAAGCACAAAGCGCATGTGTGTAACAAGACTAATATGCTTCCACATGAAGAAAAATAAATCAACACCAAATAGGATTAAACTTCGGTGGTATGAAGAATCGTTTGATGCTTAAAATTGGTATGCGAGCAACGACGTGAAAACTCTGTCATTCACCATCGTATGCACACCAATGAATTTAATGGTGAATAACACAGAATAATTGCTAGTGTCGTGCTCTAAGTCAAGTATTGATCATAGTATACAAGCTAACTTTGGGGTCGAATCTTATTCATGGTTTTACATGAGACAACATCCACAAAATTTCAAAACCCACAAAAAAAAAACAGAAAACGGCAAAGAAAGAATAATAGATAATTGCGGATCTACCTCTTGATGACTCAAGGCGCTCTTGCCATTTCCTTTCATGATGACAGGTGTTAACAAGTCATGCACTAAATGGAGACAGTCTGAAGTCGGTGTAGCGACATCCATTACATAGGACAAGTATCTTAAAGCAACAGAAAGGAACAAGGAGAAAACGGAGTTACAGCATATCCCTCAAATGATAAGACAGGAAATTAGAAAGTGAGTAAGGTATACCTGAGCTTGGTGTAGACATCGGAAATCCCATAGTAGGAGGCAAATTCTTCCAAAAGCCATTTCCATGAACCATATAACAACAAGTTTCTTTGCTGAAACCGCTGCATTTTCAAGGCCACTTCCAGGACTAGGTCATATGCGACTGTTTCCGCAACAGAACCACACTAAAAGAAGATGAGAAACAATCAATAGACCAAAATCTTCCGAGTACTATACAATGAGTTTTATATCTGTGTTCAGAGACACAATCTGCAGAGGATATCCAAACTTCATATATAATTTTGAGCAAGGTTATAATTATTGGACTAAAAATAAAGGAATGTCATGTAAGAGGAGCTGAATACACGTGCTTGAGCTCTTAAAACACCATAAAGCTCCCATATTTTAATAAAATTGCTAGTAATCAACAACTCTTACAGAATAATATTTTCTGGTTAAAACGATCACTAACAACTAGTACTATGAACATGATAAGATATTGTTGTTGTACGAGATAAAATTTTAAAGTTCCTCAAGGAAATGGGCTGCTGGAGTGTCTCTCGGTATACTACAAAGAAATGCCAATCCACGTGTAGAAAGCAAACAAAAAGAAAGATCATCAAAGGTACCAGATATAATGAGTGATAGGTAGTTAACATACCTTCAAATGGCTGTTATCATCAAAACTTGCTGAATAATCAATATAGAGCTGGAGTTTT